ATGGTTAGGTTTCTGTGGGTTAGGTCATGGTTTGAGTGGGGTGGGGGAGAGGGGAGAGGGAATGAAGAGGGGAATAGTTCTCTGGTACTTCCTCCGTTCTTAAATATTTTGACGCCGTTGATTTTTTTAAACATGTTTGACCATTTGTCTTATTAAAAAATTAAGTAATTATTAATTATTTTTTATCATTTGATTCATTATTAAATATATATACATATAGTTTTACATATTTCATAAATTTTTACATATTTCATAATTTTTTTTAAATAAGATGAATGGTCAAACATGTTTAAAAAAGTAACAGCGTTAAATATTTAAAAACCGAGCTAGTAATTTAGAGGGAAGCTTAGAGTGGCGAAGGTCTGGCGATGGGCAACGGAGTCGGAACGTAATATAGTTAAATTATCCATAGAAGACATATATTGGACAATATTTTAGTACCAACTGACCAACACAAGCTCACATGGCTTGCTCCAACTGTACATACGTGTCTACACCACCATGCACGTTTTGGGAATCTTGTTGCGCAGGATAGGATAAAATACTGAAGTGATGAAACTATTAATTAGCATGCGACATACCTGATTAGATTTAAGTATCTGATCAAGTCAAGATATCATATTTGTGCACTAGATTCGGTGGGTCGTCGGTTGATGACAGTGATGTTATATATATGAAACTTCCCATGCATATTTAGAACGATATAACTGTTTAATTTCACTGCATCTGTCTCAAAATATAGCTAACTTTTTTAATTTCAATTCAAAATTACATCTCCAAAATAATACTATAATTAATGTCCCCAAATTATACTATTATCGTGGGGTAGCTAAATAATCGTCCGCTGCAGACATATAGCTTATGAAATTACATTTCCAACTATATTGCTAACATCCTCCCGTTGTTAAATCGTGGACCAGCTAAATTCGGGTTGTTTTGGTGGCTAAACTTTGTTATACTTTTGACAACCAAATCTGATCAAGTGAGATAAATGTTTAGGGTCTTATTGATTGCCCAAAAGCTTATTAATTATAATCCTAACGGTTTATTAGTGATAAAAAATATTTTTTCTGTAAAACTTTTATATATGTGTTTTTAACAACTTAAAAGTCAATGATAAAAAAGAAACTAGATTAAAAATATCTTAAAATAAACTTCAAAGCTACTTCATCCATTTCATATTACAAGCCGTTTTGATTTTCTTCTAGTCAAACTTCTTTAAGTTTGATCAAATTTGTAGAAAAAATTAGCAACATCTACAACATCATATTATCACTACTAAAAAATCGATTTTTCATGGTGTCAACCTATTTTTTTTCTCTAACAGCCATACATGATCACCGTCAATGAAAATACTCCGAGGGATGAGGGGCTATGGACCGCCAGTGAAAATGGATCTTCGCTGGTAGCCGCAGCGAATATGTACAACTTTTCGCTGGCAACCCACTTAAACAGCCGTCAACAAAAATTCGATTTTCGTTGGTGGCCACTAGAGAGCATTGCTAGTGAAAATATCGCCACATTAAAAAAAATCCACCGCCACCCAACACCTCCTCCTCAGCTCCTTTTCCCAACTCCCCCTCTTCCTCTAGACCCACCCAGCCCTCCTCCCTCACCGGCGACAGCTCCCTCTCCTCCTCCCTCCCCACCGTCGGTAGCTCGCGCAAGCGGTGGTGGCGAAGAGAAGCACGGGGGGCGGGGATCTGGCGCAGGGAGGGGTGGCGGCGGCGGAGATAAGTGCGGGCGGCGAAGATTCGACGCCGGGAGGGGGCGGCGACTGAGGAGAGAAGTGTGCATGCTTATTCCTCCTCCTCAAGGGCGCGTACATGACGACGAGCAAGGCGTCATCGTCCTCTTCGCGCTCCTCGACAAGACCGGCATCCTCCCTATCGACCATGGCATCATCTACGCGCTGCTGCTTGGCGGGCTGGTGCTCGATGTGGATGCCATCCTCATGCTCCTCTCCTCCAACCAGATGATCTTCTTCTTCGACAGAAAGCCAAAGCTGGCGTGGCTTGTAGGGTGGCCAAGGCCGTGCTGCTGCGGCCAAGGCGATGGTTGGAGTGGATGGATTTTTTTTTCATATTTTTTTGTGATCTGTGAATGGATATGTGTTTAATTTGTGATTTGTGAATGGACTAGGGTGGGAGAGGATTTTGGATTTGGAGTGGGGTATTTTGGATTTGTGTGGGGGATTTTTGCTGGCGGTTCTCTTTACGGACCCACCAGCAATATTTTCGTAAGTGGTTAATTCCAGCCTATGAAAATACTCTATTTTCACTAACCTTTTCTTGCCAGCGATTGGGCTGGCCGCTAGCTAAAATATAAATTGTCCGCCAACAAAAAAAGCTTTTTTTAGTAGTGTTAGTTTTATTAGATGCAACGTTGAATATATTTTGATGTTATGTTTATTTTGTATTGAAAATGTTACCATTTTTATCTAAACTTGATCAAATATAAAAATATCTGACTAGAAAAAAAATCAAAATGACTTATAATATGAAACAAGTGAAGTTTTTTAAATTTTAAATTTTGCTTTGGCCTATTCTCTTTAGGACAACCAATAGGCCATTAGCTTACAGCATAACTATGTCATGTCACACCTTTTTAGCCAATAAATCCATACGTAGACATATCTTTGCAGCATAAATATTACTCCCCCGTCCCATAATATAAGCGATTTTGAGTTTTTGTTTGTACTGTTTGACCACTCGTCATATTAAAAAAGTTTGTGGCAAAATATAAAGCCCGTAAAAATGTGTTGCGTCCAAGTTTTTCTGAAGGTTCTGTGGCAAAATATGATGCTGTCCAAAGAGTTCCTCGGAGTCGGAGACTACGGTTAAAATATACTGATGTGCAAACAACTGTACGGTCAACTCTTTAGTCATGATATATATCCGACGTGGACACGAGTAAATTCCTGCAGTGCGCCCTGCCGTCGATAAGCTCTCTCGACCGGCCAGTCGGTAGTTAGCTCGTGTAGGTGCACTGTACCACACGTGCTGATCCGATCCTTTTGGTTCATTTGAACTGGTACTACCTCGACCAGAGAGCGAGGCTATTTATCTCCCCTGGAATCGTAGATCGTCACATAGGGACGAGGACACTGAAGGCTACGTGCACTGGCCACTGGCCAAAGCAGGAAGGTACTCCCTCCGTCCCATAAGTGATTTTGATAATTTGCTTCCACTGTTTAACCACTTATCTTATTAAAAAAATTATATAAATATAAAAAACAAGAAGTTATTCTTAAAATACTTTAGATAATAAAGTAAGTCACAAATAAAATAAATATGAGTAAATTTCATCATGGGCTATATTTTTTTTACCAGTGTTTCATATTGGGCTAGGGCTAAGTCAAGATTTTCACTTTACACCATGTTTCTTTGCCAATTGCCAAGAGTTGCACTTTGGGGTAGGGTATGTTTACAACCTGGGCATGTGTGACTGACCTCGCCGTAGATATTATGATTGGATTGTGATGGCACTCAATTCAAACAACTTTTTGATGCGCGGTGTGGCACGGTTTAGGTAGAGATGGCTAAGCCCACTCATGACATGACGAAAGAAGGAGATGTGTGCTATCGTTTCATGCGTGCAGAACTTCCTTCGCATATCTAGGTGTTGCCACATTGCAATAATCTCTATTACAAGCTTGCCGACGTCCACAATCCAATCATCTCCATCACAAGCTTGCCGGCGTCCTCCCTTATCTCCTGATCTACTGACATGTGAGAGCATCTAGTCCAAAGTGAAAGCTTTTGGTAAAAGAAACTAGCCCAAAGTGAAAACTTTGTCTTTAGGATGGTCCATGTTGAAACTTAGGTAAAAATACCTAGACCAATGTGCAATTTACTCAATAAATAATAATTCTAATTTTTTAATAAGACGAGTGGTTAAACAGTACAAGTAAAATGTAAAAATCCCTTATATTAGAAAACGGAGGGAGTACGTGGTTTCAATTCTCTCTCTTCCGTTCAGTTGTGTTCTCTGCCGAGTGATGCTTTGGAGCTCTCTACTATCACTAAAAATAATATAAATCGTTTGCTATTAAAGGTAAATCGGTAATTTACTAATCCATGGATTAGGGATAACTTTGTTATTTATAATTTTTTTCTAGATCGATATATGGCCATTCATTCTGTTGTCTCTATAAAAAAGGCAAAAAGGAATAAAAATATTGTCACAATTAAATAATTATTATATCTATCTAGACCTATTTTTTACAATAATACCCTCTACGTTTGTAGTACGGCTAACTAGAATAATAGTATAAATAGATCTATACTCTTCGATCCAATGAGATTAATGGTTTATATTGTCTTATATTGTCTTTTAGAGTAAATTTCAAAGTACATATACTTTGATCAAATTATCACATAACTACAGATTAACTTGATGTATCACAAAACTACACATTTAAGATGAAGTGTCACAAAACTACTTGTTTAGTAACACAACTACAAGTTTAGAACCAATTTAGTCACACAACAATAATGTTTATAGCTCCAGCATAATTTTGTGATAACTTCAATATTAAATATATAGTTTTGTGATATTTAACCTTAAATATGTAATTTTGTGATAAATATGGTGTTAAATCCGTACTTTTATGATACACATTTTAAATTTGTATTTTTGTGATAATTTAATCAAAATACCAATAGTTTTATGAAATTTACTTATTTTTTTATTACCAAAAGAGAACATCCTAATGGGGCTCGGGGGTAAAAACCCACCGGCGCAGGGGCGATGCATGTGTCCACTGCAGCGACGGAATCATGCAGATGAAATTATCAAGCACATGCTCCGCCTCGCCAACTGAAACACCCCCACACGGGATGGCGGGAATCAAACATGGGAGGAGGGGAATAACAACGTGCTGAATGGGGGCCTACCGGAACAATTGAGCGGTCAAAACGTCCTTGCGCGCGCACACGGACGTGACACGCGACCTCTCAATCTCTCACTCATATATACCCAACCCACCCCTTATCACGGGCGACGAGACGTCCCGCTGGTATAAAACGGCCCCCTCCCGGGACGCCACGATCGTCACAAGCAAACGCACGCGCCCCCGCCTATGAAAGCCCGCGCGCACCACGCACACACGCACGCACGCAGTCGCAGGCGCCGCAGCTCGTCTCCATGGGTGTCGTCGAGGCAGAGGCGTTGCATGGGGCGGTGGAGGCCCTGGCTGGGTCGCTGCAGCCGCACGTGGCCACCGCCTTCTTCGTGTTCTCGGCGTGCACGGTGGCCCTCGCCGCGCTCCTTGCCGTGGTGCGCCTGCGCCCGCCGTGGTGGTGCGACTGCACCGTGTGCGAGGCCTTCCTGACGGCGTCGTGGGCGGGAGAGTTCGACAACCTCTGCGACTGGTACGCCCACCTGCTGCGCACCTCGCCGGCGCAGACCGTGCACGTGCACGTCCTCCGCAACGTGCTCACCGCCAACCCGGTCACCGTCGACCACGTGCTCCGCGCCCGCTTCGACAACTATCCCAAGGGCGCTCCCTTCTCCGCCATCCTCGCCGACTTCCTCGGCCGCGGGATATTTAACGTCGACGGTGACGCGTGGCTCTTCCAGCGCAAGCTCGCCGCTGCCGAGCTCGCCTCTCCGGCGCTCCGCGCCTTCGCGGCGCGTGTCGTGGCCTCCGAGCTGAGGTGCCGCCTCATCCCTCTGCTCCACTCTGCTTCACGTGAGGGCAACGGCAAGGTGCTCGACCTGCAAGACATGTTCCGCCGCTTCGCCTTCGACAGCATATGCAAGATCTCGTTTGGCCTCGACCCTGGCTGCCTCGAGCTGTCGATGCCTGTATCGACGCTCGTGGAAGCGTTCGACACGGCGTCGACACTCTCCGCGCGGCGGGCGACGGTGCCCATGCAGATAATCTGGAGGCTGAAGCGGTTCTTGAACGTCGGGGACGAAAGGAAGCTCCGGGACGCGGTCCGTTTGGTCGACGCGCTCGCGGCGGAGGTCATCCGACAACGGCGGAAGCTTGGCGGCGCTGCCACCGGCAGCGACCTCCTTTCACGCTTCATGGGCTCCATCGACGACGACAAGTACCTCCGCGACATCGTCGTCAGCTTCATGCTCGCCGGCCGCGACACCATCGCCTCGGCGCTCACCGCCTTCTTTCTGCTCCTCTCCGATCACCCAGAGGTCGCCACCGCCATCCGAGACGAGGTCGCCCGCGTCACGGGCGACGGCAACCGAACCATGGCCGCCACATTCGACAAGCTCAAGGACATGCACTATGTGCACGCCGCGATGTACGAGAGCATGCGCCTGTTCCCGCCAGTGCAGTTCGATTCCAAGTTTGCCGCCGGCGACGATACGCTGCCGGACGGCACGGTCGTCGCGAAGGGCACCCGGGTGACCTACCACGCCTACGCCATGGGCCGGATGGAGTCCGTATGGGGCCCCGACTGCGCCGAGTTCCGGCCGGAGCGATGGCTCCGGGACGGCCGGTTCGTCCCGGAGAGCCCGTACCGTTACCCGGTGTTCCAGGCGGGCGTTCGCGTCTGCATCGGCAAGGAGCTAGCCCTCATGGAGATGAAAGCCGTCATCGTCGCCGTCGTCCGGAGCTTCGACATCGAGGCGATCGCGCGGAGCTCGCGGCGGCCCAAGTTCGCGCCGGGCCTGACCGCCACGTTCGCAGGCGGCTTGCCGGTGAGAGTGCGCCGGCGGCGAGCACGTGCGAGCGGGCACAACCCGCCAATTTAATAGGTAGAGCAAACAAACTGGTTCGTGTCATCACGATTTGTTCTTCTGTGCTTCTTTTCGAACTGGAATATTAATTAGGTTACATGCATCATGTCGATTATGATCGATGACTCCGTGACCACTCGTGAGTGGCTGAGTGCGTTGGCACTTGGCAGCACCAAACTTGATGCTGGACGACTAGTCAGTTGCCTCCACCACTCGAGATGGAGCGGTAGATTCTGGGAATCGATCGATTGCGAACCTATCAGACCAAATCGCGCGTAGCCCGACTCGTCTGCGATCAAATCAATCCCCGGCGCCGTTCGATCGGTTCATTCAAAGAAGAACATATACGGGACAAAAATGGAACTGGAGAAGAGGAATCAGCGAACGGCAACACTGTCGTAGACAGTAGAGTAGACTCGAAGTCGTTTGCTAGCTATAGCTAAGCGCGCGGCGCAAATCTAATATGATTTCCTCTGCGTGGAAAGAGATCAATTTAGCGATTATTATAGTGGTAAATTGAAATGCGAGGCGTGGCCGTGGCACAGAATCTAGGCGTGGTAGCTAGTGAGTATAGTATGCGACGAGCAGGCTTTTGGAGCAGAGGCGCAGAGCGTTGCACGCATATGTTCGAGTACGGCGACATAAACAGATGCTAATTCTTGGTGGTCGGGGTGGGTCTCGGGGGGAGAAGAACCAACGCGGCGCACATGTGCTCGTGGGGCGGCCGCTGGCTGCTCGTGTTAGATCCTCCTCGTGGTCCTGCCGTCCGTCCCAACTTCGTCTGGGCCTCTCGCCAACCAAGTGCCATTAAACTAGTACGCAGTACCAGCAGCTGCAAGAAGCCCGGGTGCACGTTTTCTTTTGCATCCAGAGCAGCCAAGGACGCAATGGCAGTAAAAGATAGGTAAGGTGGGGACTCTCTCCCTTTACTTATTATCCTTCTTGATCTACAGGAACTAAGCTAGGCAAATTCCATGGCGCTTCCGAAGAAGGCAGACCTGAGATTTCCACATGCCAAAAGGTTAGGATGCCAAGTGCCAATAAGACTCCAACTCCACGCTTGATTCCGTTCATCGGCTGTATGGTCAGCTCGACTGTCGATCGATCCCGTCAAAATTGTTACCTCCCTCTCAAGTTACATATAAGTAAAAAGTTGTTATGTTTTAAGACAAATGTGATAAGTAAAAGTTTGAGAAGAGAATCTCGAAGGAAAAAGTATGAATTACCCCCCTGAATTATTGTGGTTGACCGAATTATCCCCTGAACCCGAAAACCAGACATTTTTCACCCTGAACTTTCAATACCGGACGATTTACCCCCTTCGACCCAAACCAGAGCGGTTTTGTCCTACGTGGCGCATGCGTGGCAATCCAGTCAGTATTTTCTCTTTTTTTTTAAATGGTGGGGCCCACCTGTCATATATACCCTCTCATCTCCTTCTCCACAACCCCTCTTTTACTCTCTCTCTCTCTCTGCAAGCAGGGGCAGCTCGCGACGGCGGGTGGTCAGCGCGCGCGGAGGCGGGCAGTCGGCGGCGCGCGGCAGCGGAGCCCGACCTGGATAGCTACAGCCCACCACCTGGGATGCTGAGGCGTCGGCAGCGTGGGACAGAGCCAGCGGCAAGGTGGCGGAGCTAGTGATCTGCCCCATCTACGCCAACCTCCCCGCCGAGCTGCAGGCCAAGATCTTCGAGCCAGCGCCGGCGGGCGCGCGCAAGGTGGTGCTCGCCACCAACATCGCCGACGCCGAGACGCCGTACAACCCGCGCACAGCGATGGAGTCGTTTCTCGTCGCGCCGGTGTCCAGGGCGTCGGCGGAGCAGCGCGCCTGCCGGTCGGGTATCCAGGTCCGAGTAGCAGCTGCCGTAGCTAGGTGGCTGGGAGGGTGAACCGGTCCACGCCGCCGCCGCCGCCTCCGCATCCAGTGCCGCCGCCGCCGCCTCCGCAACTGCTGTGATTGACGAAACGTTGGGTGTGCTTTATCGATCAAATCGTGTGTTAATCCCCATTTGCTTCGGCTGGAATTGCAACTTGACCACCAAGGAAAATGAGCATGAACGTTTACTTGTTCTGGTCCATATGAACACATTCTCCAAGCCATGCGGTGTTCGTCTCGATCTGTAACTTCAACCAGAATTCCCAATGCCTTCCAAGGACAAGTGTGTGCGTGCGCGCATGTTCAACACCATCATATCACTATCTAAAATGTGATTCCTCCGCATCACATCGCCGTCGCCGATGCGGACGGCGCAGGCGGTGCCGGCCTTGAGGCCTCCTGCTCTGCTTCCAGGTCGACCGGGACAGCGACACCATCGGGGCGTACGTGTGCAACCCAACGACAAGGCGGTGGGCCTCCTTGACGCAGCCGGCGACCCCGTGGCCCCGCAGACACGACGGCGCGTTCATCGCCTTCGACCCGGCCGTCTCGCAGACACGACGGCTGGCTTGTGGCGTGGTTGGACGTACGCCGACGCTGGATTTGCTCATACCGGAGTCGTCGTCCGGAGAAGACGAGCTAGCGCCGTCGCCGGAGGAGAGGACGTTGCTTCTGCGCGTGTTCTCTGTGTCCCACGCTGCCGCCGCCTCCGCATCCCAGGTCGTGGGCTGTAGCTGCCAGGTCCGGCTCCGCCGCCGCGCGCTGACCACCCGTCGCCGTGAGCTGCCCTGCTCGCCGAGAGAGGGAGAGAGAGAGAGAGTGAAAGAGGGGAAGAGGAGAAGGAGATGAGAGGGTATATATATGATAGGTGGGCCCCACCATTAAAAAACGAGAAAATACTGACTGGATTGTCACGCATGCATCGGGTAATTCGTACTCTTTCCAATCTCGAAACCCATGCACCACGAATCTAGAGAGATGGAGTGCGCCATCACACCTTGCATTGGTTTTACACGAGTTTGTTGGATGGTTGCGTTTGACCCTGTCCTCCCGCATCAAAGCTCATAAGATGGACCAGGTCAATCTTCAGTGTGTCCAGCAGAAACAATTTCTTGTCAGACATTTCCACTGTAAACTGGTAGCAGTAAATGGTTTTTGCCGGCATCCATTTCGTTTGGTCCCGTCTGTAGATTTTTCATCGGCTGAAAATGACAATGCGTGTGCCAGGATTCAGGATTCAGGTTAAAGCTGCAGTTTCCTCATAATTAAAAGTTTTTTCAAACAATCTAGTTTTTCATCCAGATTTTAGAAAGATGTAGTGATAGAATTTAGAAAATGAACTAAAAGTTTTATCACCAGCTGAATTTTTACCCACTGCTCCTTAAAATCTATAGCAGTAGTTTTCAGGTGTGCCGAGGACAGCCAAGAGCCAACAATCTAGGATAAGAATGGTTGAATAATGCTGCTCTGCCGTATACTGTTTGAATATTTTGACCGTGTCGAGTGGCGATGGCGACTTGTGTGATGACGACGTCGTTCCATTTTCACCTTTGAGGTTTTGATCGAGCGGCAGTGAGCTGTGTAAAAGAACTGAATTCATGACAAATTGGCTCGTTGCTCTCGTGTGTATGTGAACTATGAAGACCCGGAAATACTGCTCCTGTGTTGGGTTTCCTGTCCAAGCTCTGCACTGAAACTCCGACAGACTCACAGACAGTCACATCCCGTGCGTGTTGCTCGTTAACGATCGGTGTCGCGTCCGTACTACACTATACCGTACCAGTGTACCACACACTAGCGCGACAACTCGTCGTTGGGTTTCACCGTTATTGCTTCGACAACTCATGCTTATTATGCCTCTCCTGCCGTATCATTCGCTTCCCGTGCAAAGGCAATCATAGAGCCCAACCATCTCCATCTGACCGAAGCCGGCAGCTTTTCTTTTTCCTGCACGAGGGGCTAGTGCGTACCGGAGCATCGGTCCCGATCGGATCACCGGGCACTAGGCGCGGCGTAGATTCTGGCCGATCTAGTCCAGCAGTCCAGCCCACCGGAACAAAGGCTTCAGGTGTGTGCGTCAAGCGGAAAGTGTATTCAACTAAACGTTGGAACTCAGCTATTGCTCTCTCTCGAAGCTCCCTCTCCTCAAGGTGGTCGCTGTCGCCGTCACCGGCGCTGGCTACTCTCGTCCTGTTGTCTTGGTCCTTGTCGTCGGTGAGCTGAGGCACCTGGGTTCTTCCCCTAGCCGTCGTGGGTGTCATCGGTTTTGCACAAAAGAAGGTTACACCGGCCTACAATTTCATCTCTGCCAAGCACTATCCAAGCCAAGCAGCCTCTTCCCCAAATTCCGACAAGAGTTCATAAAGAGATGGTTGATGGAATCCACAAGTTTGCCGAGAGGCCCTCAACCTCCCATTCAAGGAGGCCCATTTGGATATGTATCTTGGCTCCCACTGTGCTTTTATTGTTATCTTTGCTGGTGTTTTGGATATAGCTGTTTTTCGTTGTGCCTATTGTTATGTTGATTTCTTTCAAGAACTCAAGTGGAAATCTTCTGTGGAGATGCCAAGTTTTTCTCTTTTCGGTCCGACGCTTCAACCTTCATCTTTGGGAGGCCCCTCCAAGGTTTGTGTGTGGGATCTACATCATGCAGCTCACCTTTCTACAAGCACCACCGAAGCTGAGCTCCAAGCTACCGTCGTTGGCGGTTGGCGTCGACAGCAGATCGACGAGAAGGACCTGTTGTTTTTTCTACTTATGCGTAGGTCTTTTTCTACAAAATGTTGTACATATTTGTAATTTGGTCATTCTAGAGGGCCCTTTCTGCAAAACTGGTTGTACCCCAGTAAACCGTGCTATATCCGCCATTCCGCCCTGCTACTCGTGTAAGTGTGTAACTTGACCCTAGTTCTCTTAGATAAATACTCCCTCCGAAGACGTTAACTTTTTAAACATGTTTTATCGTTCATCTTATTTAAATTTTTTTTAAAAAATATGTAAAATTATATGTATATATAAAATTAAATTTAACAATGAATCAAATGATATGAAAAGAATTAATAGTTAATTATTTTTTTAAAAAAAATGAATGATCAAATATATTTTAAAAAGTCAACGGTGTAAGAATATTTATGTATGGAGGGAGTACATGAGTTTAAAAAAAGAAAAAACTAATCGTTGGAACCTAATTTCGGGAGGAGGAGATTTGACCACCCCGCTGTCTCGCGGACCACATCCTCCAGCAAACCGGCTTCGCTATTTGCCAGAGGAATTCTGCGTGCATGCAGTGATGCAGTGACGGAAAAGCGGGAGCACATTGGTACTGCAATGGTAAAGTAAGATGTTATCTATAAAACATGTACATCTCAGCAATAGACTAAATTAATAGTAAACCACCTCAATAGTATGTCTACATGGGTATCTATAACTCTCTAATCCATTGCCTCGTTTTTCTCTATAGACTATCTCTAGGTTAGTAGATAACTTTGCTCTCTCTCTCCATTTAATCTCTTCCAAGTAGGAAAATATGCTGACATGGATCTCTTGTAGAGAGCATATAGATAACCATTGTGGGTGCCCTTAGTGTCTGTCTTTTTCTTTACACTATCGCTAATGGCGACTTTGGATGCTGACGAAAGGGCACCCGGAGTACTATATGGTGGCTAAGATTCCGTCGAAATGATGATACAGCGCTGATAATAATAAAGAAGATAAGAGCAAATATAATAGAGGGCTATAAGAAGGCTGAATGCTGATGTGGATGAGAGAGGAGAGGAGAGAGATGAGAAGCGGACTGTAAGTTTACAGCCGGCTTAGGCACAAGAACCAAGAAAATCTGTGAGACAGACAGGTAGACCATATATTTATAGTGAAGAGTTAACCATTATATGAATGAGCTGATAGATAGGCTACAAGTAAGCAGCTGGCTGTATTATTATCCTTGCTCTAAAGGAAGTTTACTAGCCGATTGATTGTTCATTGTCTTGCAGAAAGTCAGAAGCTATATGGGCCTAATGTATTATTACGCTTTCAGCCCATAACTTCAGGCCCGTATAGATCTCAATAGGAAACCGACAGAATATCCGAGGATGGCGGGCCACCGACTCGATTGAACAACCCCATCTGCGAGGTCCAGGGATACGGATGCCGGTTGGCTCCTCTTCCGCGACTCCGGCGACGGAATCCCTCCCCCGAAGGAGCCGTTCGGTTAATCCTGAGACAGAGATTAAAGGAAATTTATTGGAATTATTCTCTCTTAATCCCCTTCAATCATCTTTAATCCACTTCAAACCGAACAAAGCCTCAGGGAAGAATTGAAACGGATTTATTCCACATCTATTGTGGTGTGGAATTATTCCCGCTCAATCCTTCTCAATACCGAACAAGACCGAAGCGAGCTATTTCTCCGTTTCTTTCCTAAACTCTAGCTACGGTGGTGTTTGAATCTCCTGAAGATAAAGATGAAGATTAAGTATTTTACGCAAAATGAGGTGATAATAACATGTGACTAATTGGGTTTTAGTTATTACAAACTTGAAAAATGGATTAATCTGATATTTTAAAACAACTTTCATATAAAAGTTTTCGTACGAAACGCACCGTTTAGCAGTTTGAAAAGCATGCCATGAGTATCTAAGGCCCCATTTGGCCATCTCTAGCTCCCACTCCAACTTACGTGGAACCAAAACTGTGCCAAACAATCTGGATTCTCTATTTTTAGAGCAGAGTTGGCATAGCTACTTCACAAAATTGTACTACGGGGGTGGAGCTGGGTTTTTCTGCTCCACAGCTCCACTCCACCCCAAAAGACCCACTACTATTTAATTTTTTAGTGTACTAGAAAAAATACCCGTGCGTTGCAACGGGTAAACTAAAATTATACCAAATATAAAATATTATATTATTATGTTGAGTTTTACATTATATGGGCCTTTAAGAAAATATATTTCTAGAGAAATAATGAAGGTTAAAAAAAAGAAAGAAAAGGCCTCTTTAGAGTATAGACCCGCCGGTCTGCTAGTGCATTCGCGCGAGTGGCCCAACAGCCCAGCAGTGTTGCGGCCCGGGAAGAGAGGCCGGCCCGACACGGGATCAACCTGAGCCGTTCATTTTCATCGATGGCTCGGATGATTCTGAATCCATCAAAACCGCTAACCCTAACCCTCATTCGCTGACCCCTTTCCTTCCCCACTGCGACCCACCTCCCTCCCTCTCTCTCAGCGCGCCGCCTCTCCCCCTCCCTAGCGGCGTCGCTCCCCCTCCACCCACCAGCGGCGCCGCTCCCCCTCTCTCTTCCTCTGACCGTCCTTCCCCTCATCCTCTCTCTCGCCTCTCGTGCGATGGGTCCGGCGACGGCGACCGCGGGTGGATCCGGCCGCGGTGGTGGCGGCCGAGGACGGATCTGGCGGCGGCGGCTCCGTCCGACCCCTCTCGCCTCCCTCCCACGGTGGATCTGACGGCACTGACGGTGTCGGCCCCATCCCCGGTGTGGCGACGCGGCTAGGAGCGGCGGTGGGCTCGGGAGCCGGTAGCGGCCGAAAGCAGCGATGCGGACAACGGCAACGACGGTGGCGGCGAATGACGACGAGGAGAGCGGGTGTGGGAGGCGGCTAGTTTTTTTTTTAATTTGGGATGTTGATTTTGTGGGGATTCTTGATTTTGATTTGGGATTGCAACTGAGTGATTTTGTGGTTTTGGGCAAAGGGGTTGGGAGCAATCGGTTGATCTACTCGTGGATTTTTTTTATGGTGTATTTGAGTTCTTGTGGATCTCTCTTCTGACTTTATTTGGTTGGATTAGAGTCCGATTCTTTTATCTTTTTTAGAAAAATCGCAAAAAACCGCACGGGGAGGGAATCAGACTGCGCATCGCATTATACTCGGACGACTTACAAAAATCCCTGGCAAAAACATCTTAAACTTATATAATATAGGTAAAAATAAAGATAAAGATAGAGTTTTTATAATATAATAGAGAAGAGATATAGATTAAAACCAAAACATAAAATTAAAACTGACTTAAATACGGATGATAAACCGCGAAAACATCTTCAATTTTTATAATCGAATCAAACACGGATGACGGACCGTAGAAACATCTTTAATTTTTATAATAGTAGAGATAGAGATAGAGATAGAGATTGAGATTTTCACCACAATGCCACTGAACTATCCCTTCATACCACATCTCCTCCAGTTCTCTCTCCTCCTCCGTCTTCCTCGGTAGCCCGGCGGCGGCGTCGTTGGCGTCGGCAGCGGCGGACGGGTGGCGCGGCGGCGAGGGCCACGGGCGGCAGGCGCGCGGGCGGAGGCGCGGGGTGGCGGCGGCGGCTGCGCGCGGGCGGTGGCGCGGGGTCGGCGGCGCGCGGCACGTTACAGAAGAAACAAAGCGGACACGTATCTCGCCGTCGTCTCCCGCTCCGCACGCAAGCAGCGGGCGGCTGCTGCTCCGCGCCTCCGTCGTGTGGGGCTCGCGAGAGCCTGGACCACGGCGGAGGCCTCCACCGGCGTTGCTCGCCACCGGATTTGGCGTGCTCTGCTTAATTGGGCCGATCTCAAGCCCTTGGCGGAACTTGCACTTCTCGACCCAAAAACCCAAACAAGGCATAATTGGGCCGATTCCCTCCTATATTCTCGTTTCCCGCGGCTCAACCGCTCATCAAGCCCTAGATAGTGCTCTCTCTCTCTCTCTCTTTGCTCGATTCGCCGGCGATGGCGGCGCCGCCGGAGGCGACGGGGGCGCCGCCCCAGACTGAAGGAGAGGAGGTTAAGGATGGCGTCGAGGTCTGCGTATTTGACGAGTCACCGGAGGTCTTCTCCAGAGCGGTGCACGCCATCTCGGAGCTCACAACCGGGGAGCACGAGCCGAACTTCCCTGACGCCGAAGTCGAGCGGCTCGCCTCCTCAATAACTTTCCTCAGGTGAGAAACTCCCTCCTTGCTCTGTCTAATCCGGTACCTAATCACCGCGGCAAAATTGGTAACTTTCTGTTGTTGGCCTATTTAGCTGGGTGGAGTGGACGAATTTGTGTTTAATAGTAGCGTTTATCAGCAAAGCATTAATTTGTTAGTCATTGATGCAATTTCACGGAGCTTTCAATGGGAAAATTTATGTGGCATGTAAGCTCTCTGTAGTTTATTCATTGCCTTATGTGCCACACACGGTGGCAAATTTTATTGGAATTTGTTAATTTAGATCCTAAGACATCGCTGCCACACAAACAGAAAAAAAGCAGTTGTCACAGGAATGCTTTGGTGCCGTTTCATTATTCCTGTTGTGGCTATTAGAATTCATTTGGCTTTTGCCACTGCAATTGGCCATATTCTTACTTCCAGTGTCCTTAGGTAACAATATTAGCTCAATGCACAATTCTGTTTTTCTATTGATTAGAACGATACAAGGATTTTTTTTTTCATGTCATGAACAAAATGCAGTTGCACTGTTACTTGTTTTATTACTAATTCACTAAGTTTAAGTCACTTTTGTTCTGGTAGATATATTTCCTTAATCTGTACTCATTTGTTGTTTGATGACTCTGATCGATGATCATTTATGCACATTGTGACTTTCTAGCTTACCATTTGATGTTATGGTTTAAGGCACAGAGGAGTAGCGAAACTTGATCCCCTTTATCTATAAGTCACTAAGTCAGTGAGCCCCACCTTTATTTGTGCAGACTACTTGTTAGCTGTTACTTTGTATTCAGGATTGGCAGTTTCAGTAACAGCTTTAGTTATTAGCAACCTATAGTAGCATGCTATAACTAGTTAGTACTCTTTGATTTAATCACCAATTAAAGTAGAAGAAAAAATTTATGTGCCCAGTGTTCACCAGAAAGATTTTTTTTTTTAAAAAGCACCACTCACTGTGTTTTAGCACCCACCAATATAAGGATGTTAAACTCAACTGAGACTGATCAGCTGGTACAGCCATACAAAGGCTGCTCAGAACCTTAGCTTTCTAGTATCATCCATCTCACTGTAAGCTGATTTGCATCAATTGGAACTGCATAGTTTCAACGTGCTGCATTGTTGGTTCTCCTCCATGCCCATTTTAAATTTTACTGACTAAAATTTCTACATTGTCACATATACTTGCTCCCTAAGTGCAATGCATTGGTTTTTATCCAAATGTGTCAAGTGTCAACTATTAGCAGTTCACATTAGATAAATTATCTGCATTTATTATAACCATTAGCCTTTTGTCCAAACAGACTATCTGCAATGATTGAATTTGTCCACTGATAGTGTTAGACCACTTTCCTTGGCATAGTATAGTCTATAGTTGGGTCAGATTTTAGGTTCGCCGTGTTCAGCTCGCTTATGCACATGAGGACGACTCCTTTCAGCACCAAGAGTAACAGATTGTGGAAAGTTCTAACAGTCATTCTGAGCATCAATTAAATGGAATTCACAAGCTGCTTTTTCATTTGTCTAATCTGATTGCCTTCTTTTTTTTTAAAAAAAAAATCAATATTATTTAGTACCTAATCTGCTAGTTATTTCATATCTTTGCAGAGAATGGAGGCACTTCTCTTATGAGCCAAAAAATGTTAGTTTCACTTGTGACGCCAGATCAGCTCCATCCAGAGTTGACACACACAAGATAAACTTACCACAGTTCTCGTCTGCATCTGTCCCCCAGGTTATTACTCAGTTGCTGTTGGTGCCTTGCGCTAAGTTCTTGAGGCTATTTTTTTGTTGTGTTCAGCTGAATGAGATTTCTTATATCATCTTTTGTTCCTTTTGGACCATATTCTCATAATTAAGTTCGGATCACACTGCAGATCACACACCTAGACAATGGGAAGGCTAAAACAGACAGGTATTGTTTATGGAGTTCTTTCTGTACTACTTTAGAATCTTGTCAATCTAGTTATCTTGTTGTCTGTTTTTTCCCCATATTTGTCAATAAAGGTCATACTGTTAGTGGAGATAGGCTATGTTAAGTTTCTCAGTTGATATTAGGAATAACCCAAGATGTCTGCTTATGTATTATTTTAGCTCCTTTGGCAATTCACTAGTTGATAATTTGCTGTAACATGACCAATAAGCAGACTAATTGTCAACATATATTGTATTCCTGCTATTGGTTAGTAGTTTTCAGGTTTCAGGGAATACCTCCTTTGATCTCTTTGAGTAGGTCTTCTATGAAACACGAGATGCGGGACTTGAATCTTATTTTGAAAGCCCTCCAAACTTGTTTAAAGATTTCAGTACAGTCTCCAAAACTACTAAGAGTATGCTAGTTATTAAGGTTTCTTAAATTGACTGCACACACTTCAAAACTACTAACCACATCAACTTGGGAGTAGTGGGTCATTCTTTTGGTCCAGAAGAACAATCGTACATTGGGTTTGGCAAACGTGCCAAACCTTCTTCCTTTTCTTTTTTTGGGGTTGGGGGTTGTGGGGGGTTGCTTTTTTTTTTTGTGATTGATGAAAATAGATCTGATCTAATACTATTTTTGTGCCTTTGCACTTCTCATTTTATTTAGTACCTGCCTCACAGTGTGATAAACACTGTTAATACTTTTTTACCTGCCATGTATATATTCTTTCACTTCTCCTTGCTTTTCATACCCATTTGACTCTATGAAGCCATCTTGATTAAATTATGTTTAATAATTTTTTAGCTTTTGCAGCTCAGATTTCGTTATATTTGCCGGAGGCAATGTTTGGGCGTTGGACTGGTGCCCTAGGTTGTGTGACAGGCCTCATTCTCCCATAAACTGTGAGGTTATAACTATGATAATACTGAAAGTTTTCTCTTGTTGTGGCTTCAAAATTGTTTATGCATCAGCATATTTTTTGTTCCAATATCCACTACTTGCTGTGACTATGAGTATGATGAGTGCTCTTTAGTTCATATGTCAATGGGAAAATTAACATGTTTCACTGAGTGACATACTTTATGGTGACATGAATTTAAAGACATCTCTTGCAGTACTCCCCACGTTTACTTTTATTAGGCATATTTGGTTTTCTGTATTTGTTTTTCCCATTTTAGATGCTCACAGGAATCAAAGTAAAATTTCTCATCTTTTCCAACTCTTGTTAAAGCAGTGAATCTGGTTCAACATTTCCAGTTCTATGTGCTGTGCATTGCAGGACGATAAAATGGCAGTTTACTTCTTTTTTACTTAATAAAACCTTGCGCTGAGATAAAGCATGTATAAGAAAATGACCGAAGGGAGTTCTTCCCAAGGACATCTTTGCATGCAGACTAATTGCATGATTGCATTGAATGTGCGGTGTCTATGAAATTAGTATTATGTTCTTTTTATGGTTTATATCTTCAAGTATTTGCTGGTTTTTGAAAAAAAGTATATGACTAAGAGTACAAGTTATTGAGAGCTGATAACCTTATTTGCACGTCTCCTATACATTGCAGTATCTTGCTGTTGCTGCTCACCCTCCTGGTTCTTCTTACCATAAAATTGGCATGCCGTTAATCGGGAGAGGTATAATTCAAGTTTGGTGTCTCCTAGCACCATCTGAAGAGGGTCATCCTCATCAGTCATTGGTTGCATGCAATAAATATAATCCATCCAATCAACCAAAACAAAGGGGTAGACCAAGAAAGACCATCACAACTTCTGATGATCACTTGGAACCAAGTGTCAAAAGACCAAGGGGCAGACCAAGAAAATATCCACTGCCAATTGCCAAAGTGGAAGATTCATCCCAAAACGACAGAAGTCAAGAGTTTGCTCTTATTTATCCTCTTGTCAGTCCAGCAGTTGTTTCATGTGACATTGCAATAGCTTATCCCATGCCAACTGTTAATCCTGTGGAATCAACTCCAAGAAAAGGTAGAGGGCGACCTAGGAAAAAACCTGTTGAAATAAAAGGTTTGTCTGGCATTAAACTAACAGAAGACTTGTCTACAGCTCTATCTCCAATAGCTTTAACCTGCATGGAGCCCAAGAAAAAAAGGGGGAGGCCCCGAAAGTATCCTGCTCCAAGCAACAGCAAGCATCTTCCAGGCACTGATACTGAATTAGGAAATGATTCTGTCTGTCAGCCTGGTTCAATTGATTTTGGTTTGGGTCCCACTGAAAATACTGGGTCTGGTGCTAATATAACTCATGCTGCAGTTGATGCAGCCTCCCCAGTTCCATTGTCAGGTCAGAGGGGTAGAGAACAGCCAGAAAAGGAAGTAATTCATATTGAGAATTCCATGCAATCTGGACAGTCTGACATAGGATCCATGTTGCCTACGTATATTTTACCTGAATCAGGCAACAAGAGTAACTCAACTGGTCTGAGGCGGAGGGGACGACCTAGGAAGAAACCATTTCCGAGTACAACCAGTTGTGTATTTGTTCCTGGTACTGAGACCCCAAAGAAAGGTTCTACTCTGACCAATTCAAATAATCTCGTGGTCTTGGCCAAGAGTAATTGTGACATTTTAGCAAATGATATTGGTCCATCAAGCTGTGCTATAGAGAACAGTGTCCATTTGAGTGTTGGAACATCTCATGCTGCAACACCAGCACAGGGCATATGTCTTGCAAAATGCAAGGAAGAATCAAGTGCCAAGAAGGGTAGAGGCAGACCTAGAAAGCAGCCAATTTCAACGGAATGCGGTTGTTCTAAAGCATGCAGGGGTGAAGAACAAAAAACTCAGACAATTCCCAAGTCAAGCGACAATGCGTCCTTGGTTGAAAATTGCAAGAAAGAATCATGTCCCGGAAAGGGCAGAGTGCAAGATAAAAAGAAATCTGTTTCAAATGAAAGAAGTTCAGTAGTGCTTAGTGTTGAAGCACAGAACATGGACGGATCTTCTGCATCAACTGCATATACTTCATGTTGTACTCCTGCTTGTAACTTTGAAAACGCAGAGACAAATCAGGCTGTATCTGTTCCTTCCGAAAACAGTGCTCAGGTTATTGATGAACTAAAAGATACAGAAGTGGCTCGATTCAAAGAATCAACTAAAGATGATAATATGATTTGTTCTGCAGAAAAGACCCTTTCTCGTGTCCCAAAAGACATTTCTCTACCAAGGGTTGTCTTATGTTTAGCTCATAATGGAAAAGTTGCTTGGGACGTAAAATGGAAACCTCCTTCAGCAAATCAGTCAGAACATAAATCATGTTTGGGTTTTCTTGCAGTACTCTTGGGGAATGGCTCGCTTGAAGTGTGAGTGTATGCTCTTGTAGATCCTTATTTATCTCATTTAAATATCTATCACCCCCTCTTATCATCTTGTAATTCATTTTTGTGCACAGATGGGAAGTTCCATCTCCAAGCATGATTCAGAAAATATATTCCTCTTCTTCAAAGGAGGGTACTGACCCTCGATTTTTAAAGCTGAAGCCTGTGTTTAGCTCTGCCAAAGTAAAGTGCGGGAACAGACAAAGGTATTGGACCTGTAGACTTTTTTTTTTGCTAGTAGTAGCTCAAACTAGGTGGAAGATTTGGATATATTTCTAAATTCCTCAGCATGAACTTTAATTTTGAAGCCATTGCCTCTTTATAATGGTAAACAGCATTCCCTTGACAGTTGATTGGTCACCCTCTCATGATATGATATTGGCGGGATGTCACGATGGAACGGTACCTTTTCCTTACCCAGCAAAATTATTTTCTTAACATAAATCCTGTGACCTTTGAGTCTTTCAAGTTGCTGTTCTGAAAGTTCTGTGATTGACTTTTTTTTATATTCCAGGTTGCTTTATGGAAGTTCTCTGCAAACCTGTCATTTCAAGGTATTTAGATAGTTTTGCCAACGACGTCACTCTTATCAGTTATCATTTACACTTTGCCTGACAACATGTCTGACTGTAGAACTGCTTTATTGGTTTAAAAGCAAGTTACTGGAGTTCCCAAATCTTCGCATTTCTTATTCTGTTCTGTTTGCAAACAAAACTAAATCATGCGTTCTGTTGATAAACAGGTTCAAAACCTTTTATGTGTGTAACTGCTGAATCTGCTCCCATCAGAACCGTGTCGTGGGCACCATCTGTGAGGTAGCCAGTTGTACTGTTACTTCTGGTCTATTCCAAAAGATAATTTTTGAGTTTTGACTCTTGTCATTCTGTCAGTAAGGAAAACGTGAATACCTTTGTCACTGCTGGAGAGGATGGTCTGAAATTCTGGGATTTAAGGTAGGTGTTGGCCTTGTTGTGAACTGAAGCAATGTTTAAAGCATCTTTCAAACTACTCTCCTATCCTGCATGAATTTCTAATATTATGTATGGGTCCTCAGAGGTCTTAACATTGAGGGTAGTCTCTCCCCCTTCCTCTCTGAATTCGTGGCACCCACCAATTTCTGAACCATTCATATTTGTTTCTGTTTGTTTCCTAATGGTAAAAATTCCGAGTTAACAAACAAAAGATAGGCACGATATGCAGAATATGTTATTATCACATGGACCAATGATGTCAGTAGGAGTTTCTTTATGAATCCAGTGCGATATACGGTTTTTTTCTTTAATTTTTCAATGGGCGCTAAGAAACTTGTTCTAGAAGCTGCAGTATGTTTGTCTAATAGATATATTGATTGTTATGGTTAAATCACTACCTGTCACAGCCGCCTTGGATTTGCTGTTGTTTTCTACTGTTTTTGTTTTGTAAATTTGGGAATTTTAGTGCATCTCATAAGATTTCTTTGCTGCAGAGATCCATATCGTCATCTTTGGGAGTTAACTACTGCTCCAAGGGCCGTAATAAGTCTTCAATGGTTGAAGGATGCAAGGTAATATTTGTTAAGCACTAAATGTACTTGTTTTTCTTCATTACACAAGATTTTTCTTCACTAACATGGTGTTTACGCTGTTTTCCTTGTCTTTGAAACACTGCACTAATTTTAAATGGAGATGTATGTTTTCATTAATGTTGGAACACATACTAGAAACCATATTTGCTATTGACAATTGTTTTAGTCATGTAATTTATGTTCTTAGCCCGTGGTTCATAGGACCTGTACTTCTCTGTTATTGTGTGCTAAGGTGGATATTGTCTTTGTTTATATAATTTGTTCCATTAAATCATCAGAATTTTTTTAAGCAATTCTACTTGCACTTTTTTTTTTGCAAACACTCTATTTGCACTTGTTTACATAATTATTAATATAAATGTTTGTATTTGCCCACGTACCTTCTAAATATGCAAGCTTCCTTCGCTGGACATGGTCTTGATGTATAACTGGATCAAAGTAGACGTGATTACATAGACCACATTGTTTCATTCATGGTGATATTGTGTGTATATAGGCCAGACATACCCTTTTGTTTACTAGAATGGTAATGTTAACTGTTATATTTTTATCTTTGTGTTCAGAGGTGTTGTCATATCATTGGAAGATGGCACATTAAAGTTCGTTAGCTTGTCAAGAATCGCAAATGATGTTCCTTTTACTGGAAGGCCATTTGTTGGAACGAAAACTCAGGGTGTTTCTACCTATCAATTGTCTGAATATTTGATCTGGAGTGTCCATGCCTCAGAAATTACAGGTGCATTTCACCTCATGTCCAACCATAGTAGATGTCAAGTATCGGAATATTGGTTATAGCCTATATCAATATTTAGTTCCCCACATGTGAGCAGAGTAAAAATGTCAAATATTCATGATAATTCATGAATTTGTAATTTTGTTTTGCTGATATCCAGGCTATGCGGCTTATTGTGTGGCTGATGGAACTGCTGTTTGCTTTGAGGTAAACTAAACAGCACATATACTATTGATTTATGCATGCTATTGTGATTCTCTATAACATTGCTAAAGAAATATTCAACTTACTGTAGCTTACTCCGAGATTCTGGGAAAAGGAACCTGGGAGGAACCGTGTACCATATTTTCTTTGTGGTTCATTATCAGAGGAGGGAACAACCATTAAAATTGGTATCGCATTACCAAACTCTCCTTTGTCAAATGTTCCTCTGGGGACCAAACGGGCTACTAAAACTTGCAAAGATGTAGCTCAATTGCATGTTATAGAAGAAGGGAAACTTCTTACCAACTCAGGTAATCTCTGTCACCTGCAACTTGTATCATTTTGCTTGTACCTGACATGCCTGCTTAACCACCATACAGAATACAATGGTGCTATAAATCCGAGCATCAGAGATGGTCAACAAGATGAACCTGATGAAGGACAAGAAACCGGTGCCATAGTTTTAGCTGCTCCTTCAATGCAAGAGAATTTTGACACAAGCACCAGCAGGGGTAGTGAATCCCCTGAAAATTTTGAGGTCTTTCCTCCTAAAGCTGTAGCATTGCATCGGTTGAGATGGAACATGAATAAAGGTAGCGAGAAATGGTTGTGCTATGGAGGTGCTGCAGGCATTATCCGGTGTCAGAGGATCTAAGAAACAAGAGCACACTTGAGGAATCTCCTTGCATATCAGGAAAATCTGCATGTGTCCATCTACACAATAAACTGTTGCATGCTGTGGTATGTTTCATCCGTTTCTTTCCTCTACTGTTATTCTGATCACCGTGTCCATTTTGGGTTGTATGTATTGACTTCTTGCAATGTGCTTGCAATATAACTGATTATCTTTGGAACTCCCGACAGAGCTGTATAGCCTTATGGACTGAAGCTTTACCTGAGCTGCGAGGTTCTCTGCGTTTTGGGACCAGCAATTCATTGCAGGTTGGTTTGAAAATAGAAAATACTGTCACTCCATGCGATTCTTCCTCGACATTAGTCTGAAATAAGTGCAATAAGTGCCTTTGGCGATCCAGATTCGCTAAATCTGTTGTAATTGTAATTGTAATTGTAATTATAATTGATAGCTATTCTTATTCATTTCCTTAAACATATTATTGATGCAGCTGAAAAACTGCACGATATTAGGTGGAATTTCATGCATCGCTGTTTAAGTTTTGGAAGTCATACAGCCTTGTTGCTTCATCTCTTTTTAAGGATTGTTGAGTTGTTAGGCTGTCGAAGCTTTTTTAAACAAATCAACAGCAACGTGTTGAGGCATTTCTTCGCTGCTGTGCTCAAGTTCTCGTAGGGAGCACGACCCTACGACATAGGAGCATTTCTGTCCTTGCTCCTTACCAGATAAAGAGATCTGATGTATCTTTGTTAACATGATATCATAACAGTTGGGTAAACACATAGGAGCATTTTCATTATCGGAGAGAGAATCTGGCATATTTACATTTCACTTAGCTGTCTTTATCAAAGTGATATTTCGGGTGAAACTGCAGGATGAAGTACTGTACAGTAGTAATAAACGTGGCTCCCCTTAAAAAAAGAAAAAAAGAAAAAAAAACGTGGCCTGTTAACATCCCTAATGTCAATGTTCAGTGTATAATACAACTATACATGCATAATTCTTAGTCGCTCAATGTTCAGTGTATAATACAACTATACATGCATAATTCTTAGTCGCTCAAGTTATCCTCATCGACTACAAAATCCGTTTGCCTCATGAATAATTCTCAGTCGCTCCAGTTATCGTCATCGACTACAAAATCCGTTTGCCTCTTGCCATCATCTTCTTGCAGAGGCTTAGAAGTGCTAACAATCAAATGCCTAAAAAAGCTTATGCGATAATATCCTAATATGCCCGACTACTCCTAAGAAATTTGAATTTGATAGGATATAGGAAAATTCTACAGAAAGATATATGATAACAAGAAATAGAAAATATACCATTTCAGTAAACGCTGGAGTTGATGGAGACCACACAAGAATTTGCATGTCATTGCTGCCAGTATAAAGCTCCTGGATTCCAAAAGACTCAGCAGTGGTATTGATGCGGGAACATTCAGGGTTAACAGAGGATAGGAGTACAGGGAAGACTTACTTGTTCTTGTGCACTACAGTAGCAGCAATTAACAGGTTCATAGTGCCCCCGGAATGTTTGAAATGTCATACCAGACCATAAATTGTACGCCTACATGAATATGGCAACACAAGGTGAAGTCTAAAATTCAGCGTCCAAACTGAGAAGCTAAAAAATGACAACACACCTTAATGCTTGCCATGCATGGGATGAATACAAGTGATGGATCCTCAGTGACAGCTAATTGTAGCGGTTTGCTAGTCTGTAATCGCATAGCTTCAAAATTGACCAAAGTATTGCAGCCTGAATCAATATCCCAAAGTCTTAAGCGAGAATCAGAACCTGAAGAGAGAGGATAACAATCATTAATGCATACTGCATACAGGCATAACAAGAAGATAGCCATAGACAATAATTCCTTTCAAGCAATAGCAATCGAATGCTCATAGAAATAGCAATTAAATTCAATCAACCTGAGCTAAGAAGGTACATCCCATCTGTAGTTGTTCTTAATCCTGTAACAGCACCATAATGTGCCGTTGCACAATTTTGACTAGAAGACAAACCAGGGTGCAATCTCTGTTGGATATGTCCATGTCCAGGGATTTGACTTTTGTGCAATTTGTGTGACTGTTTCTTACTCTTGCCTGTCCTCTGCTGTGCAGAGTAAATCTTTGAAGAAGATGAAGGTTGTAAAGAGTTCAAAGGATCCTGGTCAAAATTAAAAATGAATACATTGATCATTTGCACAACTAGAGTGGAAGGCTGAGTTTGCGCGTCATTTCTAGGACACAACAATCAACAAGAAACAATGTATGCAGACCTTATATTGTAAGAATTGGAGCACTAAACATACCATAGCACCTATATACTGACACTAATATGTGAGACAAACCTATAAATTAATAGCCGCAGAAATCAGCTTTTACTTGAAGGCTGACTGTATTGATCTAGCATTACAGCCATAATATTTTACTTGAAGCTGTAACATTTTTGAAGCTTTTGCAGAAAATAATAGTGGAAGTCCAGCTTTAGCATTGCAACCAAATATTCTGAAAACAAATGTAAGTGATGGATAATGGTGACCATATCTTATCTGAGGTGCCCTCAAGAAAAGGAGGCCGCCTTCCTAGTTGAGACCGTGACTGATCAAGAACAAGAAAGCATCCAGCTCGTCTTATGTCCCAAAATCGTATTGCTCCATCACAACCACCGCTCATCAAAATCCACTCACTTGAAGTAGACCACTCCAAAGACATGATACCATCTGACATGTCAGATACCAAGGATAAGGTGGTAACCATACAAACAAAGCAAGCATATTTTCATCACTGCACTAGAAGTAAGAAACTAACCACGATGACCGGACAACGTGTGGGTAAAGGCTCCAGAAGCAATGTCACATAAATGGACCTGAACATCCGCACTTCCAGTAGCGATCAGCATATGTGTTGTTGCAATTGGGGACATTGCTGCGCTATACACTTTTCCAGGCATCTTAAAATCCATTACGACCTAGGAAAAGAAAGCCAAGGCAAAAATCAGAACATCAGGATCACACCGTTGCCACCACCAAAGGAGGCAAGAGAAAAGAAAAATAAGCAATCCACAAAGCAGATGAATGCATACTTGAGTCGAATTAGTATCCCACACTTTGACATACTGATCAAAAGAAGCTGTCACGAACAGCCCAGTGTCCACAGGATACCATACGGCCATCGATACCACGAACTTGTGGCCATTTTCATGCTGCTTGTCCACAAGCAGAATGCTCCTGTGCTTGGCAATGAACCCGGCTTCGTATTCGGTTGCATTCTGCACATCGAATATAGCGGCTGATCCATCCGATGCGCCAGCGAGTAGGTACCGCCGCTCTGTCAAATCAACCTGACCATATTGTGAAATTACAAAACACCAGCGGGAGCGACTCACACATTGCACATCAAATACGCCAAGATTCCATCTACGGGGGTGTACAAATCAAATTGATCTAAGCCTCTAAGGTGAGAGAAGGAAAAGGGGAGTGAGGGGGAAGAAGGGGGTGGACCTGGAGGGAGTTGATGGCGCCGTTGTGCGGGGTGGTGAACTCCTTGCGGTTGGAGAGCGCGAGCGAGGCGGTGCGGCGCGCCCGGGCGGCGGTCTCGAAGCGCCGTGCGCCCAGCTCCCCGTGTTCCCTCCACCTCACCGCCTCACACCACATCCACTCGGCCGCGCACGGCAGCTGCGTCCCTCTTCTCGGCGGCGACGACGGCGACTCCGGCGGGCGGTGGACGGTGCGGCGCACCGGTGAGGGAAGAGCCGCGAGAGCAAACCTGGGGGTGGCCAGGCAGGAGCTATGCTGGCCGAAGATGGAGGAGGATTCGGCGGTTGCGCTTGGAAGCTTCCATTAAATTGGGCAGACGGCTCGGATCCTTCCATGTTCGACTCATCCGCCACCACCCCTCCGCCTATAGGCAATACGTACCTCCTCCTACTTCTCCCCTTCCTTCTTCCCTTCTTCTCTTCCTATTACAGTACACCACTAATTTTTTTTAAAAAAACAAAAGTTAGAAAAATTTATGTATAGAAATACTATATATAAAAAATTTGAATCGGGTATGTAAACTTTTGACTTATAAACTTTGGATCTATAAATTGTAGGTGTATAAACTTTAGATGTATAGAAATACTATATATAGAAAATATTTGAATTCAAATTCAAAATTGAATCAGATATAATTCAAATTCAAATTTGAAACGGGTATATAAACTTTTGACTTATAAACTTTAGGTGTATAAACTTTAGGTGTATAAACTTTAGATGTATAGAAATACTATATATATAAAAAAAGTTTATAAACTTTAGGTCTATAAAATTTGAATTCAAATTTAAATTGAATTTAAATTCAAATTTGAATCGGGTATGTAAACTTTTGACTTATAAACTTTGGATCTATAAACTTTAGGTGTATAAACTTTAGATGTATAGAAATACTATATATAGAAACTATTTGAATTCAAATTAAAATTTGAATTGGATATAATTCAAATTCAAATTTGAAACGGGTATATAAACTTTTGACTTATAAACTTTAGGTCTATAAACTTTAGGTCTATAAACTTTAGATGTATAAAAATACTATATATAAAAAAAAATATTTGAATTCAAATTCAAATTTGAATTGGATACATAAATTTTTGACTTATAAACTTTGGGTCTCTAAACTTTAGATGTGTAAACTTAAGGTGTATAAACTTTAGATGCATAAATTTACTAAAATAGAAAAGTAATGCGGTGAAAAAAATGGAAACCAGGTGAAGGGAGAGAGGGGGGAGGGGGCGCGGGGCGATTGCTACCCGATGGGATGGGCGATCGATCGCCCATTAGAGTTTCCGCTCATGGGGGCACCTGGTGGATGTTTGTCTCTGAATGTGTTGTGGTGTGAACATTGAGATACTAGGTGAAACCCCGCGCATTGCTGCGGAAATTTAGTATGATAACAATAAAAAAATAACGTGCAAGATAGTTAGATAACATCAAATTAAGTAAATTAATATGGTTTATGATAATTTAAATTTAAATAGTATGTAGAATGTTGATTCAAACGTAAAAAGTAAGGTGGCATGACTTTATGGAAAAAGAAAAGCAGAAAGATAGTTTGGACCGTAGATTAATCATCTAAAGGCTAAAAACAATTGATGTGATATGACTTAATTAGAGGAAAAAAGGAGAAAGATAATTTGGACCATAGATTAATCATTTAAGCACTAACTAATTAAGGATGAACTATATAAGTATATAGGATATCATAAAACATAATAAAGATATACATTGAAACATTATGTGAATTATATTGGATGATAATTTAACATATTTGTATTTGAAAAGCTCTTAAATTATAAAAACTATAAAGATATAGCATGTTTGCATGATGTTTAAATGTGATGATTGTTAGTGGATGATGATGTAGCATTTTGTTAATTAGTGGATGATGATGTGGCATCTTTGCATGTTAAGCTTAAGGAGTTAGTGGGGGATAACTTTATACTAAGATAGGATTTACAATCTCTGCTATTATAAAAATTGAAAAAAAATTTACCGGTCGGTATTTTGGTACGTCACCCGTATTTAAGTAGGTTTTTAAATTCATTCGCTTTTGGAAATATAGATCTGTGTTTGAGTCGGATTTTAAGTTCGTTTGCTTTTGGAAATACAAAAGAAGTCGTATAAGAAATTTCTTTAAAACAACTTGCATGCTAACTTGAGATGAAAGCCAGACTCCTAACTGTAGCTCATGATTTTCTAAAAAAAATCCAAGTGAATTCCCATAGTGAATTTCATCCTAGCTAAACCATATAACAATAATAAGATTAAAATAGCTTTTACCCGTTGCAATGCACGAGCATTTTTAGTATAAAAAAATACACATGCGTTGCAACGGGTGAATACTATTTTAACCTTATTATTGTTATACGGTTTAGAAAGGATAAAATTCACGGTAGGAATTTGCTTGGATTTTTCTTTTAGAAAATCACGAGCTACAATTAGGAGTCCGATTTTTATCTTAAGTTAGTATGCGGGTATTTTCTAAAAGAGATTTCTTGTACGACTTCTTTTGTATTTTCAAAAGCAAATGAGCTTAAATTCTAACTCAAACACATATATGTATTTCTAAAAGCGAAGGAAGTTAAAAAATGACTCAAACATGGATGATATACCAAAATACCGGTTAAAACATCTTTAATTTTTATAATAGCAGAGATAGAGAAGTGTTTCGTTATAATATCATTGTTTGAATGGGCTTGATAGAATATCATAAGTTAAACAAAGAGTGTTCGCTTAGTTCCTTTTATTATTGAAATAAAACTAACTAAATTTATACCACCATAATCTTCGTATATATGACGCTGGCTAGTTCAAACTAGCCAATGTCATTAAAAGACCTAGAGGGAGTAATATAGTTAAATTTTATTTACTTTATTGTTAAAATAAACTTTATCAAACTTTATCATGGTTAAGAATAAGGTGTTGTTGATTTCTTTTTTAACAAAACTGACTAGGCATTTGCTTGTTTTGTTATCAAAATTGCATTTGGCTTTCAACCATGCCAATCGTTTTATATTCTATATAGTTTAACATTGCATAAATATTGACTTAGCAAAGTTGAGCTACAAACAGGGTTTACGATTCCGACGAAATCCGATCGGATTTCGTCGGAATTTCGATGTTTCGACGAGACTCGAAAGTAGAAACCGTCTGAGATATTTTGAGGAGTTTCATCCAAATTCAAATTTGAATTGATAAAAAATAAAAAATCTTATAAATACTATTTTCTCCGTTTCACGATGTAAGCCACTCTAGTATTTCCCACATTCATATTGATGTTAATGAATCTAGACATATATATCTGTCGGTGAAATGGGCCCAGGGGTACGCACAGTAAAGGGAAATATCTTTCCCATCTGGTCGCGTGGCCACACGGCCTCGTTTCCCCCCGCCCCTCGGGTAGAGAGGTGGCCAGGGAGCCTCGGGGTGCCACGCCGCACCCCTCGGGCTTTCGGGGCGTGCTACCCCGGGGCCCTCACCTGGCCACCACGTGGCGGGGAGAGGAGGCGGGGCGAAAGACGATGCTCCGCGCCTTTAATGCGCGGTACCCCAACCGTCCCACGCCGTATTCAATGCGGCGTTGGGGGACGTGCGGCGCCGCTCGATTGACCCATGTCAATCGAGCATGACCGGCCTGTGACCGGTCACAGGCGACGGGACGGAGGGCAGTGCCCCCACGTTCCACCCTGTGTCAGGCGGAGTGGGGGCAGGTGTGCCCTGTCCCGTCGGCACGCTGCTAGGGGCGCCCCACGCGCGTGATGGGCCGCCGAAGCCTTCATACAATTAATAGAGAATGATAGGGATGTCCCCCGTGTCAGGCGGAGGACGGCGTTGGGCCCCACCTGAAGCCAGGCGACCATGTTGCTTCCGGTTGAAGCAAAGGATAGCGATATGATTAGGACCATGTGGGTACCCCTTTTCGTGGGGGGTAGGTGCAAACGGTGCATGTGGTATCCCCTTGAACTATAAAAGGAGGACCATTACCACCGGGAAAAAGGGAGGACTCGAGGAGAACTCAAGCTCGAAGGAAGAACAGCTAGGTCCCCGTCGGAGCTTGAAATCCCTTGTAAAAACTCACCATAATCCCACACACAGGAGTAGGGTATTACGCTCGGTAGCGGCCCGAACCTGTATAATCCTCGATCTCCCATACAGTCCCGACAACGATCAAGCAGCTAGACTGCGAGCGGAAGTAAACTCCTGTCATCGCGCCATTTCCCCCAGCCGAACTCACAAAAGGGGGTCTCACGACCACCTACTAGAGAGGATCGCTCCTCGACAATATCTATCTAGATTCATTAACATCAATATGAATGTGGGAAATGCTAAAATGACTTACATTGTGAAACGGAGGGAGTATGATATTCATAGAACCTATTGGGATATAAATGTTCGAAAAATGATGTATTATGTATATTTACTGAAACTTACATCAAGAAAGAAAAGAATAAAGAATTTAAAAAAGAAAACAAATTACTGATCGAAATTTTGATGATTTCGATCGGAATTTCGCCAAAACCGACCGGTTTTCGAGAACTTGCCGGCAAACTCAAGGATTTGTATTCAAATTTTGGTTTATGAAATTTGTTCGGAATTTACCGGTTTTCCACCGGATTTCAAAAATTTCGAATTCCACCGGTGTCCGAAACGAAAGAGCATGTCGGAATCGTATACCCTGGCTACAAACCAAACCAACCTTGTTTGCCGAATTGGATTTCAGCACAGTTGGTGTCCCGTTTTGATTCTTGAGGCCCATGATGTAGCAAATACTACTGCTACCAGAGGAGAAAACCGTCAAACCGGCATAGCTCCTCTCAAAAAAAAAAAAGGAGGGGAAAAAGAATCACGACATATAGCTGGTAGCTCCGGTCCAAACTCCAAACCCGCCCGTCTCCTCTTCGGCCGTCTTTGCTCGACCGGAGCGGAGCGCAGCGCAGGCCAACGGCGTGGACGACGCGCGCCCCCTCTGGATCGCCGCTCCCCCGCGCGCCACAGCTTCCATCCGGCGACTGCAAGGCCGCCCAAGCCAAGAGGTTATTATTCGTCTTCCGCTCCATGATTCCCTTTTTTTTTCCCTGAAGATGATTCGCTGGATGCTTTAGTAGTTTCTACCTCGCTGTTTATTGGATCCGTTCAATTCGTCTCCTCCTTGGGACGAAATTCTCGCGTATGTGGTTATTGGGACGAAATTCTTCCGAGTATTCCCTCAAAAAAAAAACTTCCGAGTAGCCTAGGGTTTGGGGAACCTTTTCCACGATTTTTATCATCGTGTCGATTAGTTCTTTAGGTATTAGACCGTCCATTCACCGATTCGAGGTGCACATATTTTGTACTTGCAAAATAGGGTTAAATCATGGTTCGACAAGACTGTTAGCCTGAAGATGCAAAATACCTGTTTAAGTTGTGCTATTTGTGTTCAACACAGTTCCTTTATAGTAAGGAATATATAGCATATCTGATGTAAGGCTTCAATGTGGGGCTAAATTCTATGTAATAGTGTGTATTATGTTCTTATAATCTCTTGAGTTCGATGGAAGAGCTTGACCGTGCAAATGTATTGCATTGTGAATCTTACACCTACTCTATGTCCTCAGGGTTTCTTTGCAAGCTTTAGCCGCTCGACGTTCATTGACAGAACATGCCTAAAATAAAGACAAGCCGTGTCAAATATCCTGGAGGATGGGAGCTTATTGAACCAACTATCCGTGAGTTGGATGCCAAAATGAGGGAAGGTATGACATATGCTCCCCTTTCAGATGTTTATTGATACTTCTGCTCTTATATGGATACTAATATCATCTACTCATGTAGCTGAAAATGACACACATGATGGGAAGAGAAAGTGCGAAGCCCTCTGGCCAATTTTCCGTATTTCCCATCAAAGAAGTCGCTACATATATGATCTTTATTACAGAAGGAAGGAGATATCAAAAGAGTTGTATGAGTTTTGCCTGGACCAGGGTTATGCAGACCGTAATCTGATTGCAAAGTGGAAAAAGGTTAGTATTCGACCCATGATTTGCTCTGTAAGATGCCCATCATTCCTTATACTCTGTGCTAGTTTAGTAAGATGCCTTATCCACCTTGTATAATCTTTAAGACTTTAATTAACTTGTGTACAAAGATAATTCAGATGAAGCCATAGACCCCTGGATACACCGCTAAGTTTCTCACATTTTTTCCCCATGCTTAGAATGTAACTTAACTGCTTGAAGCCTTGAACCATACTTTTTGTACTTGTACTATGAAAAATAAAACACTAAACTAACCGCATCCTACCATTTCTTGCAGTAAATCAATTATATTGGGTTAAGCTATCACATACTGATCTAGTTTGACATGACACATCATAAATCTTGTTTTAGAATCTAATCTATATGTATGAACCTGCGATTAATAGCTGTATGTCAAAGTTGAGTAGTGCCTTATTGGATTTCTTGCAATGAACCGTAGGAAATAGTGAAATAATGCAGCATGAGTGACGTGGGGATTTATGGACTAGATATTCTCTTATATGGGTGCACCATGAAAAATAAGATTTTGGGAGCAAAAAGAAAAGGCAGTTGACTAAAAGATGTTTATATATTTTCCGCTATGTATTTTTATTGGCATACTAGCAGCTGATGTAACCAGAAATCAAATCATGGATAGACTTCTAACACCCAATGATATTTTTTTTCCTGGACATCTGATAAAAGTTGGCAGATTTGGGAGGGATGCAATACTTGTGTTCCATATTACTACTTTATATACTTGTCTGAACATTGATAACGAGGGGCCTAAATTGCCCTAAGAATATTGTGAGACGTACGTGACGAATTCAACTGTCAAAGTTTTCAGTCACTTTTTAGATGCAAATCCAGAAGATGCTTTTTTGTCACAAGAGTTTGTCAGGCATTCTTATATCAAATGTATCATTGCTTCTTTTTGTGTGTTTTCAGCCGGGTTATGAGCGCCTTTGCTGTCTTCGATGCATACAGACACGAGACCACAACTTTGCAACTACATGCGTCTGCCGGGTCCCCAAGCATCTCAGAGAGGAGAAGGTTATAGAATGTGTTCACTGTGGATGCAGAGGCTGTGCCAGCGGTGATTGAGATATCGTCATTATCTTGTTTGAATCTGTCAAACTAAGCAGACATAATGTTTCTTGAGCGAAATTTCGGCTAAAAACGTTTACGAAAACGTTTTGTAAACCCGCCTACCGGGTATGACGTTATTTAAGTACCTGAGATTGTGGTTACGGTCTGCATTAATCTGCCGCATGGTCATTGCTTGATCATCGGCCTCAACACCCTGCATATGTGTATTCTAAAGTTTTTTAATGGAAACATCTGTTACTCGATGCTATAATTGCCGCTATGGTCTTTGAAGACGTATTGTTCTATGCACGATGAGCTGACTTTGCTTTGAATGACCTTATCGAAACCGTTGCAAGACTCAAATGTTTCCGTGCGGTAGAAGTTCGTGATCCAAGCAGAAAGATTCCAAGCAAGGACAGCCTGAGATCTCGGCCATTTTTGGAGCAGCACCAGTAGCAGTAGGCAGTAGCACAAGAGAAGACGAGTAGTTTTGCTGGCTTCGTCGCGTTGCTCGAACATGGCAAAGCTGTACCACGTTCACTACTCTTGTCCTCGACGAATTTACCCCCATAAACAAGTGCTACTGGAGTTCATGTACACAGTACACCATAAATCCAAACTCTCATGATTTTGTAAGATGCCAAATTGACAATATGCCACTGGACCCCGGACAGGGCAGGAGGCAGATCAGTCGATACAGGTAGGTGAGGCATCGCCATTCTCCCTTGAAAATGGACGGCGCAGCCTAGCTAACTACACCGTTGCGGTGGTCTCGTCAGCCCGTGGCCCTCGTGCTGCAGCGGGGCGCTTGTGTCGCGCGTAGGTAGCGTACTCCCTGTCCTGGGCTGTCGGTGCGCCGTGCGCCCGCGGCCGCGAGTACGACGCGCGCTGCGTGTGCGCCGTGCGCGGCTCACGGGAAACCAAGCCGTTTTTAATACGCGGCGCCGGTCAAGCCACACCGCCGGCATGTGACAGTGCGCGGAGCGGCATACGTACGCAGCAACGTCACTCGCGGCTCGGCTCGGGGAGCGCGTGAGCGTGCGCGCGGTGGCATGCATGGCGGACTCCACGGCCATGACCGTCGACTTCCTCCGCGCGCGGCTGCTCTCCGAGCGGTCCGTCTCCCGCGCCGCCAAGGAGCGCGCCGACCAGCTCGCCAAGAGGGTCAGCCAGCCACCGCGCGCAGGGGCAGCCTACTCTCGCTGTCGTTCGCGCCATTGATTACGTGTGTTGGGTCACTTGGTTGTAGGTTGCGGAGCTGGAGGAGCAGGTCCAGGCGGTGACGGCGCAGAGGCGGCAGGCGGAGCGGGCGGCGACGGAGGTGCTGGGTATTCTGGAGTCACATGGCTTCGGCGGCAACCTCTCCGACGTGCTCGACTCGGGCTCCGACCGCGACGGCGAGGAGGATGACGACCCACGCGACGCGAGGAGCGACGGCGACACGGCCGGCTCCCGCGGGGAGGAGCAGCCGCCGGCGCAGTGCGAAGCGGCGGAGGACGCGCTGTCCGGGACGGCCGAGCCCGGCGGCGGGCTGTCGTGGAAAGGCCGCAGCGTGAGCCCGCGCAAGGCGAGGCAGCTCAAGCAGAAGCACCGGAGGAGCTACTTCTACCTCCTCTCCTCCGACCCGTCGCCCAAGTACCGGATGGGGCAGTCCTGCCGCAAGAACAAGCGCAAGGAGCTCAGGTGAGCTCCGTCCCGCCATAGACGCTGGCACACCGCACACGCCATTGTTTGTCGAATTCTAACATCCCACGGCTCTGCTCATCAGCAATGGCAAGTCGACGGCGCCGGAAGAGCAGCGCGGCGACGTCGAGGAGATCGCCTGGAGTCAGAAGGGGCAGCAAGATGGATCGGATTGCACCGACGACGGCCAGGCGGACATGGACGGCGAGGTTGCTGGTGGTCAGTATGTGATCAGGTACGAGAAGGACGGCGAGATGGAAAGGGTGCTCGAGAGGCAGGCCGAGCTGATCGGCCAGTATGAGGCGGAGGAAGAAGCTCAGAGGCAGTGGGAGAAGCAGTTCAACGAGAATCGGAGCTCAGCCAAGGTAAGCAACCAAACACAGTTACACAGAAACACTGCTCAGAGTTGTGATACCAAATTCTTCCACTTCCAGAGAAAATGTTTCACATGAAGCAACTTCTGCAGTAGTACATGTGTACAACAAAAATATAATCTCATAACTTTGTACCATGAACTACGCCACAGAGAGAGTCAACTTCCCCTTGACTTCCACATGCTACCAAATTTAGTGCACATGCAGTACAAAAATGTGTACCACCAACTTGATAAGTATAAATAATTTGCTCTCTCAAAATGCTTTTTTTTAATAACAAAATGCACTGCAGAGTGCTACCCACAGGTTAGTTAGTATCATGAGTGAAACCTGGTTGTTTTGGTTCAAAATTTGACATTTTACTCATACTTTTGTCTTTGGAGCTCCAGGTTCATGTTGAGGCAGAGAATAAGGCGTGCCAGATAGAAAATGGTTGGGAGCAGAGCAAGGAGCATTCTAGGCTCGCGGATCAAGCGGTTCATTGCAACGAAGAGGCAAAACCAGGCGTTAAAAATCACCCCAGCGCCAGCAACAACCGCTCTGCTGGACTTCTGTTGAATGGTTCCCTTCCTGAATCACCCCAAGACACATCAGGACAAGAAGCAGCAGCCGACCAACGTGACTCGCACGAGGAGCTTCACGGCCACTGTCATGCACAGTCTCAAGGAAACTCTAATGTCGCCGGCACAATGACAGGGAAGAATCAAGAACAAGGAAACGAGAATCCGGATGGATGTTCAAGCTACTGTGACATCAAAGCGCCATCAGATGGGAGCCCGTCAATGAGTGATGCCACCCTGAACAGCAAGGTCTCTGATTGGAGCTCATCACGCTTCCATGACCATGGCGACAACCAGGTCGATGCAGGGCCAGATCAACAGCCAACGAGCAACATGGACATAGAGTGTGTTCTTCAGGCACTTCAGCTTGCCAGGATTTCCCTGAGTCAGAAGCTGAGCAAGCCAGTTCCACCCAGCCAGGTGACGCTGGCGCTTCCTGCACCAGGGGACCATGAACATTCAGAAGACGACGGCTACTCCCCCGTCGACGACGAGTTCAATTCTGCAAGAGATGAGCTCTGCAGCTCAAGCCAATCTCCTGATCAGGAGATACTGGCTCTCCCTGCACCAGAGGATTACCATGACAGGGAGAATTTGCCTGCCAATGACGACGCTACCATTTCACTGACAGAGGAACAGACCAGTTCAAGCCCACACCGGCAGGAGATCCTGGCTCTCCCGGCTCCGGTAGATGATTACCACAGAGAGATAGTGGATGACATCAAGATACCTATCTGCATTGCCGGCTTGTTTCGGTTGCCAACAGACTCATTTCCAAAGGACGAGATGGTCTCAACTTGCAACAAATATGGAGGTTCAGAGCTCAATCTGAGACCAACTGCAGCTGCTCCTCAGAACGCCTTCGTGAGCAACACTGCTGATCGTGTCACGGTAGCTCCGTCAGAGATAAGAGATGATCATGGCTTTTCAACGAGGCCATGTTACGATCCACACAGTTCTGGGCTGCTGTCTGTGCCTACTTCTGGTAGGTGTAGCACTCCAAGTTCAGATTTTACAATAAGGGGAGCTTCTTTCCTCTCCGGAATTCCCGGACTTGCTGAAGATTTCAGGAAGGGAAGGCCCCTTGCAGATGCAGACCTGTTCATGCAGCGTGGCTGCGATTACACTATTTCTAATAAGTGGATGCTGTAGCTTGTAACATGCATGAATTTGTTCTCTTTGCTTTTTTTACTAGCGGAAGGCAGCACTGATAATTGACAAGTAGTATTTCTCATGGCTGCATATCCTTGTGAAGAAGGCGTTCGATTACTAGGGGAGATAATTTGACCAAGACATGGGAAGTGCGCCACTTTTTGACAATTGGTACTCCCTCCGTCCCATAATATAAGGGATTTTGAGTTTTTGCTTGCACTGTTTGACCACTCATCTTTTTAAAAAAAATTGGAATTATTTTTTTTTACTTACTTTATTATCCAAAGTATTTTAAGCACAACTTTTCGTTTTTTTATATTTGCATAATTTTTTTTAAATAAGATGAGTAGTCAAACAATATAAACAAAAACTCAAAATCCCTTATATTATGGGACGAAGGGAGTATGTTGAAGTGCATTTGCAAACTTGCAGCCTTGCAGGTCACAAAGAAGCAATAGCCTTGCGCCACTGGATGGCCTGCGGCTAGCAATTTATACTGGCATGCCCCAGTTCTTGTCCTTTGTTTATGTGGCATGCCCAGCAGTCATGATAGCGGAGTGTTGCTTGACTTCGGAATCAAGCTTGCTACACATTTTTATCCCAGTGAATTCATCATAATGTTTTGCATATTGTGCTGCATCCGGTGACAACCGGCATCATTGCCGTACCTCATGTAGTACGTGCTAACTGCTGTACACGCGACATTCGAGCCGTGCACGCAGCTAGCCGTAGACAAGCAACAGCATTGGAATTTGGAAGGAGCGTGCTGAGAAGCCACCCGTGCCGCCGTGCCCGGCACGGCCGTTCCATGTGAAGGTCCTTGTCAGCCTCGTCATCGGTACAGGCCGGTGGCGAGGTCCATTGGCTTTGACCCCTCAGAAAAGAGGGTCTAGTGTCCACGACAAGGCCCTCTAGAGTGCCTGAGTGGTCTCAGAACTGGGCTATATACGTGGTTACGGGGATAACCAACAAGTCAGCCAGCCATGATAACCAACAAGTCAGCAAAGATCCAATGTGTACAGGCTGGGTTATGCCAAAGTTGGGAGGTGGCAACTGGAAAAATAGCCCCGTAACATTACAGACTCTTTGATTCCTTGCCCATGTACTTCAGACAGGCAGCTTTACATGCTTAACAGTTGACATGGATGCCAGCCTTTAGCACTGCGAGGATGAGATAATTCAGCAGGAAAACCTGGCACGGTGAAACTCGCTATCACTAGTAGCTAAGTTGAAAGTAAAATATCCACACACAGGAAATGTTGAAAGTAAGATAACTAGATCAATTAAGCACAGCTCAGGTTTGGTTCAGATCATTTACCGCCTGTACAAATAGATATCCCTAACACCAATTAAATAGTACCAGGAGAAGAGCAAAATCTGTAAGTGATGACAAAAGGTAGTCCAAAAAAATGTGGGAAGCCCCTGATGCATCTAGCATCTGCATCAGGACAAGACAACTAACCTAGAGAGCAATTCAGTATGTACACTCGATAGTCGATACCTTGGTTGAAAAACATTGGGAAACAGTCGGTCATGATTCGTGACTAACCATTTCTTTCGCCTGAGATTTTGCACAGTAACCATTTTTCATTCTTGGAAGCTGCAGAATATTTTTTGTGCAGTTGGCCAAGGCTACAAACCACACCAAAACTGTGCTATAGGCCAACGCATTTCACCCACCTGAATGCGTGTCCAATCTTGAAAGGAAGTTCATAGTCTTTCATGACAGCTGATTCTCTCCTTGCCGCCTCCGCCTCTGACCATACATACAAACCCCGCTCTTGGCGACCACCAGGGACAGTATTGTCAAGTATGAGGGCAACCAAAAACGCAATGACCATGTTGAGTGACAGTAACGTGTTGAGAATATAGTTTACCTGAGAGCAAGGAAATAAAGGAATTGCAAATCAAATAGTTAACATAAACATATAGCAAAAATATTGCCATATTTTGAGACTTATATGAATGAATTTGTCAGGCTTCACAAATAAAATGAGAACAGTTCTTATATACTGCAAATGTGCCTACGCAGTAAATTAGAAAGCAATATATCATTCATGTGAATGGGATTGAAAATATCATGGCACGGTATATAAGAGTGAAATAATTGTGTTCTTTGTTAAGAAGGAAACTATGCTGGAACCATATGTAAGTTATGGAACTCAACCTAAGCACTTCTACTCGATAAAGTTTATTACCACTAGGAATTTATAGCTTGACTAATTTCAGTTGAAGCATAGTATATACATGAAAAATGAAAGTTCCAGGGTTCATATCAAAACAGAGGAGTAAAAAGGACTATATTTAATGAGAATTTTCTAATTCCGACTATTTTCCCAGGATTTGTTTATTCCTTTCTTTATGTTTCTTTCTACTGCTTTCTCCAGTTGTACAATATAGTTATGTAAATGTTCAGGATACTTCCATAAGACACTCCACAACAATATTGTTACTGAAAGAAACCAGATATTTGTTATTGTACCAGGCAAGCGGCATGAAGAGTTACAGTTGGCAAACTATCTATATTCATAAATAATGTGAGCACTATAATATGGACTCTGCATGTGTATCACCAGTCTTTTGTTTATGTATTTCCATTGAAACTCTAGTATGCAAACAGCATAGTGTTAGAAAAGAACGGATGAATACATACCCCACTAGATCCAGTGTGTATAGGTCCATGAGATGCAACAATGTATGGCTGGAAGTAGGTTGGAACTGATGAGTTTGAATTAGGCTGTAATCTGTACTGTTGAAAGTACGATGGAACTGACAGGGACAAAAACAAAGCTAGCCCAACTACAATACTGTTCCTGGAGCTTCCCTTGGCGCTATACCGAAGATTGGATAAGCCAAGGGCACATAGCATGGCCCACATGAAACAAAGAAGAGCAGCAACTAGAACATCAGGAATAGAAGCAATGAAGGCACCAACTTTTCCTACAATGGGGACACAAGAATTGTTATAGCAAGAACCTGAATGCTGTCACAGTTAAATGATGTCTACTCTTCCAACACAGGGGAAAAAGTGCAAATAGTTGCTTACCAACAAAAGAGAGTAGTATAAGTACAATAGCACCAAATCCAACCGCCCTTCGATTGCCCATTTTAGTAACCGCAATTGTGTGTACATTCTCTGTTATTGTTGCAGATCCAACTCCTGTACCCCACAAGCCAGCTAAGACTGTGGAGACACCTTCAACACCAATGCCCCTACTAACAACCCCAGCTGTTGGTGGTCTTGTGGCCACAAACAAAGAAGATGCATGGTAGGAACCAACCTTAAGTCCAAAATGCATAAATGAATTGTCAGGAAACAAAAATAAATTGGATAGTGAAGAGCAATGAATGGTTGATTCTAGAATCCTACTTACTGAGTGATCCAATTTCAGGCATTTAACAATATTGTCAGAGAAGAAAGCTTATGTTAAGTTGATGCTTAGCAGGGGGAGCAACAATATGCTTTGTAGATCATTTCCCAGTAAGTACTAGATTGTTTATCCAAATTTATGAAAAGTAAACAAACCAAAAGAAAGAAAAACAAGCATCATCTAAGTTCAAAGCAATTATAAACTTACTGAATCGACTGATGCAATAACAGATGCAACACACATCACAAGACCCATTTTCCAACTGAAAATTGGAGTGCCCCATTGCAACGGATATGGAAATCTCAACCAAGGTGAAGATCGCAAGGCATGTGAAGTGTCTACGCGACAAGATTTCATCCTCAGTACATGCTTCCGGCAATAGGCTGATACATTGTTTGAGGCAGGAATATTTGCATCACAACCTCTGTAGCTATAAACTCCAGTTGCTGTTAGAACAAAAGCGATAGCCCATGTGATCCCTAGAGCAAGAGGAACCTAAGAAGGCAGCACCAAAAGTTCAGCAATTAGAATTGCATAATCACACTAATGACTAGCATAGATGGAGGTATTAGCTCAAATAACTATTAGCCCAAATCTTACCGCATAAATTAAAAACACCCGGTAGCCAAATAACTTTACTTTTCGGAGGTACTGTCACAGAAATAGACAGATCATCAGCTTAAGACATTATTTGCACAAAATATTACAATGCATTTAACAAGTTGGTTTACTGCATACTCACTAGTGCAAACATAACAACAATCAATAATTGTAATAGGCCCATCTCTATACATGACCCTACTTTAGTGAACCCATAACTGAAAAACGAAAGTCCAACAGCTGCGACGGTTGGTGAGATGACAACTGGATTTATCAACCTGAAACAGAGGTAGTTAATGACAAAATGCTCAGTGAAGATGGAGATACATATGTATTACTATTTGTCACAAAAATATACAGTTGATGGTACAGTCAGAAGAAATAGAGGCAGGCTTACTAATGTTTCATTGATCTGGATTCATCAGTTTATAAGACATGCAAAAGTATGTTTATTGTCCGAGAAACAACGGTTTATGCAAAGAAATTAATTCATAACAGGGATGCTCAGAAGCAGGAAATATGTATAATAACTAGTAATATCCAACAAAGTTTCCTTTATTATTTGAATACCTCTATGGTGGTCTTCTACTAACATCACCAGTAGAAGCGATATCAACCATTGATTTATGATATCTACTACCAGTAGAAAAAAAATATTCTACAAGTAGTTGAGGTGGTAGTATAAATAGATCAATCCATTAGATTAGAGAGTATGAACAGACTGGATTGATTCTATAAAATACCAATAGAGACCATAGTAAAACACCTGTATCATAATCGGTGTTTATTAACATATCGTGACCATTGTTAACAAACACCACATAGATAAGAGAAAGTTGTTCACAGTCATCACGAGATGTATCTCTGTAGTACAGTAGAAATTTTGGATCATTTGTTTTCTTAAGAATGTGTTAGTACTCAGTATGCACCATTCCAAATAAAAATCTGATCGACTTACTACCAAACCCAATCATGTGGCCATGGTAAATAGAGAAATATACTGCCATGTCAACAAGCCACATGATAGCAGACAACTAGGAGAAAAAGATGAATGTATTTGTATCTAATAAACAGCAACAGCTGCACACCTTAGAAATAGTGACATTAGGCCTGTATATCCTAACAGCACTTGGAATGCACCTCCTATTATGATAGCTCCCTGCAGGTGCTTCATGATGTGCTTAAAGTTCTGCAATGAAATACAACGTGTTAGGTTCAACAACAAACGCTCTAAAGCAATGATGAGGCAATCCCTACATGACAACATGTGGCATTGCATCACGCCAACACAAATAAAATTTATACATATAAACATACATTGTGATTGAGCCCAAAGAATTCAGGGGAGTAGATTATTGCAAGCGCAGGGGCAAGATATACAAAGGATGGTCCCTGCACAAGAGGCAGCCTTGTCCCACAGAATGTGTGCAGCAATGTGGTCATCCCTGAGACAAGCAACACCGTGGACACCACCGCTGCCATATCATCCTAAGCATCCAACAGCGTATATTAAGTACTAAACCTACAAAACCAAACATGCTGTGAGAACTACTACTAAATTGAAGCCACACTCACAGGTGAACCGCCCATTGCAGGAACCATCAAAAGTGGGATCAGGATGATTGAGCCGAGCATGGAGATGTAATGCTGAAATCCATATACCGCTATTGGAACTGCAACACATCGTAAAACCTCGTAAATCAGCGCGCTCGCACATGACAGTGTGGGATATTTAATTCCTCTTTTGAGCACTTACATACTCCGGGGCTGTCACGGAGCTCGTACTTGGGCCGCTCCGGCGCACCGTCGTCCTCCTCCTCCAGCAGCTGAGGAAGCGGCGCTGCGGCCGCCTGCCCATTCGGCCTTCCGCCATCCGAATCCCTCCTCCGCGTCCTCGCAGGAGGCGGCGGCGGCGGCGGTTGCGGCTTTGCCTCCGCATTGGCCGCGGCGGCGGCGGGAGGGGGCGGGAGGGCGGAGTTGGGCCTGGCCGGTGGGCCGGACTCCAGATCGGAAGGTGCCTCGGCGGGGCGAGGCAGCGATACCTGCCCCGAGCTGGAGGCGGAGACGATGGCGACGGACTCGCCGGAGACGCGGGACTGGAAGCCAGTGCGCTTGGCCCAGGAGAGGGGCTGCGCCTGCGGCTGTGGCGGCGGTGCGGGGGGCCATGGCCCGGGGCGCGCCCGGCGAGCCGCGCCGGAGGAGGATGACATGGCGCAGGCGGGGGAGGAGGGGGGGAGGTCACCGCCGGTGAGCGGTGGTGGTGATTAGGAGGGGAGGGGGAAGCGGTGCGGGGTGGCGGAAGCAAGCAGTGAGTGAGCTGGACGCGTACTAATCCATGCGTGGGGAAGGGGAGGCGGAGATTTTGCAGTGTGGGGCCCGCGGCGCCAGTGGACGTTATGGCGTTGTCACGATTGTGCGGCGTGTGTTTTGAAATTTTTGGTGAGATAGGATGACGGCTGAGGGGCTGATGTTTTTCAGTTAGCTCGGGTGCTACTGCTGTATGCTAAGAGAAGTTTAACAGTATAGCCAATTACTAACTCTAAATTATCTATAGTCATATAATAGCTAATTTATACAATATTTGGTTACTATATACTAGTAATACCTGATACTACATATCATACATACATTATGTCTTGGAGTCCGTATTGCAGCTAGCTCTTCTCTCTATTCTTTTATCTCTTTAAAATATGTTTATAGCTAGCTTATAGCCTGCTATTGTATCTATTCTAAGAGCAAGGCTAATAATACAACCGATCTGTTGGCTATAAGGTTCTTTGTAGCATTCTCTCAGTCTACCCATATAATAGTTAGCTCTTTACAATTAATATAGGGTCCACTTGTCTCTCTCACAGAGTTTCTTAGATCTTGTTTCCAAGCCGACTGTAAGTTTACAGCCCACTTCTTCTCTCTTCTCTTCTCCACCTTAACTTTTAGCCAGCTTATAGCCTACTATTATACTTGCCCTAAGACTGGCTAAGAGAGCCTGATGCTTGCTTGGCTACGCGGTGAAATCAGAATAGGTTTCTTTTTCGTGAGGGCCTGTTACGCCTATATTAAGTTATTTTTATGTTTATTTATCAAAATATTAGATTTATATCTATAACCGCGTAGATAATCCACTACAGTATTTTGGTCAATATTCCATTTTAAACCAGCCCTAAACCATTTCAGATAAAATAGATTAAAATATGTAAAAAAAAACCAACGTTTCGAATGGACTTACCCTATGCAAATTCTCGGGAACATAGATAGAGATTTAGCATTAGAGTTTGTTATTATAATTATTTCATCAAAACAATATTGGCTTTTAATGTGTTTAGACTTTCCAGTTTCAGCTTCTGTAAGGTTTGCTTAATGCTGAACTTAGGTAAAAATAAGATACGGCTGAGAGCTGTCAAACTAAAGATTGGAATTTATAATTTCATTGAATAAAAAAATGACTTAGTAAGAAATTTCAACATTTCAAACGGGCCTCTTGCAGAAAGCGAAAGCCCGCCTTTTCTGAACTAAAGGCCCACATTTTTCCTTGTCACAACTATGTCATGGGCCCAGTTGGAGATGATAACAAGGGATATGGGCCAAATGGCAGGCCCGGATAGGCCCTTTTTTTCAGAACTAAAGGCCCACATATATATTTGTCCACACTACTATTCTAGTTGAAAATGTTGAATCCAAGCTTTTAAGATGTGGATGACCTATGCAATCTCTATGCCAAGCTATGTCTGGTCGATTTCAGGACACACAAAGTCACGTGGTAATTGAAAGGTAGATCTCGTGTATTACAATATGAACCATCAAGGGTTAATTTATCTTTCGCCCTTTCGCGGTTTCGCCGTAATGTCTCATAGTGAACAGGGACAGACCTGATTGAGAACATGGAGATCATGTACCTCTTGTCTCCTGAACATGCTTGCATACTGCATTTCACGGCATACCGACACACACGGACACACCCCATGTCATTGATGGACTGGACTAGGAAAAAAAGACCGTTCCTCGCTAGCACAGTAGCAGTATGCCTACTCCTACTCTATATGAAGAAATTCGCATTCCATGTGAAGAAAATTGCAGCCAGCACGCAGAAGTTTAATGAAGAGAGTCGCCGAAACTGAGATTAATTTCTCGCTTCCGTACTCCGACACATCTATCCACATGATTATCCTTTGAAATGTTCACTGCTGGATGCAGTAGCCAAGTAGTCAAGGGGATCAATGCAGTGTTTTACCAGTCCCCACTAATGGTGGTGGACGCACTTTCTGCTGCAAATCCAAAGCCTTCCAGAACTTTTCTTATCTCTGGATCACCAACTTTAGACAAACAGCAATATCTCTTTCCTCTTTTACAATAAAAATAACGCGAGCTTTGCCCATTTATGCGGAAGAACAGAAATGGCGTCACATTCTTTCGCCTACTCCCTCTTGGACTTGTCAAGGACTCGAGGTCGTTTGATTCATATTTCAGAGTAAGTTACTGTGAAAGACGTCATAGAAAGACGATGCTGCAAAATATGTGTTGTTGCTATACCATTTTATTTCTCTTCTGACCAAATAGAGTACTCGATTAGTGGCGAGCAGCGTGAAGTTTCAGGCACCAGAGAGGCGTGTTCCTGTTAGGATTACATTACTCATGTACTCCATATTAGTACTAATTAATTATCTATAGCTAGAAGCCCGTGATCGATTAGTTGGTGTTAGTTTAGAATTAGAACCGATGGCGTTCATGCATACACGACAAGTGTTCGATCGACCTACGCAAAAAAGTCTTTGCTGCCACAAAGTACGTGGATCTAGCTAGCCTGGAGCCTGGAACGGATCAAAAAGTTTACTAATTTATTTAGCAGCCATCTAGTTTGCTGAAGTGTGGAAACCATAGGAGCATGCAAGCTTACGAAGTCAGCAACTACAGCGCTATCAACTTATCATATGAAACTTGTGCTGTTTTTTCTTCTGCTATATTTAAGGGAGAATAGCTAATATGGTTCCTAAAATTTCGCTCCTGGGACATTTTAGTCTTTAATCTTTCATACTGTCTAAACAAATCCTTTAATTTTGTCACGTGGGTTGACATAGTCCTTGATCTTACCAAAATCGCCACATAGATATGCCATGTCACATTTCCATGCAAAATCTATATGATTTGTCCAATTTACCCTTACATATATCATAGAAAAATAAAAAACAAAAAGTAAAATGTAAGAGCAAAAATATACCTCAAAAGGGTGAAAAAAAGGATAAGTATTTTTTCCCATGGTTATGTCTAATTCACCCTTATATTTATTTTTCTATGATATACATAAAGGTAAATTGGACAATTCATCATAGATTTTGCATCAATGATGACATGGCATATTTATATAATGATTTTGGTGGACCCAAGGACTATTCTAGACCTTATGACAAAGTTTAAGGATTTCTTTGGACCATTTAAAAGGTTAAGGACTAAACTGATCCTACAGAGAAACTTTAGGGACTAAATTAGCTATTCTCCCTATATTTAATGAAAAGGCACAATCTATTACTGTTTTCCCCTTTTTTTAAAAAAAAACTTATCATATGAAACTTCAAATATACAATGATATGCCCAGTTGCCACTTGCCAATGAGTGACTGCATCGCAGTTTCTGCGATTGCATTCATGTATTCTGGATTAATAATCCTTTCCTTGGTTGGATCCTGAGTTCTAATTAATCAGCGAGTTGGCTCAGATATGCTGTCATCTTCAGCTGCAATAATTAATTCAGGTGTTGTTTTTCTAAAGAGTTTATTATCTGTCTGCTACCCAAAAATACAGTTTTATATTATATAAGTAGTAAGCATCACAAACCCCGATACTCGTGATACTCGCTTCATCTGAACAATTCTCAACTTCTCAACTGCTGTTGCGCCATAGTAGGTGGTGACAGATTGACAGCCCGATCAAACCCCGCCCCCCTAAAAAAAAAAAGAAAAAGCAACCATACTCCCTCCATCCTTAAAAAAAAACTTAAACTATACAAGTATGTAATGTTTTCTAGTAGAACGAATCTGGATAAAGGGTTGTCCAGATTCATTGTAAAGATGTCACGTCTCCTCCTAAGTTTAGTTTTTTTTTATGGAGAGAGTACTTCCGTGATAGTATTTATCGTTTGGGATAAAAACGTGATCTAAAACAACTTTAATCGTTAGGCTTTAATAATATATATAAAACATCAATAAATATATGATTTTGTTAAAGTATTTTGTAAGACTAATCTATATTGTATGATCTCCATTAGAATTTATTATCTATAGTTAAAGATTTTAAAGTTTGATATGAGTTTTGTCCAAAATAACAAGTAGAGTATTATCAAACCGGATAGAGTAGCTTAATTAGCTACATCCAAAATTTAAATTTCGAAACCTAAAAGTTGATTTCTATTTTTCTATTTGTATATTTTTAAGTATTGGCATCAAACTATTAATGAGACATATATATAAAGTTTAACCATATATTGTTTTGTGCCGCTTCGTTTTTTTTTTTTTACAACCTATGGCCTTCTGATTCCGACGTATTAATTGCATCCATATACATGGCCGTAGCTGTGCACCGTACATATATGTTGTTGTACTCTCTTCGTCCCATAAAAAATAAATATTAGAACTGAATACAACACATTCTAATACTAATATTATAGTACTACGTGCATACTCCCTCCATCCCACCTAGTACAATAAATCTGGACGGGATCACATCTTCTTCTAGGTTGGGTTTTTTCTTGGACGGAGAGAGTACAGTATCTCCCCAATAGAGCCTATTTAGTTGGCAAAAAAAATTTGCCCCTGCATGTTGCATCGGATATACGAACACACATTTGAAATATTAAACATAGTTTAGTAACAAAACAAATTACAGATTCCGCCATGAAACTGTGAGACGAATTTATTAAGCATAATTAATCCATCATTAGCAAATGATTACTGTAGCACCACATTGTCAAATCATGGTGCAATTAGGCTTAAAAGATTCATCTCGTAATTTTCTTTTTTTTAAGAAGGGAACAACTCAGGACGCACACTAACACACACTGCACTCACACCACGACACACATGCGTGCGCGTCCCTAACACACGCTAGGAATGAGATTGGAGGCTCGTAATTTTCTGGCGAATTATGTAATTGGTTTTTTTTTCTACATTTAATACTCTATATATGTGTCCAAACATTCGATGTGACAGCGTAAAAAACTTTGTTTGAGAACTAAGGCCTAGTTTAGTTCCAGGGGTGAAAAGTTTTGGCGTGTCACATCGGATACACAGACACACACTGAAGTATTAAACGTAATCTAATAACAAAATAAATTACAGATTCCGCATGTAAACCGCGAGATGAATTTATTGAGCCAAATTAATTCATCATTAGCAAATGTTTACTGCAGCACTACATTGTCAAATCATGGCGCAAATAGGCTTAAAAGATTCGTCTCGCAATTTACACATAATCTGTGTAATTAGTTTTTTCTTTGTCTATATTTAATACTCCATGCATGTGTCCAAACATTCGATGTGAAAGTGAAAAGTTTTTGCATGGAAACTAAGGCCTGGTTTAGTTCCCCAAAATTTTTTTCCCAAAAACATCACATCGAATCTTTGGACACATGCTTGGAGCATTATATATAGATTAAAAAACAAATTGCACAGTTGGGAGGAAATCACGAGGCAAATATTTTGAGCCTAATTAGTCCATGATTAGTCATAAGTGCTACAGTAACTTACACGTGCTAATGACAGATTAACTAGGCTCAAACGATTCGTATCGCGGTTTCCAGGCGAGTTATGAAATTAGTTTTTTCATTCGTGTCCGAAAACCCCTTCCAACATCCGGTCAAACATCTGATGTGACACTTAAAAATTTTCTTTTCACGAACTAAACAGACCCTAAACAGAGCCTAAGGCCGTGTTTAGTTCCTAAATTTTTTTTCCCAAAAACGTCAATTTGAATCTTTGTACACATGTGTCGACGCTTGATGTCGCGATTCCGGTATTTGCATAGTATGGGGATCGTTGGTACTAGGATATATGCGAGACTTAGGTAAAAGAGACGGATGTGAGGATTTTTATACAGGTTCGGGCCCCTGAATTGTCAGGTAATAACCCTACATCCTATTGGCCGAAACCGGTGTTGCTCTTTATTCATCTGGATAACACAAATACAACATGTGGGATAACATATCTGGCTGTCGTCGACTTGACGGCTAGATAACTAACTCGTAGTCGATGACAGGGTAGTCTTCTTCCTCGAGCACGAACTCGTCGAGATCAGAGATAGTGCTTGACCCCTCTTGCCGGCCCCCGCAGGTACCAGATAGGGTTTGTCTAAGCTAATTTTTGATGTTGATATTTGGAGGCGTGTTGGCTTGTATGTTGATCTTGTGTCTTGATCTATTGTTTCGTGTCCCCTGTCCTTCTAGGGGGCCTTGTATTTATACCCATAGGTGTCCCCTTGTCCAAATAGAACTAAGAAAACCAATATGGATACAATCCGAGTAGTACATGTCGTTTACATGTAGAATTCTATTCATCCTTCCTTATACGAAACTCCTTCTATATCCGGAGGTTGTTTCCGTATAAGACATGATATTTGGTGGGTCCTGCCGAGATTTAGTCGACTACTATTAGGTATGCGGTATCCATAACCCTGACAACATGCATGTAGTATTAAATATAGATAAAATAAAAAACTAATTACATAATTTGCGTGAAAATCGCGAGACGAATCTTTTGAGCCTAATTAGTCCATGATTAGCCATAAGCGCTACAGTAACCCATATATACTAATGCCAGATTAATTAAGCTTAATAAATTCGTCTCGCGGTTTCCAGATGAGTTATGAAATTAGTTTTTTTATTCGTGTCAAAAACCCCTTCCGACATCCGGTCGAACGTCCGATGTGATACCTAAATTTTTTTTTTCGCGAACTAAACAAGGCCTAAGCAGGCTCTGTGTGTCATATTTCATACTATTAGATTATTTTTTATGGGATGGAGGAAGTACTCTGTTGCTCCTCTGAAAACGAACAGTACTGACCCCCGGGAATGACGTCCCGTCAGGATCACGATCGATATGAAGGCGCCCGCCCTCCGACGACCGACGTGCACGGTCACAGCACTAGTAGAGATGAGAACGAGACACCAATCGGCGGATTAGTTAGGTGCATCAGTCGGTAAGGAAAACGAGTACTCTGAGCTCTACGAGCACTTCTGTGCTATATATGGTGGCCAAGTTGGCGAGCATATAAGCCACTCGTACGTCAAGGCCTCATGGGCCACGGACTCGTGCAAGCCTCTCGGCCGCGCTACATGCGCGCACCATTTAATCCGTGTCCATCTCGCGGTCTCGCCGCTCGATCCGTCGACTTCGACACCTTGCAAACCACACGATAATCCGAAGGAATTTTTTTAACCGTTTTGTATGTTATCCTTTGATTAGTTGAGTTTCGGCTAAGTCGTAAACGAATAAATGAACTAAAAATGTTATTTTTTAAAAAAAAATAACGGTATTTTTAGCAGTTTAAATAAACTTACGAAAGAAAAAAGATCAACTCTAAAATTAAACTTCGGAACTCAAATTTGGTTGCGATTGAAACAAACCAACAAACAGACGATGAGATGAGAGGCTAGGAACAGTTCGATCTGGCTTATTGGATGAGCATCTTTGCAGAGATAGAGATATGGCAAAATTCAGCAACTAATTTTTGTTGATTTATTTTCAAAGGGATATAGTTGTGTCGTATTATAAATAAATCTATTTACTTTTTCTAAGTTAATTATGTATATTGTCTTCTAAATGTATGCAGACTATTAATCAAAATACTATGATCGTTATACATGGAACCGATAGTTCAAAGTAAATAATCGTGTAGAAAGTATATTTGGAGTTTGTAATCGAAACAAAGAAAACTGGAGTATATTTTAATGCCATCTTTTACTGTGAGAATCTGTTGCAATTCAAAACGTTGAAATTATTTTGAAAATTATAAACTGAAAGCAATATGAAATATAAAGTACTGTTCACAGTGTAAACAAAAAATAATGTAATCAAAATCAAAAGTTTAATTAACTGAATTTATTTTTTGTATTTTATTTTAAATTTTGTAACATTAAATAGGGAAACAACGTCATTTTCATGATTAGAAAACGATAATTGACATCAACCGCCTTTCGATGATAATAAGTGACTCCTAGCAGCCACGAGGATTTTTTTTTAACGATCCCGCACAAGACAACGTGAAATTTCTTATGATATGGCATAGAAAAATTACAAAGTTACATGACGAAAAAATTGTGACCAATGAAAAAAAAACAAAACACAACCACCACGTGCTAACAGCTCCCTACACAACTAAGGAGAAGACACTAGGAACAAACCGACCGCCGCTAAGTTTGACCGATCGCTGCTAGACCTGCAAGATCCTACTCAGACAAATCATCGATGAGTTCCTAATCATCCTCATGTAGAGTGGTTGAGGAAGAGGGCGAGAGAGAAGAAGATCCGCTCGTCCCTCACATTAACCAGATGACGTCAACCAAAAATTTGCCAAGAAAAAGCTAAGAAAAGACGGTAAAGCGAGGAAAAAAACTTCCCAAACAACACCACCAAAGAGATCATGACATCTTAGACGCCACCACCGCCCATCCATTCGGACTGGGTTTTGACATGAAGAATGATGTTAATGAGTGGAAAGGTGTCGATGATGGCTTAACAATGCTCTAAGAGAGGATAATAATGTCCGTAGGCATCGGCGTTGATGGCTCAGAGAAACCTCAGGCTAGGTTTTCGCCTACAACACCCTCTTCGCACTTATCGTCACCACCGCAATGCTCCACCAATTGAACAGCCTCTTATAGCTCGCAGCTCTGCTGCACCTATGCTATATACAGCTAACCGGCCTAAACTGCCGGTCTTCAACATGGCTAGGAAAGACAAATATTACTCCCTCCGTTTCAGGTTATAAGATGTTTTGACTTTGGTCAAAGTCAAACTGCTTCAAATTTAAACAAGTTTATAGAAAAAATAGTAATATTTTCGACCCAAAATAAATTTATTATAAAAATATATTTAATTATTAATTTAATAAAACTAATTTAGTATTATAAATATTACTATATTTGTCTATAAATTTAGTCAAATTTGAAGTAGTTTGATTTTGATCAAAGTCAAAACATATTATAACCTGAAACGGAGGGAGTAGCATTTATGCTAATGCAAAATGAGATTTACAATGGCTTTGTTTATACCATAAAAAAATCCAAGGTTTTTTAGCACTACAACTTACACATACACAATAGGATCTACTAGTACATGCATTATGCATACCTAAATATGTAGTACTTCCTCTGTCCCACAATATAGCAACCTATGATAAAACTCATGTCCATATTTGTAGTTCTAGAATAGGTCTTAGAGGTTCCTACACTGTGGGACGGAGCCACGGAGTATGTACTTATCCCCTCCCTGACATGTTTTCTATTTTTCGGTGGCCACGTGACATTGGCAAGGAGAGGGTAGTGGCCAGTGGGCGAAGCCAAGGCTACCAAAGAATGTAGCAGGCACAAATTAGTGTGTGTAGCACTAGCTCTTCTCTGTTGCCGTAATGCAGAGGATCCATGCCTGTCAAAAAGGTTGTACACGAATAAAATTGTGAAGTTTTGAGTCCGTTGACAATTTTTTATGTTTACGATACTGGACGGCCTTTGGCTTAAAATCCTAGTAGTACTAGATGGACTTTCTCATACTTGCATTACAATGTACAATAAAAATTTTCCTCGTTTGGGTTCTCGACGGATTTTCTTTTTATTTTTGGTTTCCAAAGTATGACTTTTTTCGTGATCTTAACGTATTAGCGATTCTCTGCCGACTGCCCGGCCTGGTCGCGGGAGCGAGCGCGCGGGAGATTCTCCCGCCGTGGCACGCGCGACGTGCCGCGTGCGCACAGGCCGCACTGTCCCTTTCGCCCGCGCGTCATACGGTGTCCACCCGGTCCGCGAGCGCGCTTGCTTCTTCTTCTCTATATATGGAGTACGCAGTTCAGCTTCAGCAGTAGAAGCGCAAAAGGCAAAACCAGAGCCCGCTCACCTGCTGAGAAACACCGCGCAGAGGCAGAGACAAACAACGTACGGCCGTGTAGAACTGTAGATCGTATCGTCCGAGTCCCCCAAGAGTTTCAGGCCATCAACCCGTAGTTTGGCGCTCCCTTGGTTTTACCTGCAAGACAAAAGAGCTAGCGACCGAATCGTTCGACGGCAGAGGCGTCATGGGGGCGCCGAGCAGGGAGGATGAGGAGGCGAAGAAGATGGAGGCCGGCGGCGACACCGTCGGCCAGAAGCTCGACGCCGGGGCTCTCTTCGTCCTTCAGTCCAAAGGTGCGTTCGTGTCTGACATGAGCTCTCTTGTTTCTCGCTTACTCGCTTCTGATCACCCACTATTCTTTCTTTCTTTCGTTATTTCTTTCTTGATTCCTCTTTGGCGCATGTCAGGCAGCAAGCATGTTTGGCTAGCTGCACATATAAGCGTAACCTGTTTGTGTTCTGGGAGCATCGGAGGCCGTATATTCTAGACTGTTGATGGATTGTCCCCAGCTATTAATAAGCAAAAGAGCTGGCTAACTAATCAGTAGCAACTAGCCAACTAACATGTACGAGTTAATAGATTGTTCTGGCTGCTATATCAAGATGGTTTGATGAAGTGTTGTTGTGCAGGATTTGGCTATGCCATCCCGATTGATATGATCCGTATGTAAATGATTTGGCTCATGTTAATAATCGTACCCAAAAACTGTACAAACTACCAAGATAACGGGAAAAAAATGATGGTTTACAAATTGTTTCGGTTAATTTTCCTCAGCGCATGTACCCGGCAGCCATTGTGAGGGGTACTGCGTTACTGTTCTACTTGAATGACTGGGTGCGTCTCCTGAACTCTGATTAAAAGTTCTTGGACAGATGTAGATGTTTGAATGGTCCCTGCCCATCTATCCTTTTGCACTACTTTTTCACAGTTTTACCCTATGAAGATTGGATGTAGTAACAAAAACTCTCTTCTTTCTTTGCTCGCTTTTTTCCGTTCCCCTACATCCGTTGCCTGCACGCCTACATCTATTCTTTTTCAACATTCAGAGAAGAGACAAGAGAAAATGTACTTCAGGGATGATGGGCTCCCTGGCTATCAAGCCTATTATCAATAGCAATGCATGTAAAGTTGTAAACATGGGCAATTCATATTATTGTTCTGCTAGGCTGCTAGCTCAGCCGATCCCCCATATCACGATACAGTACTCGTATTAGTCAACCTTTCGGGCTCCATGAAATGGTTACACGTCTATTTGGTCTTGTTGAAGCAGACAGAAAATATATTAATATATGGACCTAAGTGAACTATAAAAGTATAATAACGATGTATTGTTATTTTTATTCCAAAAAAATAAATTAGGCATGAATCGTTCAGTCTTTAGCGTGATGTCTGTATCGTATAGGAGAACTGGTACAGGTCACCATCTCGTTGATTATCATGCGCACTAGCGCAGATACTCTTGACTCGAGGAAATTATAAATGGCATCGGGAGGTTGGTTAGCTAGAACTCTCTCCGTTTCAAAATAAGCGCAGTTATAAGTTTTTTTTTAATTTTAATCGTCTGTCTTATTAAAAAAATTTAATTAGTATTTTTATTGCTATTAGCTTATAAAATATGAATAGTACTTTGTGCGTGACTTATATTTTTTTTATTTTTTTTTAAAAAAATAAATAAGACGGACAATTAAAATTGTACACGGAAACTCATCGTAGTGATTATTTTGGAATGGAGTGAGGAATATGGTAGGAGTAATGTACTAATCAAATCATATTTGGTCTATTTTGGAAAAAGGAAAATCGAATTAGGTGTGAGACTGCAGGCTTAACAAAATCAAATTGCTCACTGCCCCCAATGCCTCATAGTTCCCTGTTGATTTGCTGACCCCTGAAACATACTAGTATCAACAACTTTATTTTAGGATAATTTTACCATCCTTAAAAATGTATCTAGAAGTACCAAAAATTTTAATGTAAAATTTAGGTATCTCGATGTACTTTTTTTTAATGACTGCAAAATTTCTTTTATTTTTATCTTTCGATTGTCAAAGCAAGTTTAGTGACTGAGGAGTACTACATGTGTAAGACATACAGCTTTGGAAAGTAGGTATGGGCATTGTGCAGGATTGATCAATGTTTGATGGAGGGATGGGGTTTCTTCCGATGGCAACGTGTTTTTTTTTTTTGAAACGACTGATAGAAACGTGTTTACTCGCCATATTCCAACTTCCAAGCGTTTAGCTAACCTGTGAACTTTCTTTTGCCAATCCTTCATCTCCTACAACTTTTGACCGAGTGGAGCTGCGGAAGCCTCTCCCAATCAGCTTATCATCATCCAGCGACTAATACAAACAGAAAAAATACCAGTAGGATTAACAGATTAGCTAACTACTAGCAGGAGTAATGTTATTCTTTTTCTATATCTATGATATACTACTTTGAATGATATTAGTGAGGGTGTCTGAGTTTTCCCCATCACCATAAGTTAACATATTAGACCATAAGATCCTCAAATGTGAGTATTTTTGCACTTGATATGACATAATATGCCTAATTAACTAACTACGTTAGTAGGTTTGTAATTTTTATTTTTATATTTATCTCTTATGATATTCGCCGCAATGCACAGTACCTTTAGCTAGTTTAACAGAAAAAAACTGATCATGCTGCTGCTGTATAAATGCGCAGGGTCATGGCTGCACTGCGGGTACCACCTGACGACGTCCATCGTGGCGCCACCGCTGCTGAGCCTGCCGTTCGCGTTCGCGTCGCTGGGGTGGGCGGCGGGGCTCATCTGCCTCGTCATCGGCGCCGCCGTGACCTTCTACTCGTACAACCTCATCTCCCTCGTCCTCGAGCACCACGCGCAGCAAGGACGCCGCCAGCTCCGCTTCAGGGACATGGCCACCGATATTTTAGGTCAGTAATCACTCGTATACCTATCTATCCGTAATTACAGTTAAACAATGAGATTGATCGACAGGGATTGTTGCTTCAGCCACAATTAAGACTGTGTTTAGATTCAAAGTTTGAATCCAAACTTCAGTCCTTCTCCATCACATCAACCTGTCATACACACACAACTTTTCAGCCACATCATTTTCAATTTCAACCAAAATCTAAACTTTACACTGAACTAAACACAGCCTAAACGCTGCTGTAAACTACAGCCATTTTTAGTACTGCTACAGCCGTAACCGCTATAGCAAGAATAGGTACTGAACACACCCTATTACTATTTACTAGTTAGGTTCCCATTAAAATGGAAATAATGTAGTAGGTTGATGCTAATATACTCATTAAACTCGAGTACATAAGTGATTAAAAGGAAGGCACGTAGCAACTCCAAGCTAATTGGTAGATGGAGGAGAATCTGCATATAAAATTGCATTGGCTGACAACTGTCTCGCAAACTCATACTACGTGCAATACCAAAAGCATTACAATACAATAGTAAGGGCGTTCACAATGGACGGACGTGGCATTCAGCCTTCACCCAAAAAAACGAATACAGTACAACTGTACAAGTCAGTAGTGGGTACTAGTATCCATCACGAGGCAGGTAAGATTCTCTCGCCCATGTCTTCACTTAGCCCTGGCTCCTAAAGGCCCGAATTGAGAATTTGGAGAAAACAACCTCTGATTATAACACGGGATTTATTTTTCTGTAATGGACCATTTCTTTCGAAGCATTTACATAGTTTGTGATATTCTTGCGTTCAAACGAGACATGAGGATGAGTCAATACATCAACACCTATGTCGTCACCTTGAATATAGGGGCAGAAACGCCAAGTGCAGTGTTCTTTCAGAAAAGAAAGGAAGGGAGGAAGGAACACCAACTTGTAGACGTGACAGGTTTAGCGACTGATCATTGATGTCCTGTTTTATTCACAAGAAAGTCAGCTGCCCGCCCCCTTTTCTTGTGCGGAACAAGTCAGCTGTATTATTTGGCCAAATCAAGTCCCATTTCGCATTTGCGAGTTTGCGACATGTACGTGTCTGCAGCATTCATGAGCAATGGGTATGGCCATACTATATCGGACCGGTAAACTCTTCAACCGGAGTGAGTGCAGCGTCTGAAGCCGACATGTTGCTTGATTTCAGTAACTGACTAAGCAGCATTCAATAAAATCGTAACACGGTACAGTACAGGTTAGAAAAGTCCAGCTGCTAGGGCTCGTATTTTGTCACTGTCAAGAGTCGACGAGGGAAAGAATCCCCACTGGTTAGATAATACTAATTAAAACTCCAGTTAGCGCTTGGCGGATATATAGAGAAAAACTTGATTGGTCGAAAGGGATAGTATTCCCACATTAGTACTACAGATCATGCAATTGGTCGAGTTTGACGAATTTGTCGGCAAGTATTTGCTGTGGAATTTAATATTCCAGCTTTCCACTTGATTGCCTGTCTAAATCGATTGATACTGCTTGCGAAGGAAAAAAACCAGCACCGCGCGCCGTTTCTTGTCAATATGTCAATCTTAAATACTCCCTCCGTCCCAATATGTAACAACCTAGAACTGGACCCTCCGTCCCAATATGTAACAACCTAGAACTGGATTGGACATTTCCTAGTACTACGAATCTGGACAGGACAGTAGTAGAAAATGTCCCATCGGTTCTAGATTCTTATATATTGGGACGGAGGGAGTAGCACTGTACCAGGTGTAGTAGAATCAGTCATATACTAGCATCCTAGCTGATACGACATTGGACAGATAAGCACAGGTTTAACGTACGTGTTGGGAAAAAGGAATCGTCCTTAGTGCCATCTGGCAGCAGATTCATACAGTTTAATTACACACGCATCTGACAAAAAATGTTTCGAAAGGGATATTCATCTTCATCACCGCGACAAAATCACTGTCACTGAGATGAGATTCATGGTTAATTTTTCCACGGTGATGCATGCAGGGCCTGGATGGGGACGCTTCTACATCGGGCCGATCCAGTTCCTGGTCTGCTTCGGGGCAGTCGTCGCGTGCACTCTCCTAGCCGGTCAGAGCATGAAGGTATCTTCATCAGAACTTAGTCCACGAACTGATTTCGTGTCGGATCGGATCGGATCGCGTTCATCAATTGCACATGGTATGAATCCACATTTCTTACTCGATCGCGTTGCAGGCTATCTACCTGATTGCCAACCCGGGCGGCACGATCAAGCTGTACGTGTTCGTGGCAATCTTCGGCGTCTTCATGATGATCCTGGCGCAGATGCCGTCGTTCCACTCTCTCCGCCACGTTAACCTCATCTCCCTCGTGCTGTGCCTCGCCTACAGCTTCTGCGCCGTCGCCGCCTGCATCTACCTTGGTAGGTTTCCCGGCGACCCGGCCCATTATTTAGATTAGCTATTGGGCTTTAATTTGGCCTGTCGACGCGACGGATTAAAATTGGACTGACGAATTTTGTGCAGGAAGCTCAAAGGGAGCGCCCGAGAAGGACTACTCGATCGCCGGCGCCAACACCCGTGACCGCGTGTTCGGCGTGTTCAACGCCATCGCCGTCATCGCCACGACGTACGGCAATGGAATCATCCCCGAGATACAGGCGACGGTGGCGGCGCCGGTGACGGGGAAGATGTTCAAGGGGCTGTGCCTGTGCTACGCCGTGGTGGTGACGACGTTCTTCAGCGTGGCCATCTCGGGGTACTGGGCGTTCGGCAACCAGTCGCAGGGCACGCTCCTGAGCAACTTCATGGTGGGCGGCAGGGCCGTCATCCCGGAGTGGCTGCTGCTCATCATCGAGCTCTTCACGCTGCTGCAGCTGTCGGCGGTGGCCGTGGTGTACCTGCAGCCGACCAACGAGGTCCTGGAGGGCCTCCTGTCCGACCCCAAGGCCGGGCAGTACGCCGCGAGGAACGTCGCGCCGCGGGTGCTCTCCCGCACCGCCGCCGTCGCGCTGGGCACCACCATCGCGGCCATGGTGCCCTTCTTCGGCGACATGAACGCGCTCATCGGCGCATTCGGCTTCCTCCCGCTCGACTTCGCTGTGCCGGCGGTGTTCTACAACGTGACGTTCAAGCCGTCCAAGAAGGGCGCCGTGTTCTGGCTCAACACCACCATCGCCGTCGTGTTCTCCGCGCTCGCTGTCGTCGCGTCAGTCGCCGCGGTCCGGCAGATCATTCTGGACGCCAATAGCTATAAACTGTTCGCGAACGTGTGATGTTATTATGCTTTAACTCTTGACAAAGGAACATCAATGCAGGAAGAAGATTTTTTTTCCTTTTATTTTTCTTTTTTTTAAAAGAAGTCATCTTCCCACTTATGTTTATATTATATTTATTAATCATTTATTAGCAACTAAAAATAATTTATAGCATGTCTTTAGTGATTTAAAAAAAAATACTGTAAAATAAACTACAACGAGAAAATAACAAAATCAACGCCAAAATTGAGTTTTAAACTTTAATTTTTATCTTATATGCATAAGCATAAATCAATCGAGGCAGAAATATAGCCTGAGTTTCGCTCAGAAATGTGTGTTCTGTCTATGAATACGGAGAGACTCAACACCGGAGACGCTTTCTTATATCGAAGGCGTATAAACGAGAGGTAAGTTGGGCTCGGTACTGAAAGCACGCGACCTCACGCGCCGCTAACAAAAGCCCAAAGCGACCCAGGCCGTGAGTCGTTGGACGGGCCAGGCTCGATGCGGACGGCCCGCACGCCGGCGTCGGCGGCGCGCGGCGGCCGGGCGCTGTACGAGCTGTACAGGGCGGCGAGCCGCGCGGCGGCGCCGGCGGCGCTTCTATGGCGGCGGCTACGAGGACTGGAGCACCCGTCGCGTTGGCCCGAGCGGCTGGGCAGGCCGTCGGTGGCGCGGCCTCGTCCGGGCTCGCCGCTCGTGTGGTTCCACGCCGTATCCCTCGGCGAGGGGATGGCCGCGCTCCCGGTCGTACGCCACTGCGCCCGCCTCCACCCTGGTCTCCCCATCCTCCTCACCACTACTACCCTCTCATCCTTGTAAGCTTCCCCCATTACCGCAAATACGAGTTGCCTGGCTCTCTCATTTCCGTGTAATGTGGCCATATTCTATTTCGGTTGTTTTGATTTCAATGCAGCGAAGTGATGAAAGACTTGCTCCCGGATGGTGTCATATATCAGGTGAGCTCGGAAATTGCTCTTGTACTTTCAGATCCCTGTCGTGACGGCCGGTTTAGTTTTCTGAGAAATGGCGTATGCACAACAAATTTTTACTGATGGACTGTTCTTGAAAAAAAAGGACATTTTAGGTTCGAACTGTGTCAAGGCAGATAGATATTGTCTGTTCATTATATGTATCCCTTAAACTAAGGTCATATTATACTCGTTGAACTATGATAGTAAGGTTTCGTAATATTAAACCTTTAAGGTGGTAATATTCGATAGTACAGACACAGATCAAGCAAAGTTTTGGGAACAGATGGAACTTGTTTAGATGAAGGGAATCACGAATAGGCTAACAGAAGGATAGTTTAAATGTTTGATATGCCCTATATACATCTACGGTAGCTTATTGTTGTTTTACATAACTGAAATACATATGTGTGTAGTTTGCACCCCTTGACTGTCCTGATGCAATAGAAAGTTTCATTGGATACTGGAAACCAAATTTGATACTTCTTATGGAAAGTGAACTCTGGCCAAACCTCATTTTGTCTGCAGCAGAGAAAGGGGTAAGTTTTTTTTTTCTCATAATGACTATTTTCTACTAAGTGGTTAGGCTTCCCTTTGTTACCCTTGTTTTTTCCATGTGCAATGGCAGATTAGCTATATTTTCGGTCCATAGTACATTCTTTCACTATTTAATTATCTGCTGTGAATGACCTTCCTATTTTTCAGATTGCAGTGGTTCTTTTAAATGCGCGCATGTCATTGAAGTCTTTCAACCGTTGGTCCTTGCCTCTAGGGTTGCAGTTAGTCTCTTTGATGCTCTCCAAACTATCACTTGTTATCCCATTGGTATGGAGTGGTGGGGTTCTAAACCTTATTTTGATGTAAAATTATTGCCATTGTATTCATTTCTATCTGTTCCAGAGTACTATTCAAGCTGTTCGTTTTCAATTACTTCATGCACCACCACAGATCATCCATTTTGCTGGCGATTTAAAATACGGTATGCGCCATGCCAATTTTTCTCTGGCTTCCTATGTTCATGAGAGTATGTTTGAAATAAACATATGAGTGATGCATTTCTCAAGGATTATCTTGGGAGCTTGAAAGATAACCAGGTTCACAAACTCAATAATTTATAGAGATTCATGTGATTTACCTAGCTGTTGGTGACATTGCTGCTGGGGAGAAAGAGGTAGCTGCAATAGAAGATCTTCAGCAGCAGTTCAGCAATAGGCCCATCTGGATGGCAGCTTCTATCCACAAAGGGGAAGATGAAAGTAAGCACCTCAGACACCCACCTTTTCTTTTTATTGGATCAGTATTATCTGCTCTTCCAAGGAACTGTGTGCAGGACTAAAACTGTATATATGTAGCTGTTTTGCCTATGGTGATGATCACCATTGATATCCCTAAAGTCATTGCTGACTTCTTTATGCTTTCCTGAATAATTGAATCCTTGCCTTACTATGCTTATGTTCTCAACATAAAAACAATGTTGACAAGCTTCCTCTCTTTTTCAGTCATTCTCCGTGTTCATGATGAGTTAACCAGGGCGTATCCTACTCTACTTTTAATTCTCGTCCCAAGGCATCCTGAGGACAGCAAGAATGTTTCTCAAGTATGTCAATTGTCTTCCTTACCCTTTTATATCTGGTCCTGTTTAGTTGATGAAGTAGTTGGTGGGTTGTACTGCTTATCTTTTAGTTTTTTTTAATACATTATCATATTGGGTAATCTATAGGTGTAGCATTGTTGTAATGAAAAAAAGGGAACTAACTTAGTTCACTGTATGAAGCTTGAAATTAATTGCTTATAACTGTTTGTATACGATTACTTGAAATTTCTTATGGTTCTAGAGCATGTAGCATATGATTCTCACTTCAATGCTGATAGTATAATATGTATGGGCCACATCTTTAGTTCTTTACTCATCTTCTTTTAGACCCTGAAGAAACAGAAAGTGAATTTTGTGCTGAGGTCAACAAGAGAAGTGGTGTCTTCAAACACCAGTATATATGTGGTTGATACGTTAGGTTTGTGCTATCTCTTATGCCTTAAGTTTGCACATTTTTTCAGTATGGAGTATGGACTGTGTATATTCTTTTGAATGTTAGTTAATGAATGAAATACCATGGAAAATAGGTGAATTAAGAATGCTCTACAGGGTTACTCCAATAGCTGTTATTGGGGGTTCTTTTTTGCCCGGCTTAGCTGGACATAATATTTCTGAGGCTGCTGCAGTTGGTTGCGCTGTTATGACTGGTACGCAAGAGTGCAAGACACATCTGACTATTTTGAATGACTTTTTCTACAAAATCGGAATGTCTAGAGTTTCATTAATTGTCTTTCAGGTCCTAGTGTTGGGCACTTCTATCATATGCTGGTCGAAATGTGGCAAATAAATCCTTTAGCTGTCAAGCAGGTGATAATCTGTCTTGTACTTTGTTATTTATCTAACTGACACAAAAAATGCCGCATCATTTGTGCACTATGTTCGATTAAGAGTGGGATTACTACTATTTCGTGGCCTTCTTAGGGGAGGTATTTTGTTAATTATTGACTTGGCCTTGTCCCTACTTCTGGAAATTAGTTTGGACGGTAACAGGATGAATTGCCTTCTACTTGCTCTTTCAATAAATTATGCTTGCAATGTGGGTATGCTGCTTTACTGCATGGGTGATTCTTTTTTTTTTTACACCTAAACATCGCAAGGAGCTACAGCCCCTTTCATTCTATGAGGATTAATGCAAATGTTTTTCAGGTCAAAGGAGAATATGAACTTTTGGAAGCACTAAAACAACTGCTTGGTGATTCTAGAGCTCTGGAAGCATGTCAAAGAGCCGCAAAAGATGCGTTTTCCTTTATGTCAGATGGAGTTGTCAATCGTGTATGGAATTTAGTCCACCCGTTCACTATTGGTTCCCAAACAGACACATGCGACAGCTTCTCGAGTAGTTAGTATGGAAGGCTTGCACATGGAAGTATGGAAAATCAGGGTAGTCACATTTAAAACATTGACATCTTCTAGTAACTTGCAGGGACAGGTTGACAATGTATGAGTCCTCTTTATTAGGAAGATAAGGTCTCACGAATTTCTCTGTACAGTCTGATGCACATAACAAACTTGTACTCCTAGCATGCCGGTGACAGATGACACAAATATCAAATTAAAGGCCATTAGCTCCTCTTAGCAATCTAACATTTCTGACGAATTCTACTGGAGCCCCTCTCATTTTGTATTTTCTTGTGATGTGGGTCAGCTGTTGTAGACTTGCAGTTCTTCGTCTCCTATCAGTATGGCTGATAATTGATTGTTTGACTTTGTTTATTTCTTGTATTGGTTGATCCCCTGTAATCAGGTTTGCAAAAGTTTGAAAAGCATGTCCTAACAACTTCATGATTTATCAGGCGTGCCATGCGTGACTTTTACTTTGACTAAATACAGTTTCAGCGGGGTTTTCTTTTGTCCGGTGGCCCGTGGGGAGGGCAGAATATTCGATCAGCTATAGGTATTCACAGTATTCTCCCGTTTCTGGTTTCTCAGTAAGCAACCACATGCGCAGTTTGCGTTTCATTATGCGTGCGACCATATGTGCAGGTTTGCACATTGGCATGAGACAGACTGCTCTTCAGCCGTTCTGCATCTGTCTAGCGATACACACACAGTACGTGCTTTAACTGCGAGAAACCTAATTCGCGCGCGCCGGCAGCGCGCACTCCCGGCTGTTTTCTCTTTTTTTTTCCATACGGCCCACTCGGCGTGCGCCCGCGAAATCTAACCACCGCTGTTTTCTCTTTTTTTTTTCCACTTTTTTTTCTTCCCTGATTTTTTTCGCTTTCCTTTTTTTTTCTTTTTTTCCTGATTACTTTTTAATCTTCTAGCAGCAAGTGTTTTTATTTTTTAAAAAGTTTTTAAATCTTGACTTAAAAATTTTTAAATCTTAATTTAAAAAATTTCAAATCTCGAGTTGAAAGTTTTCAAATTCGAGTTGAAAGTTTTCAAATACGAGTTGAAAGTTTTCAAATTTTGAGCTGAAAGTTTTCAAATCTCGAGTTGAAAGTTTTTAAATTTGAGTTAAAAGTTTTCAAATCTCGAGTTGAAAGTTTTAAAAAATTTTCTTGCAAATTGAAAACTTTCAAAGTTCGAGTTGAAAGTTTTCAAAATTTGAGTTTAAAGTTTAAATCTTAAGTCAAAAGTTTTCAAATGTAACTTAAAATTTTTCAATCTATTAGGAAAAAGAATCTCCTAATAAAATAAAAAATCTATTGTTAATTACCATCATTATCCTTAACTAACAGAGTTAGTTAGGCTACCGCGTCGGCGTACGCACATACTAGGAACGCCCCTTTAACTGCCCGTCCGTATTCTCAGAAATGGAGCAAAAAGCCAAGGCAACGTTCAGAGCAAGAATGCAGGATATACACTATTCAGCGTTTTATATACGTCAATGGTTTTCAATTGAGTAAATTGCATCGCCGGTACACGAACTTGTCAGATGGGTGCAATCTAGTGCACGAACTTGTAAAATGCTCATTTTGGTGCATGAATTTGTCTAGGTGCGTGCGGAGAAAACCGAAAAGTACACTACATGGTTAATCTTATTAATTTAGGGGTTGATTAGGATACTATGTAAACATATATCTAAGAAGGTTGCCATTAGACATATCTATTCAATAAAAATCAGAAAGATTAAAAAACTTAGCACTAATATAAGGGTTAGAAACATATGAGATTCGTTATTTCCATTCTGAAGGATAAAGTTAAGACGAAATTTATAAATATTACGTGTCTTATGCATACTCACTATACGTATGCACGTCACATCCTAATGAACATCATAAATTAACATTGCTAAGTTATTTTGGTCCTCGTTCGCACGAACTAGACAAGTTCGTGTACTGAAATAAGCATTTTACAAGTTTACGTACTAAATTGCACCCACCTAATAAGTTTGTGTACCACCAATACAATTTACTCTTTTCAATTTTTATTAAACTACAGAGCTTTCCTTCTTGAAAAGAGGAAAAAGGCCTACGTGTCAATGGTTTCAGTTTTATTGACACCTTCACAAAGGAATATAAAGGGGTTGTTGTACGACGAAATCCCGTTCGAACGGGATGAAACCGGTTGGGTATCAGGTATAATACCTTATAGTTATCAGATCTCAAGTATTATCTAATACCTTAGGGATATCAGGACCTTATACCTAACTAGTATCATCCCATTTGTTGTAGTAGGGGGTGAACGCCATCCCTATGTTCGGCAAAAACACACACAATAAGGAAATCGTATTTGAGCCATGCAATCTGCTCGAATGAAGTTTTGACCTGTAACAACCCTTGATCGATCATTTGCATTTGCCCAAGAAATGTTTATTCCAAGGAAAGTGCGTTTGAGTAGTTTCACTTGCTCAAATCAGTATTCCCTCCATCTCAGAATATAAGAAGTTTTAGAGTTAGACACAGTTATTAAGAAAGTAGATAGAATTAAGAGAAAATCCCTTATGTATCTATGAAAGTTTACCTAATCCATTCTATATCCCTGAATTTTGCTCAATCCCTTACATACCTCTGAATTTTAGTTTGGATCCCTTCCATGCCTTTTCCGCTAGTTGACCGTTAGTTAACCGTTAAATTCTTTTGAAAAAAAGTCCATTTTGCCCTTTGCTACGAAGAAACATAATAAATTAATGAAGTATATTGTTGGAATGTAAAAATTTATTGGATGAGACTATTATATTTATGAGTCTGTGATGCACCATATTATTTGTGACAAATTTACTTTTACATATGATATAAAAATTTAATACTTATTTATTAGTTATTAAAAGTTCTTTTATGTAGCATGTGTTTTCATAGTAATACAACAGATTTGTTTATTACTATCAGAACACATATGCTAAAAAAATAAATAAGTATTAATTTTTTATGTCATATCTAAAAGTATATTTATCGCAAATAATATGGTGCATAACTATCTCATAAACATAATAGTCTCATATAATAAATTTCTATGCTCCAACAATATACTCTATTAATTTATATACTTCTTTATACCAAATGGCAAAATGGACTTTTTCATAAGAATTTAACGGTCAACTAGCGGAAAGGGCATGGAAGGGATCCATACTAAAATTTAGGGGTATGTAAGGGATTGAGCAAAATTCAGGGTATAGAAGGGATTAGGTGAACTTTCAGGGGTACACAGGGGTTTTCTTTAGAATTAAATAGGGAAAGGTTGTGATTGGTTAAGAAGTGGAGGTAGTTAGGAAAAGTGAACGATGGAGGGTTGTGAATTGTTGGGAAGAGAATGTTGGTGAAAAAAAATGTTATATTTTGGAACAAATACTGAGTGTTAAAGGTTGTTATATTTTTGGACTGATGGGGTATATTACTAACAACACAACGTGTTTGGACAATTCTCTTCACTTAGCAGGTGAGAAGCCAGAAGATGGGAAAAATGTATTCAAGCCCTCACGAGAGAGACATTACTCTACCCGGATGATTGAAGTCAAGGGAAAGTATCATTGAGCAAAAGAACATGTCTCAAGAAGGTAACAGGGGATCACTCCAACTACAAAAGAACATGTCTCAAGAAGGTAACTGGGGATCACTCCAACTACAAAAGAACATGTCTCAAGAAGGTAACAGGGATCACTCCAACTACTCTCACTGGATGTTACTTGAAGACCACTAAAATATAGTAAAATGCTCTTAGGATTGTAAACTTTATAAGGGTAGTATGATAATATGTAGGCCCTCAGGGGCAAACTTGTAATCTCAAGTGTATGGTTGAGAGTCATTTAAGCCGACCTAGATCCTGTAAGCAGGGACAAGTTCAATAGAGAAAAATACTTTTCACTCACTTTGCTTTTGAGCTCACTCTCAGGATAGGCGGGAAACTATACTTCCCCGTCTATCCCCAAATTTGTCCGTACCCTAAGGTCACGATACCGTTCGAACGAGATATCGTCCCGTAGTATTCTTGTAAATCAATTTCTTGCAATTTGTTTAGAATTCCCCAGGAAATCACAACATCATAAAAAAAAGAAAAAAACAATTCTAAAAGGTTAATAAATGCAGAGCTTTTCATCCTTTTGTCGGAGTTTGGGGGCAATGCGCCAAGCCGCCAACACCATGCTGCCCTCCCACTCTCCAGCTGCTACCCATCAGCTACCCACCTCCCCTCGCCGCAGCACGCGCCCCGCGCCGCCACCACCATGCCCATGCCCGCGCGCCGGCGCAGCCCCGGCGGCCGAGTCTCTCCTCCCTGGATGCCTTCGGGCGGAGTCGCTGCCCCGGCACGTGGCGGTGGTGATGGACGGGAACGCGCGGTGGGCGCGGGCGCGGGGGCTCCCGTCGGCGGCCGGGCACGAGGCCGGGCGGCGCGCGCTGGAGGAGACGGTGCGTCTCTCCCGCGCCTGGGGCATCCGCGCGCTCACTGCCTTCGCCTTCTCCAACGAGAACTGGAGCCGCCCCAAGGTACACACGCCTCGCCGCCGATTCCTTCGAAATCTCTGCCTTCGCCGAGCTTGACGCGTCCTCGCCATGTTGGAATTCGCAGGTGGAGGTGGACTTCTTGATGAGGCTGTTCGAGCGGGTGATCCACGATAGCGTCGCCGAGTTTCTGAGGTAAACATCCGTACTTGCAAATTAAATAATTAGTTAATGCCTCACGCGTTCACAACACTTGGCTTTGTGGAACTGGAAGTTCGCCAATAGATGCTCAAAGCCCACAGTGCTCCGGGCGTACCAGCAACTCAATTACCAGCTTGTAATAGGAATTTCTTGCAAGATTCATAGGAAAAAGATTCAATTTTCACAGGAGCCAGTATAATTTCCTGCCAAAGTCTAATGTGTACATGTCATGTGGTGATGTGGACAACAAAATGAGGATTTTTTTTTTCCACAGGGAAGGAATTCGGCTACGTGTAATCGGTGACAGCTCAAGGCTACCGGTTTCTCTACAGAAGATTGCGAGAGAAGCCGAGGAGACCACGAGGAACAATTCACAGCTTGATCTGACACTGGCAATCAGCTACAGCGGGAGGAGGGACATCGTGCAGGCGTGCCGGAAGCTTGCCCAGAAGGTGCAGAGCAAGGCGCTCGCGGCGGAGGACATCGACGAGGCGCTGTTCGCCGACGAGCTCGAGACGAGCTGCGCGGCCGACGAGTTCCCGTACCCCGACCTTCTCATCAGGACCAGCGGCGAGCTGAGGCTGAGCAACTTCTTGCTGTGGCAGTCAGCGTACTCGGAGCTCTTCTTCACCAACACGCTGTGGCCTGATTTCGGGGAGGCTGATTACCTCGAAGCGCTTTGCTCCTTCCAGAGCAGAGACAGGCGATTTGGTGTAAGAAAATTGTAGCACAAACATACAAAAGTTGAAGCATGAAAGGTATGTGTCTGAAAATGCTCAGTGATAGTTGGCAGGTAAATATCAGTCAATGCTTATGACTTGGTTCTCTGCAGGAATGTTGATCAAGAAGCATAGGACATCACATTTTTCATGTTAGTTCAATACTTCAATTATCCATGTTAAAGGCAAGTCTGAACATACAGTACAAGAAGAGCCAAAAATATGTAGAAAAGCAATTCAGCAAGTGAAAACACCATGACAACTAGGCATACTGAGTAGAAAAATGTTGCTATGAAATTGCAAGATGAGGAGCACAAACACGAATGTCATGTATATGGCATTTGATTCACAGAACCACAAACAAACAGGTTTATACAAGGAACATATGAAGAGTATAATGTATTCGATTTATTAGAACCACAAACTAGATAGCAGTGAATCATTCATTGTGTACTCGACGGAGTAGTACTAGTATTAACGGCCAAGTAACATGAGATTGGCCAACTTATTTGGTTTCAGTTCCTTTTTCTCACATATTCCTGCATCTTCTTTTTTCACTACACTTTCTGATCATAATATTTGATTAGTACTGGAGACCATTTATTCACCGGTTATACAAACTATAAAAATAAAAATAATCTAATGCCAACTACAAGTGATTTTTCGTTAATTTTGAACGAATTTTAGCAAAATTTCAATGAACTCCAATAAACTTTGAATAAAACCATTCGAGATGCGCATTTTGAGCCGGCTCTAGATGCTCAAATTTCGCCGAGATTTTGAACCCTAGAGTGCATACAACTCTATAATTCTTGTTTATTCATTGTCCTTTGCATCTTCTTCACACTTTAAGCATATCATGTCCTTGTATTGCTCCATTATGATCAATGGCAGGATCGATGGCATGATAAATGCTGGTACCATTGTTGCGGTCTCTGTAGTACTAGCACATAAATCATGTAAAAGAGGTAGAGGGTGTCCAGTTCAGGTGAGTGAATAAGTACTAATGTGTTCACGGGTTGTGCTTGTCTAGTTGTCTATGTAACCGTAATTTTTTTTTATAGAAGTTGGGGTACGAAGATATAATCATCAGTACCCCATGCCTGATTACAGCTCATGAGAAATCTTATGAAATATGATAAGAGTGAACTATATATATATATATATGCATACATACTTACTCCCACTGAATGCTACTAGTAGTTTGTACATATCAGTTGAAGCAGCCAACGGAAAGTTGTTTAACATACATGCTTGGTTGTTTATTACTAATGCTGATACCAATTTTTTTGTCCAAAATTTATTCACAGAGTATTTATCCTTGATCCCAATCCACCCATAAATCCAATCCAACCTGATTGTTCCACAAGCATTTCCTATTTTCCCACACGGTTCTAAGCTGGTCCGCAGTAGTACAATTCAACAGAAAAGGAGATTCCCCAATATGCAGAAAACAAAAACTAGTCTCCCGGTGCAAACCACGCCGGATGCAACTCCTGCGTAGGACTGTAGGAGTCAGGCATGGACCCTAGAAAAAGTGAGATCCATATGTCAGTTTTGCAATGATCAACTTCAATACGATACTATACCCATCCTAAAATATAAAAGATTTTGCTAATATATTAGACGGATGTAGTAATAAATTGTACTGCTTTCGTCCTAGAGTAAATTTATTTATTTTTTGCTCTTCTCTTTTGTCTCAAATCGGAGTTTGTGAAAGTATGAGATAAATTCACTAGGAGTAAATAAAAGGAAGAATAATTAAATTGAGATTTGATAAAAATAGTGGTATTTTAGTCTTTTTTTGATTTTGTATTACTCCCTCCATTCACTTTAAAATGTGATGATCAAATTTTAAAATCTGATTTTTTGAAATATGACAATCAAAGTGAGGCCGTGTTTAGTTTATTTTAAATTTTCAAAAATTCCAACACATCAAATGTTTAGACACATGTATGGAGCATTAAATGTGGACGGGAAAAAAAACCAATTACACAGTTTGTATGTAAATTGCGAGACGAATCTTTTGAGCCTAATTACGCCATGATTTGACAATATGATGCTACAGTAAACATTTGCTAATAACGGATTACTTAGGCTTAATAAATTCGTCTCGCAGTTTACATGTGGAATCTATAATTTGTTTTGTTATTAGTCTATATTTAATACTTCAAATGTTTGTCCATATACTTAAAAAAGTTTTGGCAGAGGAACTCAATACAGCCGCCTAAATGAAAATGAAAGGGAGTAGCAAGTACTCCGTACCCCATATTGGGGCATTTAACTATTTGCCACTTTTAGATTTGACAATTAACTATTTGTCACTTTTAGATTTGACAATTAACTATTTGTCACTTTTAGATTTGACAATTAACTATTTGTCACACCTATCTTAATGACATGTGGATTCAGTGGCAAATAGTCAATTGCCACATCTAAAAGTAGCGTATAATTCAATATCTCCATATTGGATGGATGAAAAAGTAGCCTTTGAAATAAGTGGGACCTGAATATCAGTGATCTCGTTCTGACCACACCGACCGTACATGCCGTGCCGGGGTGCCTAACCCAGTGACGCACCGAGCCGGGTTCGGCACGCGACGTGGTCCGACCGACCGCAGCCAGACCGGAGACCGGACCGGACAAACGGAACCCTCCACCCTCACGCCTCGGCCCCCAGGCTGCCTATATAAGCGCACCGAAGCCCCCTCTTTCTCAGTCTTGACTCCTCCTCTCTCCTCTCCTCCACCCCCCCCCCCCCCCCCCCCTTTTTCTTCCCCCCAAATTGCCAAAACCCGCGAATCCGCGTCCGTCGAAGCGGGAGGCGGAGGCCGCAGGCCGCAGCCAAGGAGAGGCAAAAGGCGCCTCTCTCGCTCGCGCACGCCACGCCGCGCGCGCTCTCACTCTCCCCCCTTCTCTCTCTCTCCAATTCCTCCCTCTCGCCCGCGATGGCGACGCCCCGCGCCCCGCCCCAGGCGGCCGTCCCCGGAGGAGGGGCCGGTGCCACCGCCGGTGGGGTCACCATGCGGATGTTCCACGGCGACGTGTTCCTCGGCGAGGCGGAGGTGTTCCCGATGAAGCAGGGGGCCGAGGGGAGCCTGCCGTTCCCGAGCAACGAGATCCGCATCAGCCACCTCTCGCCGACGAGCGAGCGGTGCCCGCCGCTCGCCATCCTGCAGACCATCGCGCCCTTCTCCGTGCGATGCAAGCTCCAGGCCAAGCTGATGCCTCCCCACCCGAGCCTACACCGCCTCTACCTCACTTGCTTCAACGAGTACAAGGTTTGCCCCCACGCAATTTCTCAACAATCGCTCATGTCCATCGCTTTGTATTAGTATAGCTGGTACTCCCATTCGAAATCGAAGCGAAATAAGTTGTTTACAGCGACTACTTGGGAAATGGTATTAGCGCCACTTCTAAATTTTGGGGCAATCACCAGTAATCAAAGCGTTTTACACATTCTATTATGGATCTTCGATGGGTTGTGTGTTTGATGTGGTTTGATTCGTTCGGATGATGTTTCCCATTGATGATATTTCCATCAGGGGCACGAAATAATAGGATTTATAAAATTTTTTGTCTCCTTGGGTTTGTGTAGAGCGCAGTGGTAGTAGTTGGAGATGAGGAGCTACACCTAGTGGCAATGCCGAGCAAGGTGGAGAAGGTGCCATGCTTTTGGTGCTGTTCAGTACGCTCTGGGATCTATGCAGCATCTGTTGGGATGCTGAACTTGCGGTGCCTTGCTATCGTATTTGATCTCGATGAAACCCTTATTGTCGCTAACACAATGAAGTCCTTTGAGGACCGGATCGAGATGCTTTCCCGTAGGATGGATATTGAAGACGACCCCGTCAGGATAGCAGGGATGTCTGCAGAAATCAAGCGGTATATTGAGGACAGGGAGCTGCTCAAGGAGTTCATTGACACAGATACAGTTACAGATAATGGCAGAATCGTTGGGACCCAAAAGGAGGAAGTTCTGCCTATCTCTGGTGGGCAGGAGCGTGTTCTCCGGCCTGTTATCAGGCTGCCAGAAAGGAATGCGATTCTAACTCGCATAAATCCAGAGGTACAATTCAGATAGATCATGTATAAATATATTTCATTTAAATGAAATGTTGTTATCGTTTGCCTGTGTGCATGTTTTTGGCCTGGGGTTATCTAGAATTACACTTTGAAATCAGTTGGACCTATTCCTGGGTTGGAAAAATAGAACTGGGCTCCAATTTGCTGCCCACAAAAGGCATGCTGTATGTCTATTTGGTTATTAGCGATGGTACAAAAATAAGTTCTATAAATGACTTGTAATTGCTGCAGTTTTGATCCTCGGATAAGACATATTTGTTCAGGCTCATTGTTTCTACCTACAGGTCTGTATGATCTGCATAGTTACATAATTTGCTTTGTACATGTGATGTTTATGAATAAAACAGATGCAGAAATGAACTTGTAGCCTGATGGTTTGGGAAATGATGAAATAACAATTAACACAAAGTTTGACAACCTACACACAATGTGTTATTATCAGCTCATATGTTTGCTGCCAATTAGAAAAAAGAGATTCTATTTTAGTAATTATTTTTGTAATGCTTATCTGAGACGATTAATCAAGCTGATTAAGTCATTCTGGACTGAAAATGGGCTCAGTATAATTCTCATATGTCTAGTTATTCAAAATTTTGAGATAACTAGAGTTTTTAATTATTGTAGAATTCTGTAATTAGTTCCCTTTTTTGAGGTGATTACCTTATCCCCTGTCTGATTTTAATACTCTGCTCAGGTTCGCGATACTAGTGTTTTTGTAAAGCTAAGGCCTGCTTGGGAGGATTTGAGAAGTTACCTGACTGCTAAGGGACGCAAACGATTTGAGGTCTATGTATGTACAATGGCTGAGAGAGATTATGCTCTTGAGATGTGGAGGCTTCTTGATCCAGAAGCCAACTTGATAAGCTCTCATAACCTTGCAGAGCGTGTAGTATGTGTAAAGTCAGGTAAATTTTCAAGAAATTGGAGGTTCTTTTTTTTCTGCTATCTTTCATTGCTTTCTTGTCTCAACATGTTTTGTTATATTGACATCGTTACTAAACACAGAGTAGCTACTTTAAAACACTGAACACGAATATTCTGTGTTATCTATCTTTTCATGTACAATGAAATTATGTTGTGTTTCCAAGTTATTGAGAAGGAATGGGTTCGGTATTGCAGATTAGTGTCCCAGAGAGAAAACCCATAGTTTTTCTAGCATGTATCGTTCATTCCCTTAGTATTGTATTTCATTCTTATCCTTACAACTTCAAATATAGTGCATAAGTAGTACTAAATATTGTTTAAATTTGTATAAAACTTATTCTTAGTTTAAACAATATAATATTTGTGTAGAATGCTTAAGTGAATGAGAAATTGCGCTTTGCCATTGCCCATTATATGGATAATACATAACATAGATCTTCGCTTTACTATCTCTATTGTCTCAGCTCTGGACTATGTTCCTGCCATAATTTCATGGACATAACCACCAATATTATTCATTATTCTATTTCATGGCAGGTTCGAAAAAGTGTCTGCAGAATGTTTTTAAAGACAAAGGATGCCATCCGAAGATGGCCATGGTAATTGATGACCGACTGCAGGTTTGGGATGAGAAGGATCAACCTCGAGTTCATGTTGTCCCAGCATATACTCCATATTATGCCCCACAAGCTGAGGTATTTATTTGTATTTTATTGCTTACACTTTTTTTGGTCAACAATATCTCATTCTGGACCCTGTTTGCATATTTTAGATGGCAAATGCTGTGCCTGTGCTTTGTGTTGCAAGAAATGTTGCTTGCAATGTTCGTGGTGGTTTCTTCAGGTTGGTAAAAAATATAAGATACCGTATGTGCATTCTGATGATATCATGCTTACTGTTGTAATGTTATTCTTTGCGTTCATCAATGCATTGCAGAGAGTTCGATGAAAATCTATTGAGAAAAGTGTTTGAACTAATGTATGAAAATGAGTTGCTAGATCTTCCATATGCTCCTGATGTTGGTGACTACTTAGTCTGTGAGGTAACATTATTGAATCGTTGTTATTTTGTGTGTGTTTATTTTCTAAATGGTTATCCAACTGCTAATTTTGTTCCAGGACACTAATTTTGCACCAAACAATAAGGATGTTGCCCCTATACCTGAGGGTATGAGTGGAGCTGAAGTAGGGAAGAGGTTGAATGGGCTGGTGAGTGCTGATCTTCGTTTCTGCTTTGCTTTGATTTTTAGGGACTTGATTTTTTTTTTCACCTAGATCAAATCAGCTAATGATGCCTATTTCTATGGTAAGCGCTGTTATACAGCATAATATAAATGCTGTCATGTAGCTTGATTTCAATTATTTATAACCATCTACTTTGTGTTATTTCATTTTAGAAGAAATGTAGGTGTATCAAATTGATCCTTCTTTGGCTTACAATTGGATTTGTCCTTGTATCAAAATTAAGTCCACAGTTCTATCACTTAGCTAGCAAAATCATCACTAGTTTCTTTATCAGTTTGTAATAGACTAGTATATAATGATCATGCTAGTGTGTTCCTTATTTCAGGCATATCCTAGAGACCAGAAACAAATACCATCATCAACCCGTTTGTCAGGTACTTACCTCATGTCCATTATCTTTATTGGCTTTCTTTTGGTTCTTCTTCCTGGGCTTTCTTGAACCCTTGCATTTATAAATCACTTTAGTCATTTTTTATTATTACCTTGCGGACATTAAAAGAGGGAATGGTTTTCTCTGTACCATTTTTTCCCTGTAAAGGAAAGAGTACTCTACTATGAAATGCAGCAGCATCAACATTATGCTTGAAAATCCTAATTGTACCTCACTATTATTAAAGAAGTACAATTCATATATTGTTTTGGATCTGTAATTTGATGCTTCGAGTAACATAAACCAATCTTTGTAGATGACGACGGAGTGGCACTCCGTGGCATTCCAGGTGGTACAAATATCCAATCTAACGGGGGATCATTGGCAACAACCCCCTCATTATTTGTCACGGTGTTGCAAGAAATTGGACGGCTGTGCGAATCCAGGGTATTTGGATCTTTAAGATTATATTTGTTTTCTGCCATTGCCCTTATGAGCTGAGAGTAATCTCCTGTTCTTTCTTCATTAGGTGGAGTTCAGGTCTACTGTAAGCAGTGGAAAAAACATGCAATTTTCTGTTGAGGTTGGCATTTTGAATTTTTACATATTATACTTCGTTTCCATGTGGTCTTGGCAACAGCTTGGGCTGAAATTCTAATTGAGAAAAATATATATTTAGAATGTTGAGACACATTTCCTTTGGCGTCTCAACTCTCAACTTCAGCATCAGTCCAGTGCTTTTGCTCTGAAGCTGTTTGCTTGCGGGTGCATTACCAGATTTGTATAGCAATGCTGTGATATCTCTACTTAATCATGTGATCCTCATGTTACCTATACATATGATGTTCCAGGTTCTATTTAGTAATGAAAAAATCGGGATCGGCATTGGAAAAACAAGAGATGAAGCCCAAGTACTAGCTGCTGAAAAAGCTCTCCAGAATTTGGAAAGTGAGTATAATCCTTTACATCTTGATTATTGCAAGCTTGAAAAGTTACGTTTGTTTTACAATTCCGTGTTTACAGGTGTCATTCTTTTTCTAAAGCATTCACTGATGAGAAATTCCATGTGCCTTAAATCCTGTTATCTGGCTGACTTGCAGGCAATTACTTGTCATTCATGGCTCCTGTTGCTGGAGTTCTTAATAAAGATGTGAACAAGCCTCCTGGGAGTGGAAATGGCTTTCTCGAAGATATTACTCTCTCAGAGGATATTTCTATGGAAGAGCCATCTGGAAGTACATTAAAAGAACAGGATCATTCAAAAGCTTTGGATAGGTTGTCCTCTGTTATAAGTCTTATTAGAGAACTTGTAAGAGATGCTGCTGCTGCACTTATATTCCATTTTAGTGTCCTTATTAATGTGTTATTTCTTTTCTTAACTTTGCTTAATTGAATTGTAATTTGCAATTGCTATTTCTAGTGCTTGGAGGACCAACATGTAGTATTTCGCGATCAAGTACGGGATTCTGGCTCAGCATTAAATGGAGAATACCATTTCCAGGTTAATTAACTTGCATAGTCGCATCGTTCTAGAATTCTCCTAGCATAGTTGTGGGCCTTCTGGCTTATACCACAGTGTACCCGGGTGTTGCAGTTCTGGAGCAGACCAGTTCTCACCTGTCTGGTATTGGGTTTTTGTTTGAAGAAGGGAACTAGCTGGTTACTACTTGCCAGAGGGAGCCGGCTGGTTGCTACCTAGTTTTTTTTAGCTTATGACAAATATTCCTGTATTATACTGGCAAGTGTTTAGAAACTAAACTAAATTGGATATTTGCTAATTGCCTATTTAAAATTAACTTATATGAGCTTGTTAATGCAATTAATGTTGCAACTGTTGTTATCCTTTGTAGGCTGAATTAGGAGGACAAATTCTTGGGAGGGGCATTGATTTGAACAAAGATTTTGCGAAGCTTCAGGTACTATATTTTATATTGCTCTCGCCTTTTGTTCATAGCTTTTATGTGTTGATGCATTGCCACTTTAAATACTTTTTTGAGTTCTGTCGTTCTAAATTATATTTGCATCAGGCATTGCACTGACTTGCACGCAGATGTGATAAATGAGGCACCTGCTGGCTTGCAAAGATTGTAGTGTTGTACATTTCATATGTATATATCTACATGATATTGTGCTTTATTGCAGAAAATCTGTCTAATAGGAATTGTGTATACTAATCTAACTAGGATCTGACTTTTGACATTTGCACAATTATTGGGAATACTAAAGATGCCTCTGTGTTTCGAGGTTGCTGCCTCAAGCCTGCAACAAGCCCGAATCACATTCTCCTAGAATGCTCCACCAGCATGACTTTGTCCAAAATTAATGTCCCAACATTAATTGCACTAGCAAGCTTGAACCAAGAAGCTGCCTTATAAAATTCTACCTGTTTCAGCCGGCCTCATAATATTGTGCAAATTTGAAGTTGTTCCTGAAGTGGCCAAAACACCCCCGTAAACTAGGTTTGATATTTAATGGCAGGTGAGCTTCAAGTCTGCTGACATGAACATGAGATGTAAATATACTCCTTAACATCGACTAAAAGGGGGGACATTCCTATGCACACATGCTTCAGGTGCACTTTGTGCACAACAACTAACCAATGTCACCAGAAAATCTTAAATAAAATTGTTCATTTACTTCTAATCTTACTCCACCTATATATAAGTTTTGGAATTCAAATCCATTAAATATCAGCGGTTACCAAAAGGAAAAAAAAAGAAAAGAAAAAAACTCTCTGTTTTATGAGTATGTATATGTCAGTTGGTGTGCACAGTGAGTGCACCAGAGCTTGTGTTCACGTGATATGTTATGGCCAAAAGAGTTTGTGGGAATTTGGAAATGCCATCTTTACCATTACCAATTTGGCCAAAAGGGCTTGTGGGATTTCTAACAAATTAAATCCTTCTCAGGATTCGAACCCATGAATGCTGTCCACTTGGTCCACACATTACCATTATTAGGATATCATTTTGAACAAAAGTAGGTCTTCTAGTGACTTTGATACATTTAAACTTCAAAACTGAATGGAAATATTTTGGCCAGTAAAAACTTTATCAGGACTTGCCTAACTATCCAGTTACTTGCATTAACCACTAATAACTGCCTGGTGCAAAGTGTGCTGGTTCTGTCTCGAGGGGGCAACAGCACTGTTATAGCCTCTTTATTGCTGCGGTTTCCTGATACTCACCACTAAACATTTTGTTTCAGGCTGCAGAAGAGGCGCTGAAGACCTTGAAAACAACTACGGACCCACAAATCAAGAAGCATTTGAGACCAGTAAGGTAGCTATTTGATGCTTGCCGTTTTTGCACGTCAACATATCTTAATTTGCAGATGAATGCTATTTTTATTTACGAATAATGTTTTGTTCTGGACTTCATTGAGTATTTTTGCCAGTATCTCTTCCTAAAAATATCTTGTATTCTGGATAGTAAGATGTAAATTAATCATTATTCAGTCCTTATGTCTCTCTTATCTTACAGCTTGTCATCTCTTCTTATTATTTTTATTCCAGATGCAACAGCTGAATTTCCCCTTATATCCCACAGAGGTGAGTTTGATAATGTTGAAATGTGAGGCCAGCTGTTGATAACATGCCATTTTCAAAATTGTGGCATTCTGGCAATCCATTGGTTTATTACTGGAAGCGCTTCTCCAATTATGGTTGGCTGGCTGCCTCTTGAACCATGATTTTCATGCAAAGTGTTTTTTGCCTCTCCGAGTTTAGAAGGTGATAAATTATAGAGAATTGGGCATGGTGCATCGTGGATTCTGTTGACCTTGGACCGTTTGCTCCATACAACCAAAGCTGTAATCTTCACAGGATACTGGCGTAGTTGGATAGCTGTAAACAGGTAGGGGTAGGGGTATGTCATGAATATTGACTGTTTCCTTGACGGATACAGTTATTTGTAAACAAGTTAGTTTAATTAAAGTGGAATGTCCACGCTGATATTTCACGTTTACATGTTTTAAATGCTGCCAGCTTTCTTATGTAAATTAAAGAAAGCATTGCAAATCATGGACATCATTTTTACTAGATCACCAGAACAAGAGCATATTAGCATTACAACTGAAATGATTGAGAAATGAACGTAAATCTGGTGGATTAAAGTACATGTGGTTGAGCTTATACGTTGTGGTTATGGAGCACATGTTATGCCAAATCTCCAGACTTTCAGCTTTTCCTGGCTCTTATTCTAGATGTATTCTACAGAATTTATCGAACAGATAAATTTAACCACAATATGCATTTCACTAATTGAGTTTTTTGGTAGCTTAGTCATTACTGGTCCTAAACATACTTGCACTGCTAACAGCTTTCCTGCTCTTTTTGCACTGCTAACAAGTACTGCTGGTGTTGCAGACCTTAGCAACGTAAAGGGTTTTTTGTTGCAGTTCTCAATACACTTGTTCCTTGTAGGTTTGCAGCATGTAGAAGCTTTCGAGTTTTGAATGAAGGCACCGCGAGACCGTGTGATCAGCCAAAACTGCAGGTCAGCGTCTCTGATGCTTACTTCATGTTTTTCTCGTGCCGATTTGGAAACCAAGGCTTCGGAGCAACTGCTGCAGGGCTTTCCTGGTCCAGGCCATGTCATTGAAGAAAATGCTGGCCAGCCCCAGCCTATTATTCTCTACTGGATCGCCCTCCTTGTGCAAGATGGCATCCTCACCGTTGCTTCCAGCAAAACCAGAAGCTGCGGCTGCAGTAGCAGTGTGATTGCCATCTTGTGCTGCCATGTTTGCCTCCCCACTAAGCTCATCTGGAATCTTGTGGTGTTTGTCCAATGCTAACTGATTTAGAAAAGAAAAAGGGACGATTAAATTAACAAGAAGCTGATCTTAAATACTCCCTCTATTTCAATGTATGATGCCGTTGACTTTTTAACTAACGTTTGACCACTCATCTTATTTAAAATTTTTATACAAATATAAAAATACTTATGTCATGCTTAAAGAACATTTGATGATAAATCAAATCACAATAAAATAAATTATAATTACATAAATTTTTTAAATAAGACGAAATGTAAAACACTTGTCAAAAAGTCAACGGCGTCATACATTAAAATACTGAGGGAGTAGTATATTGTTGCACATAAATGTTTGCTGCCCTTTTACACAGAACAATACTGTCACCAGGCAACTTACCTGTGGCTGGATCGCGTCGTTTGCTCCCATCATTTCCCTGTAAATATAAGTGACTAAAGCCGATTTTGCATCATCCACACCTACAGTCACACCCTTGTTGGTCTCTTGTTCTTCACCCAGTTGAAGCTCATCTTCCTGGAAGACGCCATCGCTTCCTGAAAATATCCCATCTGCGTCACCAATCTCTTCTGATACTTGCTGATTCTTCGCCTCGTCCCAGTCCTCGCAGACAATCAAGGTGTTCGAGGTGTCAGCTACATGCAGTATTCTGTTACGACCGTGCTGCCATTCGACATGTCCCGATCGATCTTGCAGCAAGAACTTGAACTCGATCGATCTTTCTGCTGGCAATTCCTGGACAGATCAGAAGTGGGGATGATTCATTACGAGATTATACACGGAGAATGGAAGGATTCGCGTGATGGGATTCACCTTCTTCACTGTCCACACGTGGTCTTCGGACCAATCCAGAGCAGCCGCCTTCGCCGGATTCCAGAGACCGAGCGCCGCGACGTCGCCGACGACGAGGAAGCGCTGCCCGAACGCGCACCGCTTTTGCAGCACGAATTTGACGTGCACTGTCTTCGTAGGAACTGGAGGGTAGAATATATCATGAGCTGTTTAAGAGAATCGCATCGTCTTGTGATTTTGTAATTTTTGAGTGGAGCTCACCGTCATCAGGAGGTGGGAGTGTCTTGGTGGAGCCGGTCTCCTCGTCGGCGTCAACCTGGACCGAGTGATCAACGCAGTGAGACGGCTTCAGCGACGGGATCACCGAATCGGAGCGAGCCAGCGTCTCGTGTACCGCGGCGCCATCTCCCAGGGACGACGACAAGGGTTGCGCCGTGATGAGGGGCTCCCCGAGCGACGCGACGAGCAGCGGCCTCCGTCGCGCGGTGGTGGCGGGCGCCGGGGAGGCAGCAACGCCACCCGCGCGCGTCGTGCTGCTGTCACTGCCACCGCGACGCGCCGGCGCGCGCAGCCCGCCGCCTCGGCACACCACGGCCGCGGCGGTTTCCATCAAAGCGGAACGCCTGCACGGGAGCTGCACAGTGGACACCACACCACCGAGAGTTGCTTGACGCGGCACGGATGCATTCGCGCTCCGGGCGGGCCTTTTTCAGCAGGGTGGGACGAGGGAATCGCGCGCACGGCAGTGTGTGTGGCCGTGGTGACAAGGCGGTTAGCGCCCGCGGGGCCCTCCTGTCCCCGTTCTCCTAGCTGCCCTGGTCTCGCGTCGGATCCGCGCGCGCCGAGTGTTTCGCATCCGTCTGCCCCTGCCGTTCGTTGCGTTGCGACTTGCGACGCCCGCTGCCGTGGACTGGATCCGCCACGGCAGCGAAGCCGTGCGGGCGACCGGGCCGTCCGGGAGTGCCAACTGAGACTAGCTCTGCACAGCACTGCACAGGTGTGGACTTGTGGTGGGTTAATAGATGATGAAGTGCTATATATGTTAAAAAAAAGTTATATACTCCCTTCGTTTCTAAATATTTGACGCCGTTGACTTTTTTAATTATGTTTGATCGTTCGTCTTATTTAAAAAAAATTACGTAATTATTAATCTTTTTCCTATCATTTGATTCGTGTGTATATATATATATATATATATAGTTTTACATATTTCACAAAAGTTTTTGAATAAGATGAACAGTCAAACATATGCTAAAAAGTTAACGGTGTTAAACATTTAGAAATGGAGTGAGTATATATTTTTTTTAAAAAAATGAAGCCAACAAAGCTGGTGTTATATTAAGTAGGGGAGGAAAAAGTATTTACAAGATGAAGTGCTATATTGTATGTAGGAAACTGTAACGTGTTGAGAAAAAAAAAAAGAGGCAGCAACATCCTAGTCGTACGGCTCGTCTAATCAACCGTACAAGTCACAACAAATGCCCGTGTTTTCTTACAAGCCTTCGAGCACCATGGCAAATGGTTTCTTGCCTTCTCGCTTCGGCATCAATGCAACAGAAGAAAAGGATGCTAGCTGGAACTGAAGTGCAAACAAACCGGAGGGAACGAGGGCATGACCGCGTGAGTTATTTGCTCTAGCAAATGAAAGTGTGCACTGCAGACATTGACAACAATGCACGTATGATCTTTTTTTTAAGATAATGGATAGAAATCCAGCCTCTATATCCATAGGTGGATATATACAGCCAACAATACACGTATGATGGGAGTAGATAAAACGATAGACATACAGTTCACCCGAACATTCATTTCATTGACATACAAATGCAGGGAACAGGGTTCTAGGAGGGAGGATTGAAGCCTTGAAGGATCTGAAACTAAAGGAAGGACTATTACTGGTAAATCCCAATATAGGAGTGAAAACAAGACGTAATAAAAAGGATCGACGCGGAAAGTTCCGATTGAATAGGATCTAGACAAGAATATAGGAGTAAAAACAAGACGTAATAAAAAGGATCGATGCGGAAAGTTCTGATTGAATAGGATATAGATAAGGGAGATCATTTGCCATTCGTTGGTTATTAGAAGCATCCCAAAAGCGTCTGGGTCAAAATATGGCTTTTAAATTAAGTTCCGAGTTAGTAGATGCTGCTAAAGAGGGTGGGGGTGTCATACGCAAAATGCAAGCTGACCCATAGAATAGAATGGCAAAGGCAAATAGAGCTCTTGCACATTTTCGTTAATTCATGAATAAAATCTAGGTATGAGCTGACTCATAGAATGGCAAAGGCAAATAAAGCTCTCGCACATTTCCGTTAATTCATGACCAAAATCTAGGTATGTAGACATATGAATCCATACATCTTGATCGGAAAAGAATCAATAGAAGGAGAATCAGACGATACCTTTCTCAAAACAAACAAAAATGTACTATAGTTGCAAGCAAAACCGAAAGGTTAGGTATATTACTATGCACCAGTGTTAAACGGCCCATGTATCACCGATGTTAAGAGTATATGGATATGAACGGAAATGATCCGGTTGTTATGGTAGGATGTGATTGATTTTTGTCTCTATGATTCTTTGAGATCCAAGCATTTGTACTCTATATATACCGTCCACAAGGCTCAGTACATTATGCATATGTGACATTCGCAGTACATCTCTCTACCCTACACTCTTGCATTTGTAATCTATATATACCCCACAAGGCTCAGTACATTATGCATGTGTAACATTCACAGTACATCTTTCTACCCTACACGCTTTTAACTGACATGGAAATAATTTTTTGAGTTGATAATGGCGACATCAAGTTCTAGTGTTCAACAATCTCATGAGATTAGCCTCCTCCCACATCTGCCACAAGCTACCTTTTAGTTAAACCCAAAGTGGCAGGTAATAATGGTTGTGTAATTGAAAAACATGACACAACAGCAAGCACAGACTAACTTTATAGACGACAGACATCTTAAGAAAGGAACACTAGAGATTTAAATTATGTTGACAGGTTGAGTAAAATAAAGCAATAAGCTTCTACTTATCTACTACACAAAAATATTACTGAAACTTAATAGAATTTTGGATTTTCAACACAAAAAGTAATTATTCAAAACAACAAAATACTTGAATATAAACATGTGTTCTTGACAAATTTACCCATATAGGCTTCATAATTCATAACCAGGATTGGTTTCAGATATTTATTTTGCATCTCAGACTATGTTCGTTTACCCATTTCAAAGTACTCCCTCCGTTTCACAATATAAGACTTTCTAGCATTGCCCACATACATATAGATGTTAATGAATCTAAACAGATATATATGTCTAGATTCATTAACATCTAAATGAATGTGGGCAATGCTAGAAAGTCTTACATTGTGAAACGGAGGAAGTACAAAGTTTCTTCTCCAAAGACCACATCTAACTGATGGCAAGTTTATGTCAGCATGATAAACTGATGGCAAGTTTATGTCAGCATGAGTTTATCAGAGTTTTAACTTCATGTTACAATGAAAAAGTTACATAATACAACCTGTGACAGGAAGCATCTTTCTAGGCATACAAAGAATGATTCCTTTAAACAAACATAACAGATAGCACTCACATGTCATGATAAAACGAAAGAGAAATAACAATATTTACTACAAAGATATCAACAAGTGTCACCAAAATGAACCATGAACGGATTAGCTCCATAAGTCTATACTGAATATTGCTCATCATGTATTCCATGAAGGCCAACAGTTGTTGGGACTTATGAATCAGGCCAGCCAATTAGAAATAATATCTATAGCTTAGAATATTCATTATCATAAACCCACAGCCTTGGTGTTTCGACAATATGATGGAGGTATTTGATTGACTTAATAGTTGTGACCAATAGAGCTATACTGTAAGTTATAACATCACTGGTTGCAACTGTTTTCATAATCAGTTAGGTGCTTTATGCACATAATCATACAGCTATACTTGAAAATCACTCCTTGCACCTTGAATCTGTTAAACAACAAAGTATATATCTATTTCACAGGAAAGGAATTCTGGAATGGATTGCATCTTCTGATGAAGGCAAAAGTGAGGTAGCCCGCTTTTACTGTGCATAAGCACTAAGCACTGGTATAAGTTCACCACTGTCAATCAAATACAGTTGCTATAGCAAACCAAGATCATGAATAAAGATATACAATTGAATTATAATTCCATAGATCAAAGCCAGTTGGCTATTTACGGGCAAGAGTGCAGAGTTAGTCAGGACTAACCTTGAAAGATTTGCTACGGTTTCACCAACACACTTGATCTAAGAATTTAGACAACTAAACACAGACCAATTGACCAAACAAATCGTACCTTATTAAAGAAAGTTACATGGAGTGAACTGGTGGATAGTATCAGAGCGCATCCTATACACTAAACTCCCAAATTTATTCCCCGATAAGCATCAGTAATATACAAATGCACACTTACGTTCGCAAATCAAGAAACATGAACCATAATCGCAAAACCTAAGTAAGTACCATGGATATGCTGCAGTATTACAGGAACCACAGGTCCTTTTGCTCACCAATCAATCGATGAAATCGATCACTTGTCGCCGTCTGCGGTGACTGAGGCGGCAGGACGGCCGCTGTCGTAGTCGACGACCTCGGCGTCGGTGACGGAGCGGGAGTGCTGGACGATGGAGCGGCCGATGGAGTTGATCCACTCCTCCTTCTCCTTCTCGGAGTCGGCGATGAAGTACATGGTCTCCGCCGGGGTGGAGAGCTCGAAGGCGAACTGCCGGTTGAGCGTGTCCTCGGCGCCCTTGACGGTGAGGCAGGTGGCGACGGGGATGACGCCGCGGGGCACCGACGCGCGCGTGACGCCCGAGTCCTTGAACCAGAAGAGCCTCCCTTGCTTGAGCACGAACCACCGCCGCCGCCACGTCTTGATGTACTCCCCCTGCTTGGTCAGCCACCCCGCGCGCTCCGGCGAACGCCAGAACTCCACCCCGCCCGTGGTGTCGGTGTCCGCCGACGAGGCGCCGGCGCCCATCACCGCCCGCCACAGGCTCGCCGCCATGAGATGCGTGGGGATTTGGGGATCGGCTGCGGGAGAGTTCTTTTTCTTCTCTCTGGGAAGAGATGCCTAGATGGGAATCGATTCGTGCGTGGGTTTCCTGTTCCCGATTTTGTTTTATTTTTAGAGGACGGGATGGGATTGAGATCCAACTGCCTACTCTGAATCTGTTAGCCTGTTGCTACTCGGTAAAAGGATTAGAGCACCGCTACACGTACTAAATTTTTCTTACTAAATTTATACTAACAATCATCTCAACCGTTTGATTCAAGTAGATGAAAGTTATAAAAAAATCTAGATACACTTATAGCATGGCATGTCAGTGTTAGTAAAAATTTAGTAAGAAAAAGTTAGTACGTATAGACTTTTCCATAGTATTATGGTTTTCTCAGTTTTTTTTCTTTGAGATGGAACGTTATCTCGACATTGATCACCGGAATTTCCCCGTTAACTTTCTTATAGACGGATAATCGTTTCTACGAGGAGAGAAATAATTTTAAGTTGTACTCTTAATGTATATTTAGTTTCACATTCTTCTGTCTATAATAAATCATTATATCAATTTATTTTAAAAAATAGATGGTACCATGTACGTAATATAGTTAGGACGGTTGCAAGTAAGGAAAGCCTAGTAACACATCGCTTCTAGGTGAGGACGAAGATAGTTATAGGCTAAAACAACATTAACGTGCATTTCAAGCGGTGGCGGTGGCGTGAAGCGACAGCACAGGATTCCCGACATGACCCCTATCTTGGCTACTACCGCCGCCACACCACCCATGAAAAAGTTTGCTAGCACTCTCACCGGTGATCTCCTTTTGATGGTTGTGGTTTTTATCTTTCCAGCGACAACGGATTTATAAGAGTGAAGGGCTTGGAGATGTTTGCTAGAGCGTGATTTGTTGCAGCGATATCATTGTTCTTTTCACGTTAAGGAGCTTAATTGTTATATAGTGGTAAAATGTTCACTCCACATGAGCTAACAAAGTTAAATCGATGGAACGTCACGTCAATAACATTCTTATACAAATTGTCTTATAAGATGGTATTTATTGTAACTTCATTAATCGCAACTTGATAAATTAGATTCCTATCAATGACACACCTTAGAATTTCTTACTGATTTTGTGTTTTCAATGTTTTCTTTACTGGTTCGATATATGCCACTCAAGAAAAGTGAAAATAAAAAGGCAAAAACTCTATGTGTGTTTGATATGACAACATATAGTTTTGCCTTCTAAATGTATCCGCAAACCTTGATGGTATGTTTTGAATTTAAGTACATTGCGATTTGGGTCACCTTTTTATTACCAACAATCGTAGCATTGTGTTTGTGTTTTACGGATGAACGATCTGGATGCAACTAAATATGGATGATGGACAAAAAAAGTGATGTAATGAATGAAAAATATATGTATTTCCTAAGTATGTGAGATTTCACAAATATGATTTGAGACTTTTACTTTGTCGCATAAATATTTCAAATGGTTTGCAGGGAACATATGACGATAGTTCAATGCATATGCAAAGAGATTAACAAACATTTGAAACTTTTACTAGGGCCATCGATGGCCATGTGCCAAATAGGCACCCGCACAAGGCCCCCATTTTTAGGGGGCCCATATAAACATGAAGGCCCACTTTAAATATAGCAATGCAATACAACATCATCTAATAGGCAATAGCCCAATGGATAGATCAACAATGCTAGGCCTTGCCCAAAATCAAGAGGATGTTGTGCGATCGTTGATTTCGTCCTGTTGTTGGTTGCTGAGCGATCTAATTCTACGTGCCGATTTCAGAGACCGAGACGACGATCCCAATTCCATTCACGGCGATTGAGGTGGCGGCGATAGCGATACAACTTGCTACTTGCGATTCCAACGCTCCGAGCGGCAGCGGCGACGGCTTTGCCTTGCTACCTTGTCTCGTCTGCTAGCTCATGCCGTCCTCCTCCTCATCCGCTATTCATCGTCGACTCAACCCTCGATAACTCGACCTCGGAGGTTTAGACGGGTAAGATTAGACAGTGATTGAGTAGATGATATATATAGTAAATTCATAATATTAGAACACATATTGCATCTATATAATTAAGTGAAAATATATTTTATTTATGTTGTACATGATTTTTAAATTATAGGGCCCTACTTTGCATTTCACTCCGGGACCCTAAATTTCTAGAGACGGCCCTGACTTTTACTACTACGGCAAAATTTGCTACAGGACACCCAAAAATCGTGTAATTGGCTGTGAGACACTGCAAAATCTTGGCTTTGCCCACGGACACTATAAAAGTTTGTGAAATTGGCTGTGAGACACCGGAGGCAATATTTTATAATTTCTGAGATAAAAGAGGTCAGATAATTTTCTAAAAGACCAATCTACCCCTACGCAATTGGCATGCCATGGCATGCTGGCATGGCGTGTGCGCGCCGCGCCGCGCCGCGCACAGACGCGAATAGGGCCTTGCCTGGCGCGATCCTGACATCAAGCGAGCAGGAGATTCCGCATACAGAGAAAATCTCTCGCTCGTCTTCTCCGCCTGCGCCATTATTGCCTTTGGCTGCTTCTTCCTCCTCAATCCTGCACGGCGACGATGCACCTGCTGTTATAATCCACTCAGATGCTAATTGGTCTATGGCACCAGGAAATATTTGTCACCAAAGGACAACTTAATTAGTTAATTAACTGACGGCTGTGCAGAGAACGTGTCCTCCATTTGGAAACTGAGCTCCGCCGTCCACCGCTATCGGCTTGAAACCGCCGCACCGTGCACTTGCCGCCAGGACTCGTCGGGTTTGCCACAAGGATCGATTTACTGCGTCATCATCACAGCTCCAGCGGCCGCCGTCGTCGCCGTGGATCGAGATCACCTGCAGTTGCAACGGTGACTGCAAGTTAGGCAGTCACATCCATTCGCAACCGTCGGATCAAACTGATCAACGACAGATAGTTATGCCACGTCACAACCAAGGTGCCAATGCTACAGTACATGCTACAGTGCGCTACAGGACTATGTGTGCGTGCTACAGTGTTCTGGTCAAATCTGAGCTGTTTTTCTTTGATCTAACGGTCACACAAGGACTGCTAAAGTTGCAGTCACCATTGCAACTGCAGGTGATCTCGATCCCGTTGCCGTCCTCAACACCTTCGCCGGTGTCGAAACTGTCTCCGCCGGCGCCGCCACCGCCGCCGGCCCCACCGTCGCCTAGGGTTAGGGTTCGAGACTGGGAAATCGGGTTGGGGAGGGAGATGGACAGCTGGGTGCAGGGGGTAGATTGGTCTTTTTTAAAAAATATTTGACCTCTTTTGCCTCGGAAACTATAAAATATTGCCTCTGGTGTCTCACAGCCAATTTCACAAATTTCATAGTGTCCATGGGCAAAACCAAAATTTTATGGTGTCTCACAACCAATTACACGATTTTCGGGTGTCCTATAACAAATTTTGCCTACTACGATAGGTTCGTATAAGTGAGAACGAACCATTCTCTAGTTCAAATTTGGTGGATAACACACACATCATGCTTAGGTATACGTACCAGGAAGGCACAAGAACAAGTGAACAACCAACATTTCCTCCCAAATCCCCTTTCCCCCTCCTAAACCCTACTTCAAAAAAGCGGTTACCCACGAAGGAACCAAGCCCCAAACCCCTCCTTCCCCTTCCTCTCAAGCCGGCGCGGCCGACGAGCCCGCGGCAAAACCACGCAAAAAATCTGCCAAAAGAAGATCCCCCAAATCCGCCACCGCGCTCACGCCGGCGCAGCCATGGCGACCTCCTTCTCTTTCGGCTCTTCCGCCGCGTCGGGATCCACCGGCTCCTCCCCATTCTCCTTCTCCACCGGCACCGCCCCATCAGCCTTCTCCTTCTCTCAGCCCGCCGCCGCCGCCGCCGCCGCCGCCGCCTCCTCCCCTGCCCCCGCCTCCGCCCCAGCCTTCGGCTCCTCCCTCTTCTCCTCCTCCTCCTCCGCCGCCGCTCCCACTTTTGGCTCCTCCCTATTCGGGTCCGCCCCCGCCGCCTCCGCCGCCGCCCCTGCCACCTCCTCATCCCCATCTCCGTTTGGCTTCGGATCCACCGGCTTCTCGTTCGGCCAATCCACCGCCGCCGCCGCGTCCGCCCCATCCATCTTCGGCGCGTCCTCCACCCCCGCCACCGCGACCACCCCTAGCGTATTCGGCGCCGCATCATCCGCGGCATCCACCCCCAACATCTTCGGCGGCGCCACCTCCTCCCCGGCGACCACCCCGAGCTTATTCGGCGGTGCTTCCTCCGCGGCTACCGCACCCAGTCCTTTCGGCGCCACCTCCGCCGCCGCCGCCGCACCCGGTCTGTTCGGGGCCGCCGCGTCCGCTGCTTCCGCGCCAAGCCTTTTCTCTGGCGCCGCCACGGGCTTTGGCTTTGGCTCAGCTGCGTCGGGCACCACCACTGCCGCGACCGCTGCTGCCTCGACACCGTCTTTCGGCTTCGGGTTGAACACCGGGGCCGCTGCATCGAGTACCACCACTACTTCGGCTTCCTCTCCGGCTCTAGGGTTTGGAGCAGGCACCGGCTCGGCGCTGTTTGGATCCACTACCTCTGCACCACTCTTCAGCACCACCACCGCCTCGTCCCCAGCGACCACGGCCACGACCACGGCGTCCTTTGGCTTCTCATCGTCGCCAGCGACCGCCGCCTCTGCTCCGTCGTTCGGCTTCACACCGTCATCGGCAACCACCACGACCGCGAGCACCGCCCCTGCCTTGTTCTCTTCTGCATCTTCCGCTCCCGCCTTCTCCTTCACGAAGAGTAGCTCTGCTGCTCCCACCACGCCAGCGTCTGCTCCATCTACTGGCTTCTCCTTGGCCACTTCGCCGGCAGCACCTGCTCCCTCATTGTTCTCTAACACCAGTGCAGCAGCAAGCTCGTCTGCCACTTCTCTCAGCTTTCCGTTTGGCTCATCTTCTGCTTCTGCACCGGCATTTGCTTCTGCTTCTGCAACGAGCGCATCCACACCGTCAGCAGCTACTGCTTCCCCCGCGACATCAGGGTCATTGTTCTCAGTGCCAGCACCTGCTTCTTCTGCTGGTGGTTTCAGTTTCACAGTAGTACCATCGTCATCATCAGCTGCGGCTACTACAGCTACTACCACAACAGTCACAAGTGCATCGACATCTGCAGCCATGACAACGCCGGCTCCTTCAGCAACAACAACTGCTACACTATTTAGCCAGCAGAGAACTACACCAGCTTCTGCCTCAGCTCCATCAACACAGACACAGTCAATATTGTCATTCGGTGAGTGCTCATGTTCTTGTTAAAACTATTGTTTTATTTTCAGTCTAATTTGACCATACCATTTACATACCTTGATTTACCGGCAGTGAACAATTAAATGTCACCCTCATGCAAGTAACCATTTAGCTCATAACATCGCAAATAACTTATTTGTATCATCATTTGAGGACCCGATCATTGTGCATTTGCCTTTCCTATGCAATACAGGAAATTGTTGTTGTAACGCACTGTTTTGACTATAATCATTACCTTGCAATCTGTTTCCTAAATCTTGAGGTGATCACTTTTCAGTCTATTTTGATTATCACTTTTCAGTCTATTTTGATGATGTCCAGATTTATGTTAAGCGGGTATTTTCAACAGGTGTTTCTACTGTAGCTGCAAGTACTTCAACCACCATCACAAGCACTAGTCAGGCAACTTCCTCAGCTGTTCAAGCTAGCAGCACTGGGTTTGTACAAATCCCGTCGATTTATCTCTAGCATACTTATTAAAGGGTCTGGGCTACAAGATATTGACCTTGTTCATGGCCTCCCTGTTCTTTTGGTGCAGTCCTACAACTACTGCTATCACTCCAGTAGCATCACAGGCACCTAAGCTACCATCAGAAATTGTTGGGAAAAATGTTGAGCAGGTACTGCACCTATTCTTTGCGGTTATAAGGTGTTGTTTTCTACTGCAACACTTACTTTCTAGTTTGACTTTGCATTGTCTTGTTAATTACCTTGAGCAACACAGTAATATTTTACCGACGAACTTATCTATATTGTAGATTATTAGGGACTGGAATAATGAACTTCAAGATCGCACTGCGAAGTTCCGGAAGCATGCCACTGCAATATCTGAATGGGACAGGAGAATTCTGCAGAACAGGACTGTTCTTATAAGGCTTGAGGTATGTTCTTATTTTTACATTTTACAGCTCTTCTTTTCTAGTTCTGTTCATATGAACTTTTGCAGCTAGATCAATATCAGAAGATTTGATGGTTATATATTTACTTCTTTATTGCTGATTTGGTTTTGCAAAGTCATTTGCATAAAGACAATATTTATGAAAAATGATTACAATTAGTTGAAAGCAGGGTAGAAGGAAGCCTGGTTGGATTTGAATAGCCATGCTTACCCTATGGACTCTAGAATTTATCACTGGTAATGCAAACTTACAAAGACTTGGAGGTTTCATTCTTAGCAGTAGTTTTAAATTGAACATGAAACATGAATAATTATTTGATTATCTAGTAGATGATTGTCTTGCGCAATGCATGTTGATTTGACTTATTCATGTAAAGCCGATGTATTGTTGCTTTTAAAAGTGTACATGATTTTTTTTATTTATCCTCACCCTTTTGCATATATTTTATGTAATTTAGTTTTGATTATTGATGGAATGAGAAATTAGGAAAATGAAAAACTAGGAAGTCTGAAAGTGAACGAACTGCTTTTTCCTTGCTGTTCACTGGTGAGCTTTATCAGTCGAATGTAAAGCAGGGAAATGTGTATATCAATGCCCTATCACTAGTCAGACTGTGATTGAAGATGTAAAAACTATGCCAATATTCTGCCTTTGCGAAATACATGTGCAATGCTACCTCTGATCCAAATAACTTGTTTCAGCTCCCCTAACTTGATTCAAATACTTCACATGTGATATCTCCTATAGTTTTTTCTAGGATGCTCTTGGTAAATATTGATAGCTATGATGATCTCCCTCTCAGCTGCCTATCGTTCACATTAGATTAATGCGAGAAGATATGTTCATTTCATGAATTTCTTCGTTTAGTACTAATTAAGTTAGTGCTGATGTTGTCTTCCCACCATTATCACCTCTTGAGCTGGTGCTTTTCTGGATAGATGTGTGTTAGCATGCATACATGTTTATATTACTCAAAAGAACTTTATATAATTAGATCATTTGCTGTGATTTAAAATAAATTTTATGTCCCTTGCAGGCTGAGGTGGCTAAAGTTGTTGAAACACAAACAAGCTTGGAGAGGCAACTTGAGTTAATAGAAACTCACCAGAAAGAGGTGGGTATGGATGCATATATTTCATGTCTTCTGCATACTCTAGTTATGACTTTTGTTTTTGTTGCATGCTTGTTTGCTCTTTCATTTGCTGATCCCCATGGATGACATCATAATATTGACTAGTGAATTGCTTTCCTGTAAGCTCATTATTTATATGCTATGCTGCCAGGGATGCATCATATTTCGGCTGTCATCTCCTTTTTTACACAATTGCGCACAATATGGTTAATGAAGATAGGTTGACTGATTTTTTTTTTAAGGATGACAAGCTTTCAACTGCCAAGCTGCATTTTAGAATGCATTAATATGGAATGCCTTTTCTAAGTTTTATGTCATCTAGAATACATTACAATTCTTATATTTTATAATCGTCTCTCATAAGCTGGGTTATTGGTATGGAGGAATTTTTTTTCCATGGCATCGTGATTATCCTCCCTCTGGATGGTAAGATGATCTTAAGGGGGCTACTAAAGTGGCAAGATGTGCAGAGGTGTTGTCGCTCTGCCTTGCCTCGCAGGAGAAAGAAAGGGTGAAATGGTAAGATGTTCAAGGACAGTTGAGTGTTGATAGTTCAGGTCCATCTCTTCCTTGCTCCCTCCAGCTTAGTGTCGCAGAACTTGCACCAGTGCCATCAGACTAGCTCTAGATCGCTGCCACTGTATCATTTCTGGCAGTGGCAGTGGTGGACAGCTAGACAAGCGGATGCATTGAAGCTCCACGACCGGTAGGCAAAGATGTCAGGCTCCCTTGCCAAGGTGGCCAGCAGAAGAGTGCATATTGATCTTGTCAGTGGCCTAGTGCTCTTCTCATAGCTGGGAGCGCACATGTCTCAATGCCGTCTTTTGGTCCAATGGTTTTTTTTTCCTTTTATTTTCTCTTTCGCTTGTTAATTTCTTTCCCATTTTCTCCCATAACCAGGCTGTGCAGCCACTTTATGTGTCATCGCTTTGCCTTATGCCTCGCATAATTTGGTGTTGAGGCAGTGATATGTTACCTCATCTAGCTTTAACACCTTAACAATCAGGATTGTTCCCTATGGTTCAATGTTCACGGTTTCATAGATTTGATGTGACCATCACATGCTAAATTCATCAAAACTCTTATTTGAAATTCTGGTAGTATGGGAAATCCACGAATTGAGGTTTCTTCTTAATGAAAAGCTGTGGCCCATGGGGGCAGTCATTCCCCCACTGGTTGAGTTTTTTTAAATTTCTGTCCGTATGGCCTTTTGGGGGCAATGTAAACCTTGTACATGACATGTGATGCTTTTTTGTTTTTGCTTAAGACTAAATTCTGACTATGGTTTAATGTGCAAAGAAATTTCTTCGAGAATAATTTGTTGCAGTGCTAACAGAGTTATGTTTTGGTTGTTTACCCAGTGATGATTGCAGTTGCCATTTAAAAGTTCTGCTGTAGCCTGTAGTAATATGTTTGTTGTTTGCTTCCATAGTTCCATACTATGATGCTTTGGTCTGACCTCTTTAAGTGGGAAAAAAATTAATCGCATATGCTGTTTGAACTTCATTGCTACAAACTGAACTATCAATCAAAATTTTGGTGTTCCATAATTTGGTACTTGGCTAAACTGTGACTATTCCGATATTAACCACCAGGTACTGGCTAGTGAACAACTCGTTATATAATTGCAGGTTGACAAGGCTCTGCAGAGCATGGAGGAGGAAGCAGAGCGGGTATTCCAGGATGAACGGCTGTTGCTTCGTGAAGATGAGGCTGCTTCTGCAAGAGATACAATGTTAGTCACCATTTGGATTCAGCTACTTCCATCTGTTTGTATTTAGTAACAGTAATGCAAATAAATAGTGCACCACACTTCGGGAACAAAAATTAAGACAATTGCTTTAAAACGATTTAGGATGCATTGAAATGTTTGATTGGACAGATTATGGATGATTGCTTATCGGGATGAATTTAAATATTATATATTGTAAAGATAACAAATGGCTTAGAACAAGTTGTCTAGGGCTGAATTCGTTTGTTGCAGTTGGGAACTAATCTCCTGTGCACGCAAAATGGTGTAACTCATTAGCACATGATTAATTAAGTATTAGCTATTTTTATTTTTGAAAAATGGATTAATATGATTTTTTAAAGCAACTTCCGTATATAATTTTTTTTTGCAAAAAACGCACCGTTTAGCAGTTTGAAAAGAGTGCATGCGGAAAACGAGGGAGGTGAGTTGGGAAAGATAACAAACGAACACAGCCTAGGCATTTAAGCAATTCTGAAGGCGACAGTTTTTGGAGAAGTTCCTTTTGGAAACGTGGCATGAATAATCTGCACATGATCTAAAATAAATGCAGCTTAAGCTAAGTAAATGCTGTGCATTGCTTAAAAATATTCCTGAATCGAATAACATACGATATTCTTTGTTTCCTGAGTGGCCTGTCTCAATAGTGGTGTTATTACTCGAAATATGTGCATAATCTATTCTGCCCCACTCAGTTGCTTAGCTTGGTTTTTCTTTTTTTGAGGAATTGCCAAATTGGCTGACAAAGCTGTTTTTTTTTGTTTGTGAGGACAAATGATTATGTTAATGTTTTATTATATCATAATATACATCATCAGCTTAACAGAATAATTTTGCAATGCCAAGGTTTGAGCAATCTGAAACTGTGGAGAATGAATTGCAACATATGACAGAACAAGTGAAGTCCATCATTCAGACATTGAATGCTACTCAGGTAAGTATTCTGGTTGCAGTACTTGTCTAGTGATGACTTGTGTCTTAGACATCAGCCTCCTCCAATCCAGGGTGCTGAGTTTGAGACTGCTGATAGTATGACACCATTTGATGTTGCTGTCCGGATACTGGATAATCAACTGCGTTCTTTAATGTGGATCGATGAGAAGGTTGGTAACTCAAGTATACCACTTTATGCTCATATTTTTGAGGTGGCTTTAGTTACTTATCGCAGGCTTACAGCCTCACAGTTTGTGAGGGTATTTGTGCTACTGTGCTAGGCTGCAAGCAATAATATTGATTTGACGCAGAATGATATTTCCAGATTTTATGCTAGGCTTTAGTAGAATCCTTTCGGCTTAGGAACTTGATCCCCTTTTATTGCACTGTTACATAGAATCTTGCCTTTGACCAAATAATGAAAGCATATCCTTCTGCTTTTATATACTGTCCTGTTGAATCTTGTTTTTTTTTACCTATGCTCTACTTTTCGCATGGTTTGGTGAATCTTACCTTTGCTTTGAGCAAAAGTGCAAAACCAGAGAAACTTGATCCCAATTGTTTTTTTCTTCCTTTAAGTGATATTTGGTGTATCAATGCCACATGTTTTGCATAGTGATTATTTGGTGGAATTAGTTTTCAGTCTTTTTTTGCAAAGTCTGTAATTGACCCTTTGTCCATTTTTCATAGGCTAATGAGTTCTCAAGTAGAATACAGAGGCTACCTAACAACAGTGCTGCAGCTGAACGTGACTCTGGAATGCCAAGGTTTTGGTTAAGCTGATGATCCAATCCTGGATGGACATTTGCATCTTGTTCTGATCGAAGCCAGTAAACATGCTATTTTTCGGTGGATGTGTTGCCCCCCAGCAAAAGTTTCACTGTTCCTCTCATTCAAGTACATGATGTACCGAACTGATGTTATTCGTTGGGATTTTAACTGCTGATGTTAACAATGCCTTGTAACAGTCGCGTACATTGGCTTCAGCAATCAGTGAACTGTTTCAACTCACTTTGGTCTTTGGACGAGGAAACAAGAGGCTTTGCGAGATACCGTTCATTATTGGTTCCAGGTGTGTTCAGATCTGTTGAGCTGAAAAGTAGATGCTATATGATGCGTTGGGTGGGCTAAGTACCTGGCTACCTGCATCAATTGAGCTACGCCTTATGAGCTTCTTACCAGGGACCAGCGGATATCTTGAGCCTTTTCTTGCGATCCTGTAATCTCAAATCGCTGTCCTCCAGTTGCACTAGAAAGCTTCGGGGTCCTGTAAGATTGCACGATTTGCATTTCTAAACTACATGCTATATGTTCGCCTAACTACTTGTGCATGGCGCGTGTTCATGATCTGCCATTATCAGATCAAGATTGCGCCTATACAAGAAAGATAATATAATTCTTTACCTCAAACTCATAGCTTGGTACATGTAGCCTGTCAGATAGCGAAAGTTATCGGAAAATTAGGCATATGCTCCACATGGTTGAGGCGTATCTTAGCATCGCCAACAATTCCCTTGCAAATAGAAGTAAGCACTAAGCATAGTTCTTTAGATCATCAGTTGATGTTCTTTTCCACTTGGGATTCCATTCAACGGCAAGTGGCATTACCATGTGCAAGATGGGACTCGAGCAGAGGTAAGTATATTGTACTATACCATATACACTTCAAACTTAAGAACACAGGGATCAAATCAAACAAAAACTATCATCAACGGCCAGTTGCTGTCAGATTAAAACATCTATATGCTGTGAAGTCGAAAGCACATGCTCCCCCAGTTAGCACCTCGCTCCCCCCCTCTCATGGATGGTTGGAAGGAACACAGATACCAGCAAAAGGAAATCTGGAAAGAGAAACCTGTCAATAGAAGCACATGCCCCCTCCATGTGAAGGCTGATGCCCGAGGGAGTGAGGGATTAGAGAGAATCCCATTTGCAACGGCTTGGGGAGAGCCTAGGAGTCCCACATGGGCGAATTAAAGCACAATCTTCTCTCTAACCAAAGTCCGTATCGATGCTGTGAAGCACAAGCCAACAATAATGCATCCATGAATTGTACTACTACTAGTACCAGTACAAGTAGTGGAGTCTAATCCTTATAAAGTTAGCCTCAACCGCCGGTGTATCAGTATGCTGGTGTGATAAGATGGGCTGCTAATCAGGGCCGTCTGCTGCGTGACACGCTGTGTCAACTATGCAAAGCCAGTGTAGCCAGTAGTGGTAGCCTCCATCTTTAGAACTCTGGATGAGCATTTGAGCCTCACAAGCAAGTTTCAGAGTGCGAGTCATTATAGCTTGCGCCGACCCGCGCCGCACCCGCATCACAACCCCACTCGACCACCATTCATTACTACGAGCACATCTTTTTTTTTGCTCCATATCTTTCTCCCTTGCTTTGTGGTCCTTTCAAAGAAGCCCATAAAATTTCTCAAGAAACTTTAATCGCTTGGCGCAAAGGTAACACATACGGAAGAGAAGAAAAAAAAAAGCGAGCAATCGCTCTACATTTACAATAAGAACATCCAAAGCGGAACGCAATAAACAAAGGCCTCCGTGTTTTGCCTTTAGCTAGCACGAGGAATCGCCGATTACAATTGCTCGCGCTAGACAACATGGACCAAGCTCCATCCAGGTAGAAAACAAATAACCCTATAGTGATATGCTACATCATATCATATGAAAATGTGACATGAGCTGAAAATCTTTATAAGCCATGACGACCATCACATATATATCGCCAGAGGGAGGGGCAAGCCAAACAAACACAAGGACACCATCGAGGATCGGGGGAAAGCAACGCGGCAGCGGACGGCCCGGGGCAAGATCGTAGGGACCCATGCCCTCTTCTTCTTCTACCATTTTGGTGTGACACCCTAGCACAGGAGGAGAGGCTTTGTATATTACAAGGCGACCAAAACCTAAGCAACACTGAATTTTTGCAGCCGTGCCGGCCAGGAGAGCGAGGTTCCTTGCTCCGGGCTCGGCGGTGCACGTTGTCACGGTCCGCCGCGGCGGCGGCGGTGGTGCGGAACGGGCGCGCGCTAGTGGTGCGGCAATGGCACCGGCGACTGCGCCAACGCCGGGGCGGGCTTGGGACACTGGTAGCACTTGGCGAAGAGCCCGAACGTGTCGATCTGCCTGATGAAGTTGACCATGCTGGCCCAGCCGCCGAGCCCGAAGCCCACCACGAGCACCCACACCACGATGAACATGTTGAGCACGAACATCCCCGTCCAGCTCGGCAGGAAGAACGGTGGCTTCTCCGCCGCGTTCTGTTGCAAACAACAACATAAACCCTCGTCAAAAAAGAGATGCGTATTGTAGATTCTCAACATAAAACATGGTTGGTGCTTGCTGGTTTTATTCGCCGTGCCGCGTCCGTACTACCACGCACGTTCGGTCGATCGCCTTTCGGAAAGGCGCGGAAAAAGGAAGGGGATCGAGAGGGAAAGGCTACCCACGCACAAAAATCTCCCAAACCCCTCCCCCCACGCGCGAAAAAAGCTAAGCTAGCCGCGCGCGCCCCCTGACCTGACGGGCGCGACGGCGACCACCGCGCCATCGCCTCCGGCTACGCGCCAAGCGGAAGTCTTACATATGTCCCACCCGCGATAGCAGCGCCGGCGCGAAAACATCAGCAGCGCGTCCGTCCCACCTCATCCACCGCGGCGTCAACCGTTGCTTTCCGCGCGTTTCTTCGCGTCGTCGCGCACGGTGCACAGAGAGTCTACGGGTGGATTCGTCCGCTGTACCGAGCCGCGCGGCAGCAGCCAGCCAGATAAGCAGGGACCACCTTTGGTTGGGCTCCTAATCTGAGACACTATACATGGGAGCAGTAGCGCACCAGAACTGGGCACGGTCACTAAACCAAAGTGACTAGGCTAAGCTAACCTCTCTTGGGGAAGATACTGCCAAAGCAGCGGCCAGAATCGAGAGGGGAGGGGGGGGGGGGGGGGGGCGCTGCTTGGAATTAATGTGGTTGTTGGCTGGATTCAATGATTGGGGATTTGCCCATGTATGAGGTGGGCCCCGGGCACGGCCCGGCTGTGCTTTTGCATTCAACACGAACTGCTGCTTGCTTCTGCTGCCTGCGCACAGATCTCCACTGTCTATTCTATTGCCTGTGTGTTCCAGTCTCGCCACTGTTGATGATGGCTCGACCGATCCGCTGCTCAGCTATAGCAACACGGAGGAAGCGTCGATGAAATCCATCGGACCCAGTTGTTAGTATAAGTTGGCCGTCACGTTGCATTCGCCCTAGCTTGCACTAGTACCTGCCATTGAATGCGTGGATGGATGGACGAGGCGGTGTACCGGAACAAAAACATGCATGCAGCGATGATGATGGGGCATAGTTAGGGCATGTGCAGAGAGGTTCTTGAGGTTACCATGCGCGCGGAGGCCGTACGGTAGGTGAGGATGTGGGCGAGTGCCGGGATGATGTAGACGGTGAAGCTGACGAGGAGCGCGCCGACGGCGGAGTTGATGGGGCCGAAGAAGGGGAAGATGATGGCGAGGAACCAGATGGGGACGACGATGGGGAGCCGCGCGAGCGCCCTGAGGCAGATGCTCTTGGTGTCGTGCATGCCGATCACCTTCTCCCACACGAAGTAGAGCGGCGTGCACGCGAACCCGAACGTGATGAACTGGTGGATCAGCATCAGTATCACCGCCGCGTCGCGCCACCCGGTCTTGGGCAGCAGCGAGAAGGCGTTGGAGTGGGTCAGCAGCTCGTCCCCGAACGCCCAGTACATGGCCGACGCCGACGGCAGCGTCAGCGTGAACACGTACAGCGTCGCCAGCAGGTAGATGTACTTGAACTTGGCCGGTTTCCACATCGCGTGCATGATCTCCCTGCACCAATCCAAAACAGCCACCCCCAATCAGTCATTATTTTCTTTTCTTGCAGGTTATTAATCAACAAATCAACGGACAAAACGGCCTCGGCACATGCGAGTCAATGATGCTGAGACTTTAATCAGCTTGATCAAATGATACGGCCAAAAAGTAGGACTACTACTACAGCTGCTGCTTCTCCTAGTCACGCAGGCAGGATACATGCAAGGATCGCGGCGGCAGGGGGAATCTCGCAATTGCTTTCTTTCTTTCACCAACACATGTATCCGCCACCGGTCAAATGATGGAGGAGCCGACAAATACGGCCAAATAAGGCCGTTGCCAATAATAATTTATACCACTAAATACGAGTACTAATCACCTAAAAACTCTGCTCCACAGCTAGCGAAGATCCCATCCCATGCATGTTATGCTAATGGTCTCATGTCGCTACCAAACTGGGCTTTGAATTAGCCTGAGACCAGAAGTGGTGAGGGGCATTGTCAAGATGGACAAAGACACTCACATTCTTCAATTGGGAAGCAATTCTCAAAGCAGGTCTGTGTCCCCTTCGCCCCACTAAGCTAAACTTTCCCATGCAAGCCTAGCAGCATAATAGTAGTAGTAAGATATAAATGGAATCATCATTGGATGATTTGGCACCAAGATGTCCCAATCCATGATGGAAATCATTTCACCCCGTTGGATTAGGGCAACTAGCACGGAATTGCATAGCTTGATGTGAACTCCGCACTAGCTGAATTGAATGAAGCTGGCCCCCCTTATCATTCCATTCCATTTCCAACCCATCAAAAGCATTTTCAATTTTCACAACTATGGAACAAGTACTGGTAGCACTACATTAAATTTTTGAAGCTAGGAGATACTATATATACTACTATAAGATCATCAAATCTCCAATCCGAACTGCATGCGACCACTAAGGCACTAACGACCATCGCATTTTGAAGGAACAGCGCACTGAAACGCTAATTATTCCTCGCATGGGCCTCTAATCATGCCAAAGCAAAAACACACTCAATAATCCAAGCAATAGATTAGGCACATAAACGAGCAATGGGAATAAAGGGGCTCAAGGAGTCTATTCTAATGCATAGTGGCCCATTCTTTTCTCCCCTAAACCATCGCGTGTACTAGCAGGGGACCTTTTGGATGCATCACCAGTTCAGCACATCGCACATGCACATGAACGCACCGAGCTTTAGCAGCTGGATCGATCTTTATAAATTTTTATCGACCGATATCAATCGATCAGCCGACTAATGGTCGCAAGCTAACGCAGCTGTTTCCCACCGCGCACAGGCTTGGAATTTTTAAGTGCCCCTATCCATCCATTGGGATCTGTACGCCATAGAGCTAACTAGCTGCAAAGCTACAGCTACGTGTGTTTTAATTAAGCTTAGTAGTAGTAGTAGTACTCACTATACTACACTGTGACCAGTGAGGTGCGAGTACCAGTACCATGGAGGGGGACCAATGGAATGGAAACCAGAACCTGATTTCCAATCGGGACATGTCCTCCACATTGGCAGGCAAAAGCTGCAGCTAGTGAAAAGTTCTCCCTCACTTCACTTCCTCAGGAGGATTAGCTTGTAGTCCTAGTACTAATACTACTGTACAGTATTAACAACTGGACAAACAGAGCAAGTTCTGCTTTGCTTACACTGTGACGGCGTGGCCGCCGAAGGTGTAGAGGATGTTGGTGGCGCCGGTGAAGTACAGCACCAGCTTGGTTGGACCGGTGTGGGTGATGCCTTCGGCCTGCGACGCAAACGATCATCAGTCACTGCAAACCCAAGCTAAATGGACATGTAGTAGACGCGATGGATGATCGAGAAAGTGACAAGGACAGTTTCCCTCTTCTTATCTCACCTGGCCGTTGAGGAGGGCGGCGATGGCGAGGTACCAAGCGGTATAGGTGGTCATGCCGAGGCCCAGGAAGGACCAGATCCGGTAGTTGTGGAACGACGGGATGAACACCGTGGTGGCGCAGCACGCGCCGAAGATGTACGTCCACGTCCGCTTGTCCAGCCGGTCGTTGATGTAGTAGATGTTACTGAAGAAAACACCACCAAATTATCGGTCAGGTTTTCAGCCCATCCGCACAAACCCAATCTGTCACCACGACACACTGTTGCGCAGCAGCACGGCTACATATTTACACTGGCGCTGCGAAGTGACAGTGGGAGAGTGATGGTTGGTTGGTTGAGTTGGGGAGGAAAGGAATTTGACCTCGCGCAGGCGATCAGCTGGATGACGGAGCCGAAGAGGAGGAACGTGCAGTTGAAGGCGAGTCCGGCCGCCTTCCAGTACGGGCCCAGTAGCCCATCCAGCACCTCGAACCACTGCCACCAGTCAACGTCACAAGCTTCTCCCATTAGCCCCAGTTGTTAGTATAGTAACTATAGTTGTGTAGTTATGCAAAATTTGCAGTAATAAGTGATTAATTGAACAAGGATTAAGGATGAGCTCGATTCAGGCTCGGCTTTCATTTCGGCAAGCAACCAGAAGAGAGCCATGGGAGGCAGGGGATCCAATACCCCCTGCCATTTTCACAAAAGAAAAGGAGGCATTTTTCAAGCCAGTAAGGATCGAAAACGACCAAACGGAAGGGGAAAAAATGCGTGCTCGAGAAAAATGTGTTTTCGATTATGCCACATAAAGACGGGGATAAGAAGCTGTAACAATCCGTTACTGATGAGGAGGAGGATACGAAGAAGCGACAAGGCCAGCACGGCCATGGCATGACAAGGCGGGGCGGGTACCTGGATGACGTGGTTCTTGAAGCTGACGCCTTCCTTCTCCTTGCGGGAGCGGTACTCGACGTAGAGGACGCTGATTAGGTAGGCGGTCCAGCTGCCCATGAAACCGTAGAACAGCTGCAGCAGCACGCCCGAGAGCATCCCGAGCTGCGAGAAGGAGTACGGCAGCGTCAGGAGCACCTGCGCGACCTGCAGAAACCCACCACCAGGAAATTCAGAAATTCAGTCACGCTGCCTTTCGGATTCGTCTCGATATGATTCCTTCATCGAGCGAGCTGCATGGCCGCGATGGCGGCCATGGCGGAGCAGGATGAGTTATACCTGGTTAGAGGCGCAGCTGAACCAGGCGTCCCAGACGGAGCCGCCGTGCCAGAGCAGGTTCTTCATGCTGAACTTGCCGCCGCCGCCGTGGTGGTCGTCGGCGCCGTGCTCCCCGGCGCTGACGCCCATCACCCCGACCTCCTCCTCCTTGCCGTTGCTGTCAGCCACGATGGCCTCCTCCGCCTGCTCGCGCGGCACCATGCTGACCACGCCGCCCTTCCCCGTCGTCAGCTGCGTGAGTGCGTACGGACGGACGTCGGATCAAGATCCAGGACAGCACAATATGACTTAACAAAACAGAGCAGGAAACCGACCCCGCCAATAAAAAAAACAACACCACCAGCTGCAGCAGCAAGAAGAAGAAGAAGAAGAGCACCAACCTTTCTCGCTACACAAAAGATGATCTGGAGATCGCGCTCAAGGAAGCCGGGGCGAGTGATGGGGGAGCAGTAAATGCAGGGTGCCGGTGGAGAGTGATGGCTGGAATGGTATATGATATGGAATGGAATTTACTGTGCTATCGAGGCGAGTCCCTGCACGCTGTTCGTTCTCCGCTGCTAGCTAGGAGTACGAGCGTCGTGGCCGGCGCCGCCCGGGCTGCACTGTTTAAAGGCAGAGCCGGAGTTGCAGCAGCAGCAGGAGGAGGAGGATGGCCAAGATTACGGGGCTTTCTCCTTCACTTGCTCTGCTTCTTCTCAGCTATAGGTCCTCTCCTCTGCCCAGTCTTTCCTCTGTTCCTCCTTTATGAGGGAGTAATGCGGAAGAGGGGGCTAGAAAGAGAAGCGCGGCGCTCGTAGGGCCGTAGGGGGGAGGGGCGGGCGAACGAGCGCTAGAGAGGGATGAGCTGGTGATGGAGAGAGAGGGGAGGGAAGAGGAAGATGGGGAGGGAAATGGAAACGCTTGCGGCTTTATAATAACGAACACTCCGCCTCGGCTCAGCGGCCTGGACTGGCCTTCCAGGAGGCAAGAGGCAAAGACCTTTCAGTTTTTTTTTTTTTTTTACGTTTTCATCTTCTCTCTGTAGGCCAGGTTTTGAGAAATATTTTTTTAGCATAAGAAAATAGCTGTAAGTTGTTTGTATCTAAGGGTTATTTTGAGAACTATTTGGCCTTTAATGCACTTTCCCATGAAGAGAGAGGGAGAGAAAAGACACTTTTTCAGTAAGTCCCACCTAAAATAGCCCTTGAGGGAGATAGTTTTTTTAATGGGTTATTTCCAAATAGCCCTGAAATAGCTCACGTGTTTGGAACTTTTAGGCTATTTGGGGTTATTTAAGGGCGGGCTAAAAAATAACTCATTGATTCAAAAAGGGCCATAGTGTACTATTTTCTTCGACTCTAAATGTTATGGACCATATCTATAAATCTATCTATGTGCATATGCAGATTGTGCATATCCAGATTCATAATTTAAACATGTAATTCATAGTCAGAATCTTTTACATTTAAGGAGGGAGGAAGTAATTATTAGTACAGTATATGTTTATCAGGTGCTATAAAGATTTTGTTTCTAGCAACTTTCAGACAAACTATCAGTGAAGAGAAATAACTATGCCCCTTATTCGTACTTTAGTTGTATTTCGTAGGCTCCAATTAAATATGTATTTCTTAGTTTGATTGACTAAAAATAAACTTGACATTTTTTAACGAAGGGTGTGTTTAGTTCACGTCAAAATTTAAAGTTTGGTAAAATTTGGAACGATGTGATGAAAAAGTTGAAAGTTTATTTGTTTAGGAAAGTTTTAATATGATGGAAAAGTTGGAAGTTTGAAAAAAATTTTGGAACTAAACTCGGGCGAAGTAGGAAATGAAGTCTGTGTGACTATGACGTGAACTTCTATTCTCTGTTTTTTCATCCACATGTTTTCTAAACAACTAAATGATAAGTTTTTAAAATTTATATGTATATATATGTTTTCTTTAAGAAGTATATTAATCTATTTTTTTAATTTTTAAGCTAATATTTACTTAACCATATGCTCATAAACTATCCCATTTTACTTGCATGGGAGAAAAATTCTTAGCCTTCTCTCCCGAAAGCAGCTAGGTCCCGTTTGAGATACATTTGGATGAAGATTAAGTTAGCACACGCAGAACAAGAAAGCCATTAGCACACGATTAATTACTAGTCGGTTTTAATTATTGCAAATTTAAAAATTGATTTATTAATTTTTTAAAACAACTTATATATAGAAAGTTTTTTAATGAAATACACCGTTTAACCGTTTGAAAAACGTGCTAACGAAAAATCAAGGTAAAATCTACTCTATTTGTCTCAAAATAAGTTTATTTTTAGCTTCTCCGATTTATCCTAAAATAAGTTTTTTTGGCTAATTATTACATCGGAGTTCGTAAAATTAATGAATAAATGTAATAGAAATAGATTAAGTAAAAAATAATGGCATTGAGATTTGATAAAATGAGAACAATATGATCTTTTAGTTTTACATTGGTATGTACTGCCTCGTAAGAAAAACCGATATAGTACTAGAGTATAACACATCATAATTATTAGTACATATTTGTTTAGATTAGGTTCGATTCGTTATTTTAGAGAGGGAGTACTCTATAGGACAAATGAAAAATGAATTTATTTTGAGATAAAGCAATTACGCCTCTACACTTCCGGGGAGAGATTGCTCAAACTCGGTCCTCGGGGTGAGCCTAAGCCATAAAGCCCTGGTTTAGTTCCAAACTTATTTTTAAACTTCTAAATTTTTCATCACATTAAAATTTTTCTACACACAAACTTTCAATTTTTCCATCACATCGTTTCAATTTTAACCAAACTTTTAATTTTGGCGTGAACTAAACACAACTAAAAGCGATGGCTTGTTTTGATTTAGGCCGAGTTTAGTTCCAAACTTTTTTTTAAAACTTTTAACTTTTTCATCACATCAAAACTTTCCTATACATACAAACTTTCAACTTTTCCATCACATCGTTTCAATTTCAACCAAACTTTTAATTTTAGCGTTAACTAAACACACCCTTAAAAAAAAGAGCGATATGGCTAGGAGATGAAGTTACTGCTGGCTTCTCAAAAGTCTTAGCCCCTGTCACGTGGTTACTCCACCCTACAAGGTCAGAACCCCGTTGTTTCCCGTGGTTACTCGGCTATTCCCTCGCTGTGTGTGTCAGGCTTACTTCGCGTACTGAGCTGGTGCTTGTACTGAGCTGGTGCAAGGTTGAATCTTGCCATCTTTGGGTTGGTGAGGGGACTGAAACCGGGTCCCACCCACCGGCACACGATTAAGTTAAGCCTCAAAGCCGATTTTTTAACGACTTTTTACCGAACAGTGTAAAGTTTATATTGATAGTGTAAAAAAAAGATTATAACTCTAAAGGTCGTAAACAGAAAAACAAAGAAAAAATAACCACCATTCACGCACCAATAACACCAAATATATACTCGGGAGAAATCTATCACCGAACCGGTCGCTACTAAGCATGACTGATCGCTGCTAAGCGAATAAAGGAACTATAGCCAAGATCGTCCAAAATCTAACCCTAACAACCGACACCAAACTCTACTCTAGCCACCTCTTTGCGACTGAGCGAGAGGGTGAGAGAATAATAAAACCGTTTTCCCCTAGAACCTCCGATGTGGTCAACTTGTATAAGGTAGAACGCCGACACAAGAAGACATGCTCACAGCCGATTTAAACTTAAGAGTTTGATTTTTTTACTATTAGAGCAAGTTTAATAGTATAACCCACAACTAGCTCTAAATCATCTATAGACAATGTAATAGCCAATTCGTACAATAGTTGCTTACTATACTATCAATACCTGGTCCCACCTGTCATACACACATTACGTCTTGGAGTCTAAAGCTGGCTACAGATCTGTAGCCCACTGCTCTTCTACCTCTTCCTTTATCCCTTTAAAATATATTTATAGCTGGTTTATAGCTTGTTATTGTACCTGCTATTAAGTCAGCGTCTTCTCACCTAAAAATCTATTTTTTTTTAAAAAAAATCACTTTAAAATTTCAAACCTCGGTCATAATCCAAACCAGATAGAAAAAATGCTAGAATTTCTCGACACATAAGAGCAAGTTTAATAGTATAGTTAACTGCTGGCTCTAAATCATTTATAGTCAATTTAATAGCTAAAGTTACCTATAACATATAGTACACAATTAATATCTGGCCCCACTTGTCATACACACATGTGTCTTGGAGCCCGTGTGTCTTGGAGCCCGTGCTGCAGCTGACTATAAATATGCAGCATGTTGCTCCTCTCTCCTCTTTTATCTTCTTAAAATATGTTTATAGCTGTGTTAGAGTCTGCTATTGTGCCTGCTCTAAGGCTGTGTTCTTTTGGAGGGGTTGGGAACCCCTCCCCTCCGTACACAAAACGGAGTGATAGATTAGCGCATGATTAATTAAGTTATAGCTATAAAAAAACTTGAAAAATGGATTAATATAATTTTTTAAAGCAACTTTTCAATAGAAACTTTTTGCAAAACATGTACCGTTTAGTAATTTATAAAGCGTGCGCGGAAAACGAAGAAGAAGAGCTGCGAAGTCATGTAAAAGAACACAGCCTAAATTGTCATTAAGTAATACAATAACCAATTCGTATGATCTAAAACAACTAGAAATGGATCAGCTACTACCCAATGCAATGCCATAATAGTTTACACGGTACAGGGAAAAAAACAGAGCCTAAAATTTTCTACATCCGTCCCAAAAAACCTTATGACGCCTAAATTTTTTAGCTAATCTCAGATAAATTAATATGGATGTGAAAAGAAAAAATAAATATACCTACACATGAAAAAAAATCATTTTAAATAAACACACGGAAATCCTAATGTTTCTCCTAGCATGTAGTAAATGCTTGACTGGGAGCTTGTAGCGTAATACATTCGTCTTAAAACAAACAAAACCTGGTAATGTGATATATCGTAGATTTTGTATTATATATATGTCAAAATGTGTCATGTGCTAAATTTGTTTATTTTGGAAGGGAAAGAGTATGCTTTTGCAACAAAACTGAAGATGAGAGTAGACCAGTACTCCAGTAGAGTTATTGCCGTATTTATTCGCAAGGTCGAGTTCTGGTGCAAATCAAACCTGTTCGCTGCTGTTCATCAAGTGATGCTCCGTATCATCTCGAGTGGTATAAATGCAATACTAACATCTCCACAAAATTCCTTGAACGCTTTGGTTTTGTACAACCTGCCTGACAATAATCCTGCATAAATTCTGTGGGGGTCATTCAGGAGGAGGAAAAGTAAGGAATAAACAAAACAAGCTGGTTCCAAATTGATGGTGTCATCAGCATATATTCAGCAAATCAAGGCTATAAAAACGTTGGGTTTTTAAAGGAAAAGTTCCATGCATGTAGTACTTGTTGCCAATTGCAGAAATTGTAGTGAAATACCAGATCATGGCTATATTTAGGGCCCCATGGGTTCGCTCACCAAGGTTGCATTAGAAGTAGTTGGGGAGCTTTTTTCCCTTTAAACCGATCGATGTTATGGATGATTATGGGTCCGTTTATTATATACCTGTACACCATGCATGATTAAGTATTTCAATATGGACATTCAGCTCTTGAACTGTTGGAACTCTCATCTGAATCGAAGTCCTAAATTCTTAATTCGCTGTTCAGGTGCTTGTCTGGTCAATATTGAAGAGATCAAATCCACCAGAAAATCGATCTCCAACAAAATATTGTTGCTGTTGTACACAGTACTATATTATACCAAGCTCATAAGGTATTTCACTTTCATTTACTGTACATTCTTGTTCACGAAGAACACAGCTAAGCACGACACATCTTTTCATCCATGTAATAAATGTCCCTGGACTCACTGGGTTCGTGGTATATCAGTTCTGTTTCTGATGTGCTTGTAAAAATATAATGTGTGTATTACA